TTAGTTCGTCTGAACGGTTTTCCAATGGAACCTGACACATACCCCGGCAGAGTGACAACGGCCCTTCGTCTCTGAGACCATTGCTTCTTGCATATCGTTATATAAACAAAATGGATACGCAGCAGGGATTTTTTTCTCATGCGCGTGCCGGACGGCGCAAACGCTGACAACGTTCGAGTGTCAGAAGTACGATACTTACTGCTTTCAGATGGGCTGGGTGGACAAGATGAGTTAAATGGCAGAAGTCTTGCTCATTGACAAACATTATACATCGCACACAACGTGTGCAATACCAGAAGGCATATTCGGATCCCCAGCTGTCTTCAGCAAAGTGTTGCCAAGCCAGCCATCGTGTAGGCCCGGGGATTTGCCAGGTCGTTCAGAGAAATCGAGCTAGGAAAGCTGGTTCCACGAAAACTTTCAGTCATACGCCTAACCCTCTGGGAAAGGGGCACATCGAGAGATGGGCAGGGAGGGCAAGACGAGCAGTCACGCTACGCGCCACGTCACAGTCATAAGGTCACACTTTGATCGACACGGGCGCTCGGTGCCCTGACAAATCGGAGATCTGGGCTTGGTAAGGTGGCTGCTTGACTCGCCCACTCTTCATCCAACCTTCGTCTCCTGCTCTCATCATCCAAGACATGATAGCCGTACAGCAGGCTGTACCCCTCCCAGATCCGCTCTCGGTCCCTGCCAATGCGCCTGAACATTGTCCTGTAAGCTGTTCCGTCTTCAGATCGAGGTACGTTCTGACCACACCGCCAGGGAACGGAGTCGGAATGGCAGGAAAGGCAGATGCATGCGCGGGATGTGCCAACCAGGAGATATGTGCGTCCGGAGTCGCGAAGGGACCAGACCCTGCCCTACCATTCGTACGGGAGCGCATGTCGACTGTGAAGCGGAAGATCCTCGTCCTCTCCGGGAAGGGCGGAGTTGGCAAGTCCACTTTCACTGCGCAGCTAGGGTGGGCATTCGCGGCGGACGATACATTGCAGGTGCGTACCTAATCGCCATGATGCCATTCCCCGCCTCATTGTATCTGTTAGACAGGGATCATGGACGTTGACATCTGCGGCCCCTCGATCCCTACCATCCTCGGCATCGCATCTGAGCAAGTGCACGCATCCTCTTCAGGATGGTCACCCGTCTACGTACAAGACAACCTCGGTGTCATGTCCGTCGGCTTCATGCTTCCCTCCTCAAAGGACGCAGTCATGTGGCGGGGGCCCAAGAAGAACGGGCTCATCTCGCAGTTCCTCAAGGACGTCGACTGGGGCGAGCTCGACTACCTCGTCATCGACACGCCCCCGGGCACGTCCGACGAGCACCTCAGCATCGTAACCTACCTCAAAGAGAGCGGCATCGACGGTGCCGTCGTCATCACCACCCACAGAGGTCGCGCTCCAGGACGTCCGGCGCGAGATCGACTTCTGCAGGAAGGTCGGCATACCGGTGATCGGTCTCGTGGAGAACATGTCTGGCTTCGTGTGTCCGAGCTGCAAGAACGAGTCGCAGATCTTCAAGCCGAGTACCGGTGGAGGGCGGAGGCTCGCGCAGGATATGGGAGTTGACTTCCTGGGCGCTGTGCCCTAGACCCGCGGATAGGCAAGAGTGCGGACTACGGCGTTAGTTTCCTGGACGAGTACCCAGACAGCCCCGCAAGTATCGCATACCTAGACATCATCGACAGTAAGTCCCCTTTCGACGTCTCGCTGTCCTGCAGTGCTAATCATTCTACCAGAAATTAGGCAGAAGCTCGGGGATTGAGGCTCACCTCTTCTCTGCCTTTTTATTTCCGTGGACGGCTGTGTTATTGGGTCTCAGACTGTTGTAGCTACTAGATCTATTGCATGTATTCTACTCACATCCATATACAAGAGCAATCATTGGAGAGAACATTCAGTATACGCGACAGCGGGACAAAGCAAATTGTGATATACACTCTGACCCAGATAATCCAGACCCACAACAGGCTCATGCCCGTCCCTCTTCTTCTTCTTCCTCTTCCTCCTCTTCCTCTCCCAACATGTCCGCCAAAAAGTCGCCTCCCTTCGTAACAGGCGCCTCATACACCGCGAACGCAGCCGTCCGCGCTGCACCACCCTTGCCTTCCTTCTCCACGCCCTTCTTCTCCCCACCGCCGAGCCAGCGGACGTCCACCCTCTTCCGCGTTCCATGTAAACCTCAGGGCTGCGGTCAGCAAGACGTCGAGCTCCTCGTCGCTGATGACGCTCGCCTTCCCCGCCGCCGTGCTCGGCACGACCTCGATCTGCTCGCCCTCGAGCTTGAGGAGCGCCGCGGCCATCGCGGCCATCGTCTCCTTCCTGTTGCGGCTCGGCGCAAGCGTCGGGTCCTTGAATTCGCCTGCAAAGAGGGACCGCGCTTGGTGAGCGAGACTGCGGACGACGGAGAGATGGTGAGGACGTACCTTTGGCGATGACGAGCGCCTCGAGCTTGCGCTTGTCGTTCGCGCGCTGCATGATCTTCGTCTCGACGGTGTGCTTGCTGACGATGCGGAACACGAGCACGGGTTTGTCTGCCCAATGCGGTGCGCCCTGTCCTGCGCCTGCAGGTCCATCTGAGGGTTCTGGGAAATGATACTTGTCAATACAACACGGCGTAGCGGACATGACTCTGGGACTCTCACCCAGTCCTGGTCGTAGAAGATGACCGTATCTGCAGCAACTAGGTTGAGACCCAATCCTCCAGCCCTCGTGCTGAGCAGAAAGAGACGCGGCGCGTCGGGAGCGTCCCCGCTCTTCTGGAACCTGTCCACCTCATCCCGCCGATCGGCCATGGACGTCGACCCGTCGATACGACACAGCGACCACCCCTTGAACTCAGTAGCCCAGTCCTAGATCCATAACATCAGTCAACACCGGAGTGGACCAGGTGCATGGAAAGCTCCGCACCTCAATGATATCCAGCATAGTCGTGAACTGGCTGAAGAGCAGCACCTTGTGGCCCCGCTCGAAAAGCTCTACTAACAGCCGTTCAAGGACCATCATCTTCCCGCTGGCTGTCGACAACTCGTCATTGATCACGGGCTGGCGGGTCTTCGGGTCTATCGGCCAATCGAAGAGGAACGGATGCGAGCAGACCTTGCGGAGCTGCATCACCATGTTCTGCAACGACATCCGGTTCACCTTGGACACTGGAGTGCCGGGCCATGCATGTTTCAGTGTCTAGAAACATCTGGTTTGGGCGGGACTTACATAGTGCCTTCCTGCGCCATTCGCGTGCGAGCTCTTCATTACTTTTCTCCTGCTCTCTTCTCCTGATGTCGTCGATCTCTCCAGCTTCCAGCTTCCTGAAGTACTCGTCATCGTTCCCATCCACAGCGTAGCTCTTTCGCTTGGTTCGCCGCAGTCCCGCTCGGCCCTTCCCTTTTGCCTGCGCCTTCAACGGAACCTCTTCCTCGTCGTCCGACTGGCCTTGCTTCTCGGCCGCCTCCTTGGTGAGGAGCGCGCGCAGGCCTCCGCTCGCGATGGCGTCGTACAGTTCGCGCTGGCGCTCACTCAGAGGCGCGTAGAGCACGTACTCCTTCTTTGGTGGCAAGTTAGTCTCGACATCGACCTTGAGTCGCCGAAGCAGGAACGGTCGCAGGATCGAGTGCAGGGAGTGTATGATCTGAGCGGAACGCGAGCTCGAGAGATTAGCTTGCAGCTGCGGAAGATTGAACCACTTCTCGAACGCCTCAGGATCAGAGAACATATCGGGAAGCACAAAGTTCAGGAGAGCGAATAACTCGGAGAGGTTATTCTATGAGATGTGCCGTTGTCAGCTAGAGCCTGGGCGTAACTTGTTGTCGACGTACTTGCAGCGGTGTCCCTGTGAGGATCATCCTCGAGCTTGCTGGTATCATCCTGAGTTCGCGGATCAGTCTGCAGTTCATATTCTTCAGTCGATGCCCTTCATCGACGACAATGAAGCCCCAGTAGTACTCCGCCAGGTAGGCGCGATCCTTCATGAGCATCTCATATGTCGTGATGACCACGGGGAAATTGGTGCGCTGATGTGGAGGTAGGGACGTTGCCTTCTTGCTGACGCTGACGCGAGTTGAGACGAGTTAGCACGGCCCTTGTTATTCTTCGCTGTGGCCTTGTTCTTTGAAGTCTTTGATTTCCCCTTCGATGAAGATGAGGAAGCAGCTGGGCTGGCCCGCGAGAGGAACCACCTTTCTGTCTGTTTTGGCTTGCATGTCCGCTTCCGAGAACACCATCTTTTGTGTCGAATCTCAGCACGCTCCTCGGCGTACCATGGTACATGACCACAGGAATCTAAGTATCAAAACTTCTGTGAGTGAGTTCAGCAATCAAGACGGAGACACGCACGTCAGGAGCAAAGCGTTCAAACTCTTCCACCCAGTTATTCAACACGCTGAGCGGGCACAACACAAGGAAAGGTAGCGAAGAGCGCTCACGCAGAAAAGCGTGGAATGCAATGGTTTGGAGTGTCTGCGTAGAAATATGAGCATCTCGGACCCAAGTGCAAATGACTAAGACGGACCTTTCCCAGACCCATCTCATCGGCTAGGCAATAGTCAATTCTCAGCGCAACCGTCGATCACATCGCGAACGTACCTAGGATGCCCGACATTCCACTCTGGTGCAGCGCAGCCATCCAGGCGACACCTTCCAGTTGATAGTCTTTCAATGTCGCACCAGTGATCAGTGCAGGTTGTTCGAACGGCGTCGTGTCCTTCGCATCCTTCGCGTCATACGTGTCTGTGGCCTGCGGATCCTCGTCCAACTTCACGCGCTTTGCAGTATGTGCCTTGCCATCTTGTCCATCCGCCCGCAGTCGCTCTTCGTGCTGCCTTTTTGTATGGTGTCACTGGAGGTGGACTTCTCGGCCTCTTCGACGTCGGTGCGTTGCGTTTGATCGTGCGGTGAGTACCGCTCAACTTCACCCTATCCATTTGCTGCTTCAGAACCTCCACGATGACGGTGGACTTCTCGAGCAGGTTGGTGAGCATTTGAAGTCGCTCAGCTGTTCCTGTAGACATCCAGGTTAATTACATTCTAAATTACGCGAATGGGGCCCGACGACTAATGATCGTGTAACTTACTTGGTCCTCCTCCACATCAGGCTCCTTCTCATCTGAGTCTGGTGGCGGTGGGCTAGACGCGGGCGTACTGCCCTCCGAATCAGCTGCACTCATTGGGAAGACGGGCGAGGAAGCTCGAGAGGATAGCGAAGGCATTTCTAAGGTCGCTCAGAGTACTGTGCAACGAATGCGGATGATGGTCGCGTTATGAAGTCGACCGTGGCCAGACGCGCTCGCGTCCAAGGTCCGTGTGACAGAGTGACGGCGCGTAGTGTGACCAGTCGCGCCGATGTTATGCGACGCGTCGCCTGTCACCCTCCAGCGGCGCTCTCCGACTGAGTCTAAGTACACAGCGAATGCATTGCGGTCGACATGAGCCTATCTACACTAGTGATACATCTAGATCATGGGTCATCTATGCAGCTGCAACGAGTCCATCCATACAGTACACGTCGCTCGAACACACTTCGAGAGGTCTACTCATCCTGCTTTGGCGGCGACTCCAGCTCTCCGGGCATCTCCGACGGAAGTGCCTCATCTCTCTCCTGCACAATATACTTCCCAATGGGAGCAATATCCGCCAGCCCACCTGCAAAGCCCTCCCCACTCTCGTAGATCGACACAGTCGAGAGTGTCCTGAGCAGCCTGCGCCGCTATCGTATCCGTATGTCGACGCAGTCCTCGATCGCGCCGGCACGACGTAGTCCTCCTTCTGCGTCGGAAAAGCCACTGTGCTTGCCCCACCGATGGCCTCGCCACCGCCGCCAGACGGCCTACGCGACGGTGTCGGCCGATACGATGTAGATGCGGACCCGCCGTATAGCGAGTTCGTCCGCGACGGAACATACGTGCTCGATCGTCGCGAATAAGCAACCATGGGGTCAACGGGCTGCTTCGTCCTCGGAATGGGTTTTCGTCGTCGAAGGCGTGTCGTCCTCCGCCAACCGCTCCTCGGGCTTCGCCGGCGGCTCCAGACCCTCGAAGACGCTCTGCGCCATCTCCGGCGTGGCAAGAAACACCGCGTCGTCCACTCCTGGTGGCTGCAGATTCTCTGCCATCTCGCGAATCTCCTCTAGCTTGCGCTTGATCTCCCGTGTGGGTGACGGTAGTGCGCTGGGTCGGCGAGGCAGCTCCGAATCTAGCTCTGGTTCTAGTTCCGGCTCCGGCTCCGACTCCTCAACAGGAATACTGCGCACTTCGCCGCGATAGTCTTGTATCTCGTTGTATAGCGCCTCCTTGTACTGTTCCAGAGTCTCTATAGCTTCGAGCGTTCGCCACCGTTCGAATGGCTCAGGGCAGTCGGGCTCGTCGGTGATGTCGTGGTACGACGCAAGCCAGGGGTGTCGAGTGCTTCAGGGACTGTGATTCGCGCCGCAGGATCGAACGTGAGCATTTTGGAAAGGAGATCAAGAGCTGGTAACGTCTTCAGCGACGCACAAAGAGTACACAAAAGGCAGTGTATACCTTGGAAATCTGCTACTGGTAGAACCTTTGAGAAAGGTACTCTTTTCTTCCAGGGCAGGGACCGTATGTACGCCCGTGCCTGCCGACACTCGTTAGCCCAAATATTACACAGTCTGAGGCACACGGTCCGCACTTTTGGACTTGCTATGCGATCGACGACGTCGCTCTCCGGGGTACCTAGGCACATTGTTGCTCGATCGCAGTCCGGTAAATGTTCGTGCATCACGACATACCGAGAATCTCGAGGATCTTGTTCAATTGGTCGACTGCAGACAGAAGGGGCACTTGTAGTTAGATGGGACATTCATTCGTATCCTGCATGGAGTGAGCTGACCATAGCTGCGTGACAAGTGTCAGATGCTGGCAAGCAAGGACAGAGGGTCCGTGCTCACTCCTTCCCCTTGAATACTGGCCTGCCAAGCATAAGCTCTCCGAAGATACAGCCTACTGACCAGACGTCGACTGAAGACAAGTCTTCAGCATCATTTGATACCCTACATGAACAGTCACGTACTAGCTGTGTTGTACCCCCTTCATCATGCACTCATTGGTGATCAGATAACATACGGTAAGCAGGGCCCACTCACTTGAAAGCAAGCATGATTTCCGGCGCACGGTACCACCTCGTCGCAACGTACTCGGTCATGTTGGTCGGCTCCTCATCCGGTTTTGAGTTGAACCCTCTACTCAGACCGAAGTCACAGATCTTCAGCTCACAATCGGCGTTTACCAACAGATTGCCGGGCTTCAGGTCTCTATGTACGACGGACGCGGAGTGAATATACTCATGCCTCGGAGAACCTGGTAGAGGAAGTACTGGACGTGCTCATTGCTGAGCATCTGTCCAGATTTTATGATTTGGTGCAGATCCGCTGGTGCGAAGTCAGGGATCTCAACGAGAGTGGTGTGGTGGGGATTTCGCACCTTCCATCGGCTACCCACACCGTCGTCAAAACCCCGTTAGCCGGACAATCGTTCGCACAACCTGATATATAACGAACCTCCATAAAGATATATCTGCACACTGTCAACTCTTCGCAAGCGAAATAAATGTAGTGGCGGCTCACATCTCACTCAAGTCCGGAGTACAGTCCACATCTATGAGGCCGGTGATATTCTCATGATTGAAGTGTCGCAAGAGGGTGATCTCGCGCAATGCACGCTTTGCAAGCTGGACCTTCTCTGTCGCGCGAGTGACCATCTTGATCGCCACCGGCTCTCCGAGATCTCGTCCGCGGCCGAGCTGCGAGATCTTCGTCAACACGACGGTCCGGCGTTCTCGGTAAAGAATAGACTAACATGACATAGCCGTACGCTCCGGACCCCATCTCGCGAATAAGCTTCCATCGTTTCTCGACATGGAACGCCTTGCCAAAGGAGGACATGAGCGTATGGTATCCTCTGCACACGAACGGTTAGATTCGGCCACGATGGACTTGGAGACCTACGCACCGTCGCCGAAGTGCGTCACTCGACCGGGTGCGAGCCACTGCACGCGTCCGCGAGCGTCCACGCCGGCCGCTGGAGGAGTCGGGCGAAGGTATCGGGGACGACGACTTGCCTCGACCGTTCTCCTGTCTCTCGCTCTCTTTGTCCTTCCGTCCCCGGAGATCGTTGTCGGTGCCTGTGGTGGGGGAGCAGTAGCCATATCACAGTCGGATCCCGGATGCAGCTGCAAGTAGTCGGCGGTAAGTGGGTTCGGAGCCGCTGATCGCTGACACCGGTGTTGAGCAAGACGATGGTGGGCGTTCGGGACACGTCGGTAGATGGATACGAGGTTGGTCGTTTAGAAGACGGAGCGAATTACGTGCAGATTACATCCCGTCCTGCCTGGACCAGGACCGGCAATACCAATGGCACGCACAAACATGCACACCTAAACTGGGGCGCCAGATACAGATCTCGCTCCCAGATGACATGCCTCCTGTGCATGCGTCGAAGACAGATGTCCCCTGCTTGCACCCGTGCTGCCTCACTCGCCGCGGTCTCTCTCTGCGATTGACCCATGCAGCACAGTCGATGGCACTCCAGCTCAAGCGGACGGTACGACGATGTCACATGGTTGAAAGCACTATAGTACAACTTTGCATAACAATCCTCGAACGAAAGCAGTCCCACAGCGATCCACACATCTGGTCTCGCAGATCACGCACGCTATACTTCCATGTACCAACAGCCATCACGCGTCCACCGGCACCCACGACTCTCCCTCTACAGCCGCACCACTCGTCTGGGCGCGTGGAGCACGAGGGCGACTAGTCTGCCTAGCCACGCTCTCGTCCGCCGAGTCCTCCGTGTTCCGCACCGTGACCGTCTCGGTGTCCGGCACCTCTCTCCGCCCCTTCTGTTGGGTAGTCCCCGGGGTGGTCGCAGAGCGGACTCGCCGACCATCGCGGTGGCGCCCAGCGGCCGTGTTACTCCATACGACACGCCCGCGACCATCGGTCAAGAAGGGCGGGTCACTGTCATGCAATGCTTCGGCCAGCAGCGTCAGCGCAAGGAGGCCTGGCACCCTCGCGCGGAGGCTCAACGACTGGAGCCGCAGGTGAGCAGGAAGCTCGCTAGCCTCCAGCGAGCGCATGACATCCTCGACCCGCCTATCAAACTCCGATGCCTCACTGAGCAATGCCTCAGCCTCGCGCGAAACCTGCTCGTCGCTTTGCACACGATCACCTTGTGTTGGGGTTGCGTTGAGGTCCGTCGGAGCAAGCGCATTGGTAGCAGAACCAGGAAGAGGGCGCGCCTCGTCGAGGGCGACGCTTCGACTGATCGAGATCGATCGTGGTTGCCGATCGACGACGGTGCTGAAGCGGCTCCGAGGGATGGGCTCAGACGTTGCTCGGTCGGGGCGGAGCGCCTCTGGGTCGGAAGTGCCAATGGGAGGGGTCGCTGCCCTGGGTGCAGGTATTGGCAGTGGGGATTGGCTGCGCGAAGTGACTGTCACCGATGTATTCACCAGTGTTTCGTCTGTACCGACGGGCGATGGGGCGTCGGACGTCCATGAGGTAAGGCGCATTGCCTACTCGAGTATCTAGTAAGATCGCCTGTTCAGTTAGACAGAGCAATCAGACCCGTTGAGGGCAAGGGGAAAATAGGAAACGCCATCACGTACTAGTCTTGCAACCATATCCTCCATCCTCACGTTGTCGTTGACCAGGGAAATGCGGAGGTGTGCCGAGGTTGTCATCCGGGGACATGAAGTGTCCGAATCACTTCCCTGGTCGAAGTCACGCTCCTCAGGGATGTCTGAGAGGCTGGCGTCGTCGTCATCGTAATCATACCCCATGAGAGCGCTATTCATCATCCGACGGAGATTAGCATATCGTTCCCTTTCCTGTCGCCGTCTAAAGACCTACAGTACCATTGGGTAAATGGGATAGTCAGAGGACAGAGTGGCTCACCCTCATGTTGTGTTCGACACCAAGCGCGAAGACGTAAGGAGAACCGTCGGCGTTGCAATGCTGAAAGAAACAATCTTTGCCGAATGGACAGAACCTGTCTTCGACGGGTGACTGCTGGAAGTACCTGTGTCGTACTATCAGCCAATGTTGACGCGGGGCACTAAATATAAGACGTACTTGCAAGGCACCCTAGCCATGCTCGATTTGTACTCCTCGATGATAGCAGCCTTTCGCGGGTGACCCTCCGGGAAGAATTGACTCGATGGCGTAACAAACTTCGAGGACGCTCGACATAGTGGACACTGCTTCGTGACACCGACGCGACAACATCATCCGACTTCCGTTGGAGGCACGCCATTCGCGGATGCACCCAACGCAGAAGATGTGACTGCAGCCCGCCAGAAGGCCGTACGTTACAGGCTTCTCATAGCAGATGCAGCAGAAGGGCTCTTCCACGTCCTCCGCGGGCGGTGGTGCTGATGTAGATACGGCAGCGTTGGTTGGACCCGGGTCAGCGTGCTTGAACCAGCAGTCGGCACCACGGCGGCAGTAGCCATTGGCGTAGTATCGGCACGTCTTGTTCTTGTCGTAGGGTGTGAGCTTCTCAGCCTCACCGTGGAGGAACTTGCACTTGTTCCCTGCGTAGCAGCCGCGTGGTGAGTTTGCTGCGCGGTGACCATCCACATCAGCGCTGATCGCCGTAAAGAGAGCGCTGTCCACTCACTAATAGCGACATGTTCCTCTGGCTTTGGACGTCACAGGGCGTTCACCGTTCATAAGGACGCTGTTGGGCGAGCAGACCAGTGGCTTCCCCGAGAGGAAGAGATCGTAGGCAGCGAGAATCAGAAAGGAGAGATGAAGAGACAGGATAGTGTATTTATTATATTATCGTATAGTCGTTCAGTGAGAGCTGCGGTGAGATGGTGAAGGATGGTGGGCAAGTTGTGCAAATAGGCGCGGGCGAGGTCGTGCTCAAGGCATATGGCGGAGTTGCCTATTCGGGATGAAGAGTACCCGGGCGCCTATTGTATCGGGCTGGGATCTCGGCCACCTCAGCACTTTAAGAGCCCTTCCCGGTCCAAGAGCAACACAATCATCCCGTTTAGAGTGTGATTGTATCATAGTACACTTTGAAGATGTGTTTCATCACTTTTACTGATTTATGAGCATGAATATGAGAGTCGTGAATATTTCCGTGACAAGGGTACAACTTATGGACGCCCATATATCCCAGTCAACCTCAATTGAGTGGCACACACCGCTAGAGATCGTTTGCGGGCCTAGAGCTAGTTGTTACAATCTCTGAGGATACAACGACAACAAAAATAGTCTAAAATAGTCTCATTTTTGGGCTGGAAGCCGGAAACCGTGACGAGAATGTCGGGGTGAGTGTGCTTAGGTAATACTTACCAAATCCGGGTATCATCGCTCGGATTCATCACTCCTATTCACAATTTCTGCTGTAGGAGCCTGTAAGTAAGCCTATGCGAAGAACAGATGATAGCTTCATGACAGTCACCGGGAACAGCACTTCCGAGTCAACTGTCGAACATGCAACGGAAACCACTCCTTGTGGAGAACCGTTTCGGAGCACATTTGGGATCCAAAAGATTGACGAAGATGTTATATTTTCGGTCGACGAATTTCGTTTTTTGGTAATTCGTTGAATATCCTTCGTATTTTCGGCATACCTTCGGACTTCAAACATGCTCCGAAACGGTTCTCTAACCAGGAGCGTTGTTCATTGCATGTTCGACAACCAATTCCCAAGTATTGTTCCCGGTGAGTAAGTATTCAACTCGTGGCCATGGGAAGAGTAGCAGCTGTTTGAGGCCTAGTGGCCGAGATCTTGGCCCGATACAGTACTTACGGTGCAGCCACAACAACTTGCTCCGCTCTCCTTTGCTAGTCTCGCTCATGTCCTTGCCGTCGACGACCACGACAAGACACCAGCTAGTGTCTGCGCTCGGTCCAAAGGCGCCTCAGTACTGGCATGTTTTGCGCGAATATCTGACAGCGCACATATCTCGTACCGAATTCGACGAGCAAGTCAAGGCACTCCTCGAGACTACGCAACTATGTTCGTGTCCTAGTAGACATCGCCTTTGTTCTCCTGACATTTTCATGTAGTGCAGCTGCACAACTCGCTGATAGTATCTCTCTTTGACACCTCCGCACATCTCGCACCGCCCACACCGCCGCCAGACCTCCCCAAGCCACCACCGCGGAAGCGGCGACGAACACTACCGTACCAGGGAGCGGACAGCTATGACACGGCGACACTTCGCTCAGACAGGTTGAAGAGGTGGACGGTTGGGCTGGGAAGGCGGGAGCGGGAGCGCGTACGGCAACTTGAACAATTCGCTGTGCCACTGGAGTCGCGACCTCAGCAATACAAGGACGAGATTGCTGCCGACCGAGGAATTCAGGTACTCCAAGAACGTGGAGGTACGTGGCTGTCGAGTTCCTCTGACTGTACTCTAACATACTCGGCAGAACCTCCAGGGAGTAGGCTGCCACTGCAGTTAGCTTCAATATCTCGGGGGTTCACCTTGCAACATATCTCTGACCGTATGAACCTTGTGTGTGCGCAGAGCAACCTTGGCGCGCCCTCGAGACTCGTTTCACAACTCATGATGCTTGGATTCGAGGTGAGCTTTCCTGTCGTCTGCGCCGTTTGTGCGAATTCATTCCTTCGCGCAGGCGAAGCTCAAGCAAATCATCTCTCAAGCACTCTCCCTTACTTCAACGTCGCACGCCATCACCTCCATTCAAACCTCTGGGAAGAAAACGAGCAGTTTCATTCTTCCCGTCTCCGCCTTCGAGACCCTTTTCACAGTCTCGCCAGCTGTGCTGCCAAACAAGTCAGCAGCGGCCATGCGAATGGCGCTAGGCGACAACGATGGGGTCGAGGAAGAGCTGCCATTGCGAGAACGTGAGACACACGATCAACGGTGGCAGCTGCTTTCCCTGCTCAGCGAACGCAGTACTGTGAAAGAAGCTTTACGGGCGTTGAGATAGGGGCATGTGGCCTTCCTGGATAATAGTCGGTGGGAGTATGTACGACAGGAGGGAGCAGGTGACGCTGCAGTGATGCACTGTATTTCATGTACTTACCTCGATACCCATGATCGCAGCGTCGAGGGTCGAATGTTGACTTGCAGAGCTTTGCAGAGATTGGCCCTGAGCCGGCATCCGGGCCGTTCCTGACCTGTGCTTCCGACGGGCCACCGTACGTCTTGTCCTCTGACCAGTATATAAGGCTAGTGGACGTTGTGTCCCCGTTACTAGAACTTGAGCACCGCAATTATGGCATCGACTCAAATGTTCGTACTGCGATGGGGTGTTGTCTCCACTGGCCGAATCGCCATGGAATTCGTGAAGGTCCGTGTGGCGGCAGCAATGTTATCAGATCGTTCTGAATTTTCTGAATTCGTACCGTATACGTTAGGACTCCTTAGTGGATCCTGCTACGTGAGTAGCCTTCTGCGACATATCTGTCGAGTTCTTCGGGCAGTCTAATAGGTTCGAACGTTCTTTGCATAGGCGTGGAACCGTCGATGTTGTCCACAAGGTCGTAGCGGTCGGGTCTCGACATGGCGCAGTGCAGAAGGCCGTAGACTTCATCGCCGCACACGCGAAGGGGAAGCCTATCCGTGCATACGGAACATACGAGGAGGTCTTCACAGATCCGGTGCGCGCCTCCCACTCCGAGTCATGCCCGCCGAGACGCTCACTAGTGCAATGTTGAACACAGGATGTCGACGCGGTCTACATCGGTGCGCGGGTGTACCATTATACGAAAAACCTGCAGGATGGACTTACCTTTATTTTGCGGAAGGTTCGCCACACACGCAGCATTACACGAACGCTCTCGCCGCGCTTCTCGCAGGCAAGCACGTCCTATGCGAGAAGGCGACCACATCCAACGCAGCTGAGCTGCGGCAACTGATCAAGATTGCCAAGGAGCGCAAACTGTTCTTCATGGAGGCGATGTGGACGCGGTTCCAGCCTTTGACCCTCGAGGTGAAGCGCATTGCGGAGGAGGGCACTCTAGGCGACCCAGTTCTTTTGCACGCAGACTTGTCGCATGACTTCGACATTGACAGTAAGCCAAGTCACCAAGTATCTTCCTATGTTGGGAGTTATAATTTCGTACATCGCGCAGACATCCCCAAGTCTCACAGAATGATGGACCCGCACCTGGGCGGAGGAGCGCTTCTCGATCTGTACGTTCTCTCGCCTATCGCTGAATATGTACTTACTTACCGAGCGTACCTTCCAGAGGTCCTTACCCCATGATCTGGGTATGATGGAGGTTGTATTCATTGCGTGTTCTGACGACCCTTGCCCAGGCCGTGCTCGCTCTTTATGAGCACCCCTCAAACAAGAAGGCCCTCCCCACCTCTGTTAGCGCGTCTATGGTGAAGACACTACAGACCGGCGTCGACAGCAGTACAAGCTGGATCGTTAACTTCACCGAGACACTGAAGGCTCAGGCAGTCCTCACGTGCAGTATGACGCTGCCCACAGCACACTTCGGTGCGACAATTCGGTACCGCAACGGGAACATCATCATCGGCACTCCAATCTTTAAGCCGTCACATTTCGTCGTCCAGTACTTTGATAAACCAGGCAGCGGCGTCGTGGTTCGCGAGGAGAAGCGAGCCTTTCACTATGTGGGTGGAGGATGGCATTTCGAAGCGGATGAGGTCGCACGGTGTGTTCGGGATGGCAAGATTCAGAGCGAGCTATGGGGCCATGATAAAAGTCTCCTGCTGATGGATACCTTCGACGAGGTACGCAGCGCGTGCGCTTTATTCGCAATAGGGGCTCTGACCTCGCATTCTAGGTTCGCCGTCAAGGAGGGTATAAATTGCCCGACGGCGTCGAGAAAGTGCTGTAAACCAGCTTGAAGTATGGTGAACGTCAATACCAAGTGCGTGTATGATAGGTATCCTTGCATCCGACGCAACAATGGAGTCTTGTCTTGCTGGCGTCAATGTGTCGAACTACTGCACCTTCCTTTCTTGGCGATGGTATTCCAGTGCACTCGGCCGCGGACCTCAGCGAGTCCGTGGTTCGTTTGCCTGTGACACACAGCATGGCCGACCGTGCGATTCCTCAGCTTGTCTTCGATTGAGAACTTGATAGGCGGTCATACGGAACGGCGGCGCTTCAGCGAGTATTATCGGCATGTGGCCTCACTATGAAGGCCCGTCTCGGACAAAACCCCAATGCGCTACTGAGCAAGTGAAGGGGGCACAAGGGAGCGTTCGGGGGTACAAGGGAGCGTTCGGGGGCACGAGGGAGCGCTCAGGGGCACAAGGGTCCACTCAAGACCACTCGAGCTCACAGGGGGACGAATGGGCTCTGTCGGGCACACTCGTGCTTCCGAGCAATAGCGATCAATCCCATCTCCCCACGCAGTATGCCACGGTTACCTACGGTATCACATCCATTCTCAAGTGCTTACATTACATCTCATTGCGTCACTTTCCTACCTTGCACTCCGCTCCACTCGGAATACCACGATTTCTCTCGTGAACTTGAATGAAACTTGACTTCCTGTCCCATCACGTCCCCTCACATCCTCTCATGTTCCAACCCTTCACTTCCCATCAGTTCCCGTCAGTACATAGTATACAACAGCCATTTTGTCCAGCAATGTGTTTTGTCCAAGGGTCTCCGGCCATAGTCTATGACCCCAAGCACGTACAATTGGGTGCCAGCCAATCAGTCTTCTTGAAATGAGGTAGGTTGCCGAGGCCCATCCAGATCCATTGTTACTGCAGGATGGATTGCGGCAACCTATGAAACACTTCAGCATTGCGTTGCCACATCCCTCTCTCTTCTTCGTTCCGTACCGTTCCTCTTCTTCTTCTTTCTTTAACACTCTCACCTCTCATTCTCCCCTTTTTCGTACTCGTGTGCAGAACAGAGTCTACATATGAACACATTCATTGGGAGCATACAGGAGCCATTGTGCGTCACCAAACAAGTGTTCTCTGACAACGAGCATCTAACCAATGGTCTTTAGCTCTGCACGGCGTCCCCCTAGGTCGACCTCGTCAGACTTGTCTCAGGCTAGTAGCGAGTTGTCCAATTTGTCTGAACCCAGGTTCGTCTTCATTGCATAAGTTGGGAGAGTACGAAGCCTGACAGTACTCATTATTGCCTTATTGCCTTCAGGATTGATCTTCCCGCCTTACCAGCTCTTCGTGCCTCCGCTGAACCAAACAGATATCCTACAATGTGTGTCCTGTTCTCTGTTCGTGCCTGGTCACCATACTGATGTGTCTACTACCTACCCAGTCCTCGTCTGCCTACACCGCTCCCACTTCATGTGAGGCCAATTGGTAGCCAAGGAGCTTTCGGTGGCGCTCCCCTTGCTCCGCCAATCCAAGCGTTCCAGCTCCCACCTCTGTCATTGCAATCTTCAGACACAAGACGAGCTCACAGTGTGCAGCTACTGCCACTGGATACCTCAAACCGAGGCCAGGTACGTGTTTCCGAAGTACGGTTGACGTCGCTGCATGTCTAATGCTGCATTTCTGGTTAGGTGCTCAATGCTCGTGCACAATTTGCCCCTGGAGAAGTGGTTGACATCGTAATCTTGCCATTTTCGGTGAATTGTTTCCCTTTTGTTCGTCTTTATCTCTTACGAGGCTTGCAATCAGGTGGAAGATGGGAAACGACTGTTTGTTCATGGCTTTGCAATCACTGAGGTGGAGAAGCAGACACTGTTTGGTCTCCTCAGAGAACACGGTCTTGTCATCTCGGTGGCTCTCGACGACCAGGATCCTGAGTCTCAGATTGATCAACATGTCCGCCGGCATTGCGAGCAGCACCGCCTCATCTTCCCGACCTCCCAATCAAACTGGGCTCTGCCTACACTGCGCATGAAAGACGTCGTGAAGATTCAGTTTGTAAAGCCTACTACAGATTCTCGGTCGGCTTCCTTCTCGTCGATGAAGAGCAAGTTTGTGAAACTTCGGGGCGCACTTGAACCTAATAGGGTGGTCATTCCTGTTGGTGAGTTGAACGTTTTTCATTCAATGGCCTGTATTTCGCCCGTCTTACGTCTTACCCATCTTAGTTCCTGTTGAGTCTGCGATCTCGGGTCCAATTTCAGCCTTTGTTGCTGCTGGACACCCAATTGACCCTCAGCTCTCGCACCGATGCTACTCGCGGCGCTTCTTTGCTCGCTTTCGGCCACCACAACTTACTGAAGCCACTGATACCTTCTGTACACGCAGCCATTGCCTGGCAAATGTGCCACCACGTCCACTTGACTGGGAACAGGTTATCACTGCCCATGTACCTCCTGCAGCGTCGCTCGTGTGTAGAACTCTTTTTGAATTCTTTTTGAATTCATTCTTACTCACTATGCACTACGTAGCCCACTGCGGAGGTGGCTATGGCTATTGACCCTCAGCAGTTACTTGCCGTACATCCGGTGGTAGCAGTACCGGTAGCAGTACCGGTGGAACCTATGCTTGAACAACCTCAGCAGGCATCCCCTTCCCAGGATAGGCCCTTGGGTGGCGCTACTGGTCGTACCTCTTCACTTGCCCCATTCCCCGATCCTGGTCCACTGTTTTTTCCAGACGATCGGATGTCTCCAATAGGGCTCCGCCGCTTTCGGTCTGAAAGCCTGGATGATCTGGTGCGTGCGATCCTTACTGTTTGTTTCAATTCTGATTTGCTTACACTGTTTCATTAGAGTGCTGCTCCCCCGCCAAACCGCCAGCGCCTGGGCAATAGAGTCGTGCGTGCACAATCACTTACGATACCATTTCTATGTGACTAAAGTTAATGTATACAAGCAAATGGATGGTTCAGCTACGCATCCGTTCATCTTGAGCCAAATGGAAGGTTCAGCTGCTAATCCGTTCGTCTTGAACGAATCCGAGGCAACCTTGCTCTCAGAAACTCTCATTATCAGGTGGCTTCTGCAGTGAGTTACTCGTCCTGCATACTATTTGCATTAGCTGACAAAGACAATGCTAGGACTGGAAGGCCAGCCTATTGCAGCCAGTACTTGCCGATTCAGCGACCGCACTCCGATTCAAGGATGCGTTCTACAGCGCTTGCGCTGAGACTTCGCAGCGGAGGGCGGTCCTCAAGTCTATATGACAGCACCCAACATCAAGTTTGCAGCTCGCACAGTGACGACATTCCTTGCTTATCACCTTCAGAATAGAGACGGTGCGACCTTCCTACCGACATATAGGGCTCCATTGGGGACCGTGGTTCATGACACTCCGCTATCTGCATTCCTCAACCCACTGACTAGGGGGATCTACGTGTAAGCAATCACTCTTTCACTGATGGGCTCAATTCTAATTACGATATGCTCAGTGGACCTGCTCTTGGGCGTGGCCCAGAACTAGCAACACTCAGAGAGATCTTGAGGGTGCTTCCGGACCCTCCCGAAGACGCAGATTTTGGGTATCCACCACCGGCACGCTACCCAGAACCGCTGGCTATGCCATGGGGTCTGTGGCAGAAGCACCATGACTTTGCCGTTCCAGCCCTTGATGCCGTCACACTGGAGGAAGAGCGAGTGCGGATGCTCTCGGCACACGGTATGGTTGCTGCATTGACAATGGGTCACCATCTTCTAGCACCGAAGCCGATCCACCCTCTTGTCATCCTCTGGGCAATCTTGGGTGACCGCGCATTCGAAATGTCGGTTGAACTCCTCAAACAGTTTGACTCGAGTGCAGCAGAGGAGCTTCGCCCATGGTTTGAGCTTGGTTATGATGAGCGCCTCCCCTCAGAAGGGGCGTATTGGTCTCATCCTGTATGGCGCCTCCTCATGCATCATTTCGGTATGCAGGTACGCTCAATGTCAGTTCAAATCCGCCGAGAGAGTTATGCTGAGATACTATGTCTTTCAGCCTCATCGGATTGGATTTGCACCCGATGCGGCTAAGAGACTAGAGTACACTCGCCAGCTCATCTCATCCGTCGTGTTAGGCAAGATTTCCAATTCAGCTGCAGAGCTCATTGCATTCCGCCGTGGGTTCAATCTGGATTTCACTGCAACAGACTCTGAGGGTACGGGTATACTGAGCTTGACTGAGGTATGTGCCCAGCCTAAAGTTGCTCTCGTTCAAGTTGCTGTATACTTACTCATATACTTACTCGCACAACAGCTCTTTACATCGCCGGATGAGAGAACGTTTGGAGACCGGTGTCTGGACCCGGTTGTCATCCTCAGAACACTTTACGACCGCACCGTGAACAAGCCGCATGACGTTGTTCGCCTCATTGTTTTTCTGTTCACTCCAGGCAGTCCACAGAGCGAGCGCAGTCTATACGAGCGGATCCTTCAAGGCCGCTTGCTTCGCTGGTTGCACGGACCAGGGCACCCTGATCACACCTTGTGCGCAACACCGTTCTTGTGGATCGCGACTACGGTGATCTGTCGACGCTTCGTGCACGGTTGCTTTTGCAAGCAACATCGGAGTCTGATGATCTGCCTGTTGATCCGCTGAAGCGACTCACGGTGAGAGAGACTGTTTTCCAATCATTTACAGAACCTCAGGCTGACTCTCCGAATTTCAGTTTAGTTTTCGCCATGCACAAGACAACATCCGCCCACCTGTTCTCGATCTCCACACTTGCACGCAGAACTGTGTCATCGAAGTCACCCAATGGCTTCGTAACGCCCTTGCCGAACCAACTGACTTCAGCAATCCAGCCACAACGACCCTGTTCGACTGCTGGCTCCACGAGCAAGTACTGCATAACCAAAGAGATCACTCGACACTTTGATACTTTCGCCAATCTTTTTTGCTTCATTTCTCTCCTTTGCTTCATTTTGCTCACTCAGCGCTCACGCAGTAGTGCCATGCTATAGCTACTAGCCCTACCCATAATCGAACCGTAATCAGACGCCCTTCCTCGTAATTGAACCCCTTTCCTCGTAATCCTGTCCATTCTCCATTCTAATTGTCCAACCCCTTCCACATAATTCCTTCATTCTATCCCACGTATTTCTATCCATGAAATGATCATGGAACGGCCTTCTCGAGGCGGCACTCGACGCAGTATCGCAGTATGTATGACCGAGCTCGCTCACCCATTTCTTGGTCAGTTGGTCAGCTTTCAATCTTCTGAAAGTTTCCTCCGATGGGAAATAGCTGACACACCGCTATATCAAGTTTTGACGTCGGTGCGCATGAGGGTTCAACGAGGATAAATGGATTTAGTACCAGCGAGCGAGTATACTCACAGGCGCTTGTTTGAGTGGCGCGAATCTAAGTGTCTCCTTATACCCTGTCCATGCGCTGCGCCTCCAACTCACCATCGCCCATTCCGTAATCCACATCCTTCTCGCTCGTCAACAGCCTGCGCATCAAGATCAATTGCCAAATGAACGCGAAGGCCATTCCCGCCGAACGCAAAACATATTCTTCGACTCGAAGGTCCTGGGTAGGCAGCATGCAGAAGTTTGGGAGGAGGGCGGAAAGGTACGTCGCAAGGCAGCTTCATGCGCCGGTATAATCTCACCAATCTCACCACACCCCGGCCGTGTGTAGATTGACATCAACGACGTCAAGAGGTCTCATGGACTGTTCATCAACGGCGAGACGAGAGGCTGAGTCCCGAAGGATTCGAGTCTGAGCCGTTTGAAAGACATCATCGGTGCGTGTACGTTCCTCACTGTCAATAGCTAACGTCCCTCGCATTGAGACAGGCATATTGCACATCAGAATCAGGCACTCCCTATCAATATCGTCGGCGAGGACAACAAGACCACCATTCACAAAGTCGCAGCACGTTCTCTGCCTATTCAACGACTAGGCGCAGGAGCCCGTTCAACGCGCCTGCATGATCCCTCGGATCCCACCTCACGCCCTGGCCACTCAACCTCCATCACCCCTTCGTATGGAGGGCCTACATTGGGCTGTGCGGAATCTCGCCGCGCGCCCGGTGACCTTACCGTCCCCACTGTCTCGGAGTTCGAGGCCGCGCGACGTCAAGCCCAGGATGGAAATAGGAGCGACTCCAGTGAGTACCGAAGCCACTCGCCCTCAACCTCCCGCGTCCGCTCATCTTTCCTCACTCGACGCGCCTCCACATCCGCCATCTGTCAACCCCGTCCTCGACCTCGCCAAGTTCCGTTCGATCGACCATTCACGGAGCTGACCACACAAGCGGCCCCGACGAAGGCTGCGACCCCGCCGTCGCCGTCTCTGTCTCACCACTCGAGGTCATACCAATGCACGCGTTGAGTTCTGCGCTACACGCCGTCAGTCCCGGGGCGAAAACCAAAACCACGTACCGCCTGCTCGCAAGCGCACCGAGCAAAGTACCTCAGTGCGCAACGAAGCACGCTCGGCCGTCGCCTTTCTCTCGTACCTCTGGCGACCCCCGACCTCTACGGTACCATTCACACAAACAGCCCTCAAGACGAGCAAGTCTCCTCGCTGACGCAGGCCGACAGCGAGATCGACACACGAGCCATGCGGACGAGTGCAGGACCGGGACTCATGAGTGCGCCCGTCCGTCAGCCCTCTCCACCCTTCTCCTTGTCCATGCACTGCGCCTCCCTCTCCTACACGTCCGCATCATCCCGCGCATCCTGCGCATTCACCTCCGCCCTCTGGCTCCGCGCCCTTGCTCCGCACATCAACTCACGAGTCACGCGCCCTCGTACGACGCGCGCACTCGCATCTGCCCGTTCAGCACGCAGGACTGTCCCCGCTCGACGCGCCTGTGTCCTCATGGCGTGTTCGCCTTCAAGGGCCCTACACACCCATGTTCTGCGCTTGCGCGCTTGTCCGACGTACCCTCGACTTCGCAGTGTTCACCCAGTCGGCGACTCACCAAAATGATCACGCGGGCCTTCCGGACGAAGGCTGTGCGACCTCTCCGCACGCCCAGTAGTTGCCCGTCGTCCCGTCTCACGTCTCACCTCGCCGAGTCCGCGGAACCTGTCAGCAGAGTCGAAGCGGCTGCGATCACGGAATCAACGGCCGAGTGCATTAGCCCACCAAGAACGGCGTGTGAGGACTCAGGGAGCGAGCACTGACCGCCCCCGTCGACAGTCGACATCGAATGCGATCATACGCCTGACGGACACGGAGGCACATCATCTCGCGGAGTTGGCAGGCAAGTTCGGGCGGGTAGAGTTAGTAAGTAGACAAGCTCGTAGCAGTAGCAGTAGACAATCACAGAGCCTGAGGCAGAGTCAAGGAGAACACGCCGCGGCCGAGGTGCGATGTCGGCCCCGGCCATTGGATTTTCTCGGTCAGTTGGGTGACATCTGCTAACCTGAAAGTTTTCTAAGGTACAATGTTACCAATATATCACATCCTGAAGTTTTGTCGCTGGTGGGCGTGATGATTCAACGAGGATAAATGAGTTGAGTATCGGTGTGAGGCAGTATTGACAGGCGCTTATTTAAATCGGTCAAGCTTGCACGATACCAGGATCAATCGTGATTGAGCCATCCTTGTACTGCGTTCCTCTTCGTCTTCCCCTCGCGTTCGTGTTCACTCCGCCGCGCGTTCTGCCCCTTCCTCCTCCACGGCTCCATCGTGTCTGCGATTTGTACGTGCGTTGTACCTGAACACGGTGCACGACTTGTGCCACCATTAGCGGGAGACGGTTGACGGTGCCGAAGGTGAGTCGCACTCGCAACCCGTAGTCCGCGATAAGCACATAAGCATAGACTCGCTACCCTTGGTACGCCGACGCAGGAGCGCGAAGTGGGCACGATGCGCGAGCTCATGGAAGAACGTCGGCGCCAGATGGAGATGCTTCGAAGCCTCAGCGTGCGCAACTGGCACCATGACCAATCGTCCGAAGAACACTACATCTCCGATGATGACGCTCGAAGCATCAACACGATCGTCTCACACGAGCTGGAGAGGGTGGACGAGGAAGATGAGGAGCAGCTGGCTGCGGAAGACGACGTAGAGCGGAGGCGACGGAGACGAACTCGGTCGACCAGGGACGCCAGAGCCGACGGGTATGGCTATGGTTGAGGAGGAGCAAGAACAGCGTGATCGTCAAAGGAACGCCTGAGAGAGATCGCGCTCGCCATCGCCGTCGCCACCTCCCGCACCAGTGATTGTCGCCACCCCGCCACCCCGCCGCCTCCGACCGCCACCATCCCCGACGAGCTCATGGAACGCCTCAACACGCTGTCGAAACAGCTCGAGACGGCGCTCGAGTTCTGCCTCGAGGCGCAGCACACTATGGCCCAGTCCACAGTCCAAATGCGTGGACTCGAGGACATGTTCGGCAACGCCGTCTCGAAGCTCGAGTCCGGTCTTCGGTCCTTCAAGCATGGCGGGGCTTGGTCATGCCTCCGAGCACGCCTGTGCACTCAGCCAAGCACCTGGAGGATGCACTGACAGGCGCTCGGATGGACCGGCGCAGACGGGAGGATAATCGGAACGACTTCAGTGAGTACGAAGTCACTCGCCCTCGACCTCCCTCTCCTCCACGAAGTCTCCCGTTTGTATTCTTCTAATCGTGGGCAAAGCTCACAGGCTTACACCACGTGAAATTGGTCGGTGCGAACGCGCCGTTGGCAACGCACTCGAATCGAATGGCGTCTCTGGCTCGGTAAGGACATGAACGTCGAGACGAGCAGCGGCCCGGGCAAACGCTCCCTGCTACGCAGCAGGAGCGACGGCGAAATCCTCAATTCTGCTACGACATACGTGCCAAATCCCGGTCCCTACCTGACCCCGCCTACGACCCCGCATAGCTTGCGGGATGGTACGGATCTCTCCCCAAGCGTGCCGCGTCTGCAGGCCCTCTCAAACAGAGAACACGCGCGTTCTCGCCTTGCGGCGCTGCGCGACGGTTCCATCGGTTGTCGCCGAGCAGTTATACCGGCGGACCAGTGTTCTCGGCCGCCTTCGCAGAGGAACCTGTACGCTACGACAGCTTCGACCCGTGGTTCTCAACCTCCGTCAACAGGCAGGCAGGCCGGCGCGTGTCGCCTTTCTCGCACCCTGCCGACCCGACCTCTACCGTACCACACGGACAGCCCTTAAGACAAGCAAGTCCCCTCGCTGACGCAGGGCGACAGCGAGATAGACAGACGAGCCATGCGGACAAGTGCAGGACCGGGACTCGTCTCGAGGGGGAGGAGAGGCCACCGAACAGGAAGATTCGCGAGGAAGTACGAGCCGAGAACACTCAAGTGAGTGCGTCAGTGCGTCAGCCCTCTCCACTCTTCTCTCCTCGTGCATGCACTATGACTATGCCTCCCTCTCCTACACGTCCACATCCCGCGCATCTCACCTCCGCCCTCTGGCTCTCCGAGCCCATGCTCCGCACATCAACCCTCCAGTCACGCGGCCTGACGCGCATCTGCCCATTCCAGTTTGCGAGCCTGCCGGCTGACTCATCCTGCACAACTGGCACTGACGTGGCATGCGTACTCCAGTCGTGCGGAACCGATTGATGTACGTTGTGTCCTATCCCTATCTTCGCTGCAGTCAGGGACATTGAGCAACCCGTGTAGCTGCGCCGCGCTCCCGCTCGTCAACTCGCAGGGCACGAGCATCACCTGCACGACACAGAATGATCTTCAACAACGCATTGCTGCTACCGGGGCCTCGTCATCTTCGAACTACACGTCTTCTGCGGCGTCCTCTGTCGCAGCGAGTGCTACCGGAGGTGCTGCGACCAGCGTGTCCGTGTCGGCACTGCTACGGGCAGCGGAAATGACACCGCCGCCCAGTCCTCGCTCACGCTCCTCGACTCACTGATCAACACCGGGTTCGAGGATGACGGCACGAACGAGTAAGTGCGCTCTTTGAGTGACAGTGTGCCCTCCCTAATTGCGACGCCCCAGGTTCAGCTCCGAGTCCGGCGAAATCGCCTCCATCACCTCCTCCAATAACTTCATCAACTACTGCTCCACCGTCAACCTCCCGCTCACGACGAACGGAACCCAGGTCAAGGCGGGCTCGTGCAACGCCGCGCCGATGGGTGCCATCGCCGCCACGACCGCGATGCCCTCCGCCAAGTTCGTCAACCCGCCCAACCTCGGGTCTGTCCTCGCGAACACGAACTTCACCGTCGTCCTCGCCATCCGCAACCTCGAGACGGGCTGGTTCGTGAAACATCCATGTGCATGAACCAGACGGACAGTCCGCGTTCTTCTCGGGCCTGAACGCGGTCGCGGAGAACGGGCAGCTGTCGACGAAGAGCCTTCCGAAGGGCACGTACAGGATGGCGAGCATCAACGCGGCGGCGAACCACCAGGCGGTGCTCGTAGCGGTCGCACAGCACGGTTCGCTCGATGACATGGTCTTAGTGAGTCCTTCGCGATCCTATGTCGGGCAGCACGCGCTGACCAGGCGCGCCACTGGCTTCACGGTCCAATGAAGAGCTTGACGGTCAACTCACGAACCGGACGACACATTTTCAGTCAACCCCGTCGCTCGTTGCACGACAATGCGGGCATTTGTTTGACTTGACGCTCTGGTGTAGCTCTAACATTATTGCAGTTCAATTGTATCCATAGCCGCGCATAGCTGTACTTTACATTCCTTAACAACCTGACTTCTGGGATAGTGATTCCTTTGGTGCTTCGCGTACATTGGTGTGAAGTCAACATGGTTTGTCGCATGCCTAGTGATGTCAGTGTCTCACCCAGTTGGGACCCACCAAGATGATCACACCCGTCTGCTTTCCAGACGAAGGCTGTGCCCAGTAGTCGCCCCATGTCCCGTCTCACCTCGCTGAGTCCGTGGCGCATGTCCATGGAGCCTGTCAGCAGAGTCGACGCGGCCGCCCGCGAGTGTATGTGATCGCAGGGCTGTGTCCGACGCCTCGAGGGACGCGGAAGCGCATCATCTCGCGGAGATGGCAGGCAAGTTCGGTCGGATGGGTAGAGTTAGTAGATAAATCGACACAGTTGTAGCAGTAGGAGTAGACAAACGTAGAGCCTGGAGTCGAGGTGAACACGCCGCGGCGGCCGAGGTGCGAGCGATGTTGGCCCTGGCCAATGGATTTTCTCGGGCAATTGGGCGACCTCTGCTAATTTGAAAGTTTTGTGGGGTACAATGTTACCAGTATATCCCTCCCTGAAGTTGTCCTGCTGGTGGGCGTGACAATTCAACGAGGATAAATGACTTGAGTTTCGGAGGGAGGACTACTGACAGGCGCTTATTTCGGCGCCACTGCGCCACTGTGCCGCAACCCCGTCTGAAGATCTGAACCTGCCTTTCAAAGCTTCATCTACCACTGTCATCTTCCGCACATGTTCGCGTTCACCCTGCCACGCCTGACTGCCCTGCCCTTCGCTATTTCTCGGCCGGTGCGCCCTTTCGTCCAAACCACAGGTGAGTCGTAGTACCCACTACCCTCGACTGCGTACCCTATGGTGCACTCACAGCCAGTAGTCTGCGATAGGCCGGCGCGCCCTGTTTCGCTGTGCACCTCCCGAGTGCACCCACCGTCGACGGAGCCGGCCAGACACTACGTCGCATCACCAGCCATCTCGTACGGCTCCGAGACGCTCTTTTATCCACGAGGCGGGTATCTTGGACACCGACACGACCCTCATCTACATCCTGAGCTGTGAGTATCACTGTGTCCCACTCAAGGACGCGCTGACGGTGCGGCTGTTGTATCCCATTAGCCGCGTACAACTGCTGCGTCTCCGCGACCCGACCGGCGCGACGCTCGACGATAACACGTCGCAATGCGACAGCCCCGAGGACCTGACCTTCACGATCGGCGGCACCGAGTACACCTTCACTGCCAATTCCCGGATCTGCCCCTGGCCGTGCTCTGTTAGTGCATCCGCTCCCTCTACACATGCATGTTCGCTCACTCGATTCCCGCAGCTGAACACGGCGATCGTCCGCACCACTGACTACGTCGACGACCTTGTTCGACAAGCAACAGCCTGGCGAGCAGGTACCGGCCCTGGGCAGGAACCGGGCAAGCCACCGCCGGACGAGCAGGAGCCATCGAGTGCGAGGCGCGCATGAGCCCGCCTAAGACGAGACGAGGGTGGCGAGCACGAAGACACCAAGTGTCGGGCCTTCTTTCCGGGTGTAGGACGGGCACGACAGGCATGCAACGATCGAGCGAGAACCTGACGAATATGCGGCCACCGAGCAAGAGCTGGGGTAACATGATGCAGACGAGCGCGAGGCATGAACGACGAGACCAAACCCGCTGGGCTTGTGCTCGGCAAGCACGGTACGGGAGACGAACCCCGGGATCACCGTGAGTTGGTGTGGCGGCGGATGCGAACACCTTCTGCATCTCTAAATGTGTATAGTTCACACGTACATATGTAGTTACTCGCAATATATCTGCCTCCATGCCTGCAGTGCTCGACCTCGGTAGTACCGGTCCCGGGGTGGTGGTGCCGAGGCGCCCAGGACGCGGGCTCGTGACATTGGACGTGTCGCGTCTCCAGCGTGTTCATGCCTGCCTCAGCGTGCAACTACTAGGTACGGCTAGAGCCCGACACCTCAGCTCTCAAGATCTCACACTTGCAGTGCGTTGGCACTGTCTGGTGAGTGAGTTCGGAGTCTTCCAAGGACTATACGGTCGTCACGCTGACGATCTACTTCAGCAAGTATGCCCGAATACCCGGAATATCAAGCATTTGCTCACCATGTCCGCACATTTGCTGCGCAATATAAGCGAACCCATGCAGGAGCGGCACCAACAGGTGAGTATTCAAGCTCAAGTGTATTCTTATATGTTCGAATGACACCATGTTAGGCTACGTCCAGCTAGTGCCCCGCACGTTCGCTCTTGGCACGACTAGGCGGCCATATGTAACCTGTACGGTCGATACCAGCGCATACACCGGGTCAACGGACCTCCCGAACGACATCCAACTTCACGAACATGACGTCCGTCGGGCTGTTGGCCAGCCATATGCGTACCTTCTCCGCCCACAGCAACCTCACGAAGTCTTTGTTGCTGTGCGCGGCAAGCAGATTGCGTTCGCAATGGGTCGGGTGAGTGCCGCCAGTGAATGACATAGAAGGTCAATTCAATGACCTCGATGCACTGCAGGATTGCTACAGCATCCATCTAGGTCTAGAGGGTCATATTCACCCAGTCACTCCCGAACAATGGGAGCAGATCCTCGCCCAGGATGTTGAAGGTCCAAACGAGGACGAAGACCGTGCAGAGAAGATGCGCCAGTTTCGTGTGCCGCCTCACTTGATACCAGCTGGAACTTCGAAGGTTATGGATCGTAGGGTTACCGTACTCATGGCACTGCACTATGGTGATCTTGTTTGGCTGCTAATTGACTTCGCTCGCTTGGTGAGGATCCGTGTCATCAGTGATGACAGTCCATGGACCGAAGACGACATGGTTCCTGGTGGTCCGGTGCGTTATTCATCTAAGTGTTAAATGGATGCAATTGACAGTTCGTCAGCGCTACGAGAAGATCTGGCAGTTCTACGGCGATGGCCCAGACCTCAATCTTGAACCTGAGCGGTTCCTCAAGAATCTCGACGCCTACCGCCTGCGCATCCAGGCTGGGTTCGAAAGCAGGAAGTGGTCACAGGCCCCAATAGTTGAATGGCTGTGTGGGCGTGGCGACATCTGCAACGGCATTGGCAGGCACTTATCGATCGACTTCGTCCACTTCTGCGGCCTCGCACCGAATACGCCCGCATTTCGCGTGTTCAAGTATCACTACGACGATTTTCGGCACCTGCTCATTGAGTATATGGCCCAATGGGTGTCTGACCGGTACAAGAAAGACTGTTGTGGACTAGTCAACTCGTCTGCGTTGTTTGCGTGGAACCGGACCTCAAATCGCAAGTATCGCCAAGCTTATCTGCTCGTCTTCAGGAAAGCGGAGGCCACTGTGGCGGTTGACGTCTACAATCGACACGCTCGCAATGGCAACCTCGATCCAGATCATGTTCTCGGTATATGTTGTTTATCTTCTAATGCGCTGTCTTCATGGCTCATCTATTGGACTACAGGCAAACCCTACAGTGAAGAAAAGGCGATGAAATTCCTGTCATCAAACCGTGAGCGCATCCTTCATGTTCCGGTATATCACATGGAAGACAAATCCATCAATGCGTACACCATCGTTGTTGCAAAAAGTCCGGTGCGCTGGTTTGATGCGGTGAAGGGGAAGCTTGTATGTGATGCCACAGATTGGTCAGTGTGTGTGCTGACCAAAACCATTTGTAGAGATTGGCCAAGGATGTGATTGAATGTGGAAGGGCATCCAAGGTCGGGGTATCTGAGTTCAACGCAATGAACCAGAACATGCCAGATCCTGATGAAGCAATTCTGGAACGCAGCCGCGGTGGTCGACGCAAAGTGGTGAGTTCGTATAGGTGTTGCACTGTATATCACGCCTAACAGCACAACAGGAGAAGACTGGCCGGCGGGGCCGTCCAGCAAAGGCCCCTAGAATTGCCGACCTCCGCAAGTTGGAGAAGCCTGTCCCTCAGCGCATCCTGGAGGCTCGCCAGGCTGAGGCTGAGGCCGAGAAGGCAAAGAAGGCTGCACAGGCTCAGGTGGCTGCGTCACAGCCTGTCCAAACTCTCATCACAGCGTTCTTGCGCCCTCGCGACGAGCCAGACTCTGAGTCAGATTGGGTATACAACGAGTCTGACTGTGATGACGAGGAATCTGATACCGATGCTATGCCCTTGCGCTGCAATGGGAATAAGCGGAAGGGTGTAACTCAGGGATTGAAGGAAAAGAAGAGCAGGACGATCAAGAAGCACAGGATAGTATAGTGGACTCACATTACAATGAAGATGGCTCATTTGCGATTGTGCAACTACTTCAGCGAGATAAGCGCCTGTCAGTAGTACTCCCTCAAGTCTTTTATCCTCGTTGAACCTTCACGCTCACCAGCAGCAAAGCTTCAGGGTATGATATACCAGTGATATTGTACCTGGGAAAACTTTCAAATTAGCGGAGGTCGCCCAACTGACCGAGAAAATGCATTGGCTAGGGCCAACATCACTTGAGTTTCTGTCTACTACTCCTACTACTACTACATTGTCTATCTACTGTCGTTGTCTATCTACTAATCTACTAATTCAACCCATCCGAACTTGCCTGCCATCTCCGCGAGATGAGGTCCACCGCACTTGATGAGACGTTCAACTAACTTGGAACTTGCGTCTCCGCGTCTCCGAGAAGACCCTAGAGTAGGGTTACCAGGGAATCTTGTGCAAAAAGCTCCTCATTATCGTCTTCATTGGCAGCCATCATGAGCGATCTCGGTATGATTCCTCACTTCATCTTGGACACAAAACTAACAAACGTCAAATACACAGTAGGGCACACACAAGTAGCGGGTTTGACATTGGCTGATGCGCATGATCGCGAGAGCGGTGAGTGAGGCCGACGGGACCTAGTACAGAGTCCATACTCACCCTTTTGTACAGACATGCGTTTTGGATATAGTATATCTCGTGTGCAAGAGGACTTGGAGCTTCTCGGAATCATATCCAGAGCGAGCTTTGTGCCTCCGGAGAACTATGGTGGACGCATACATACAGCAACCACCTCACAGGCGGATTTTGTGCCTAGCCATGTGGGACAACAGCCGGCCGGTATGTTCTATGCGCTATGATGTGTACTCTAGACTGACAATCAGGCCATTTCCAAAGCAGAGGCAAACTCGGACGTCATGGTCGAAAATACCTCGGCGCCGCATTCACCGGTGCCCGATGTACCAATTCCATTTCCTATAACTCCCATACAGCAACAGATCACTCCCGAGTCTGACACTGCAGTAATCACTATCATTTTTGCAGGGTTCAACGAAACCCTCTTGGAACCTCCTACCAGCTTCCTCGAGATCGTATCCGTAGAACCTCCTTTCACCCTCCAAAACCTGCTCTCTTCCCTTATTCAGTCATCCATCCGCTCAGGGTCATCCGCCCGCTCAGGGCGACTTCTGACTCAGTACAACAACACACCGGGGAGTGCTGAAGTTATCTTCATTGCCGCCTCTCACCACCCACTGGACGTGGCTGAACACTCTGCAGAAGAGTACTCCAGCTACCAGCGGGGATTTCATGAGCTTGGAAACCTTGCCACAGCCATGGACAACCCGCTCTCGCCTGTTATCGAGAGCTGTGGAACCGATCTGGATGTCCAGAGCAGCGCGCAGGTACTTCAATATGCTCGCATCATGAATCCTACACTCGGCGACAATGTACCTATCTTTGCACTTTACTTCTATCGTGATCCAGTGAGTTCTTTGTTCAAATGATGCTTGCATTCCTTACAGAGATATGCTATAGATGGTGCATGTGGCAGTTCCGGTTCCGGTTCATATTACTACCACTACTACCACTACCCCGACCACTACCCCGATGACAACACACACACAATCCAATCACCATCATCCTATCACAACCCATGCGAACAACACTCAGTCCGACTCGGAGCTGCTCCGACAATATATTGAGCGGACCTTTGTGGCCGAAACCAGCAATATTACATCAATCCGAGGCCACCAGGAGCAACTTCAAGTTCAGGGATCTACTCGCCGTGCGCGTACTCGGAAGCGCGGACTGCCATTGAACCTATGGTTCTTCCGGTTTCGTAGTCTCAAGGTCATCTTCGCCCATTTCGGTATCCCGCTGAACAGTCCTGTCCGCACTGCAGAGACGCGAGTGTTAGGCTCAGCACCACAAGGAGTAGGATCCAGAGTGGAAGGAAGAGCTGCTCGGGTTGCATATGAAGACATCTATGATTGGGCGGGCGTTGAAGCCAGTACCGCAGCAAATATTCGCCCACTCTATCTTCAGCTTGAGGCTATATATCGTGCCAACCATCCTTCAGTTCATGCTGATACGTATGCTGTCCTTCCAGAGGTACAGAAGACTGTAATCAAGCAGGCGGGCGCCATCATTGAAGGGCCGTTCTTCAGTGGTGTTGAAGAAGATCTCAGGGACGAACAGATGCCATGGCTGACTATGACGCGGGCTGCATGCTCCGCTGTCCTAGAAGCTTTTCACAGGACATCGGGTCGTGAGTTGTTGCATTCAGAGACCTATTGTTTCGCATCTAATCACATTTATAGAGTTCATAGGACAAGACGGTGCTGCAGCAGGTTAAAGGAGAGATCATGTCAGTCACACTGATAATATTAGTGTAGCGACCGAGCGTACATCATCGTACTGTCACTCTACAAGGGGTTCACTATACAATTGTTGGCATATCCTAAGTGCTTCTACCCAAATCAAGCGGCGGACAGTCATTTCGCGAGACGTACGGTCAACACGAAGTGCTAGCTGTGTATCCAAGAATACTACTTCTGCTGGAGAGAAGGGGCAATTTGGTGACTCGCATTCAACGACGGACAACTCGTTTGGTTGCACAGAGCCCGGAGCGAATGGATTTCCTGCTTCCCACTCGTCAGGGTTATTGGCCAGATGATGGGCCATGAGTCCCGGGTCGTCCTGCACCTCCCAGTCAATACCGTATGCTTCAGGATCGTCAACGACCTCATGCGCTGGTTCTTGTTGCCGTTGAACTACTGCATTTCCGACGCCACGAGCCCCATTCTCAATCATACCAAAGATGAATCGGTCTCGTGGACTGCGAGAATGGTCAGCAACACCGCGGACATGGAGGCCGTGGCTGTTCCATGATGCTGCCCAGTCCTGGACGTCTGCATTGATAGAATTGAGAAAGAGGTGATGGACAAGCCAAATATGTGCAGTGCGGGACACGTGGAGTCCAGCGTTGTGCTCAAGCTGCAGGAAGAAGTTCTTCCATTTTTGGCCAACACCTCGGGTGAGGTCGTACCAGAGGCGCTCAATGCGAGTATTGTGGACACTCCTTAAACAAAGGTGAGCTTTCATGCTCGTAGATTTTCATTGTAAGACCTGCCTGCCCCATATGTATGAGCCTCGGCCGAGCCCTTGGTGCTCATCCTGCCATCGAGCAACACGAACGTTTTCGCCACCGTGGTCACCGCGCACCCGACTGGGATCTCCACAGTCACCCCGGGCATGGTGAAACAGGAGCAGGACTGTCTCTGCTCTGTTGTTGTCATGAACGAGGATGCCGACAATGTACCGGGACCATCCATCAATAAAGCAGTGGATGACGAATTTCCACCGGATAAGTCCTGATACATGAACGTATTAGTGTCAGGTACAGTACACTTGTAATCCTCCAGGAATACGCACCATGCTGACCATCATGATGCCAGAGTGCATTAGGTCCAGCCACCCGGTACACCCGACGATGAATGCGCCGATCAGAGAAGACATTCCCAGTAACACCGTGCACTCGTATGTAGGACGCTAACAGGCGTGCTCGGGGAACACGGTGATTTTGAGCACGCAAACAGCCAGCCAGCATGCGGCGACCAAAGTTAGGAAAGACGGTTAAGATTGAGCTAATGATCATGTCGAGGTCGGTGTCTGTGAGCGCGGGCGGCGCAGGATCTGTTGTCGTATGGGTGCGCACGACAGTTCCAGTTGCATCAGTAGTCTGTTGAAAGACAGTCGCCCCAGGTTCTACAAGGTTGTGTTCAAGCGCACGCCGGCGAACGGTGCGGCTGCTACAGTGAAACACCGGTGCCAAGCCCAGAGGTCCTCGCATCTGCAAGCCTGTCGCAAGGAATCCTGGATCAATCTCGACACGAGGGCGCCCTGGGAGTCCGGTGCGCACGCGGTGAGCAACAACCAGAGGCTCTCTTGGCGGATCTAATGAGCGGTGAACCGCTTCGTCCAGGGCCTCGACCATGTTCGACACTCCGAGCCGAAGGTCATGGAGCTCTGAAGGAGGGAATAATGCTGCATGCTATTGTGATGATCAATATGAGCATTGTGTAATGATTCACACAGACGGCCGTGACCCACCTGATCTGCCTCTGCCAGAAACCGCAGAACCTCCTCTCTCTGCTGAGCAAGCCTCTCTGCGTCACCGACTTGAGTCCGGGCTGAAGTTGTGACCCGGTCGCAGAGAACGAAGTATGCTGATCGTATGTTGTTCACAATTGTGATAGATCGGCCACGACTCTCCATGGTATGATCAATGCGTTCCACGAGGTCGGTGAGACTCTGGCAGAGGTCTGAGAGCTCATCAGCAGGTATGTACACTTGATGCTGACTCGGAGATATGTTGAGTCAGGATAATGGGAATTGGCTTGTGCAGCGCACCTCATCTGCTCTAGCATAGAGGCGGAGAGCTGCTTCGCGATGTGCTGGCAACGACTCAGAATTATCAGCACTGCTGCCGAACATTGCCCATTGTATGCGGTCGCATACAGCTTGATACTGGAATCGGATCGCATGTAGTGGGTTGCCAGTATGTGACACTTCGAGATGAAGGATAACTGCGTTGTCCAGACCACGAAGCATAGCGGTGACGCTGCGCTGTAGCTCCGAGAGCTCATTGTCTGGAATGGACATATGTTCCTATAGTCGAACTGTGAGTAATCTTGGACTCGAAAGTTGTGTCGTCACAACTTGAAAGACAAAAGCAACTCACTTGATCAGCATACATCTCGAAGTGGAGGACCTCCTCGCGCCGACGCGCCAGCACATTTACTTCGATTTCAGGAGTATTGAGTGCAGAATGAACATCGGTGCATAGAGACTGAAATGCTGCGCGGATGTTATTGAGAACACCAGCCATGGATCGCCAAGTCAGAGTAAATCACAAGAATCAAAAGGACTCAATGCGGAGACGACGCGGAGAGTGGTGAGTGAACGTCGTTCAAATGCTGCGAGAACAACTACATGATTTATTGTTTAGGCATACTTAGGACGAAGCAACACAAATGACAGGAAATGAAATGAGGTGAAGTGAAGTGGAGTGACACGAGAGGGAGGGACACTCGTGTTCACGACAATTAACATGGGATCTAACAGGAAATGGGGTGATCCCGTATGAATCTATGTAAGTGGCAGGCCATAACAATATTAAAGTCCAACCGGGCCTGACGTGCACTGATGGAAAGTGTGAAGATGAGACGGGCTTGTAGACGGAGAAGTGGGAAGAGACGGGCAGGGATGGGACGTGAACTGACGCAATGGGACGTGGACTGACGCGAAGTGACAGGCATACATGGGACCACATGAGACCTGGCGTGATACGGCATGAATCCGCATGATCTCAAGTTATCCTTGCCTAATCCCTGGTTTCCGGTGCGAAACGACGAGCTCATGAGCGTTTCCAAGCGTTTCCAAGGGTTCCGGAGTATAGTATACATTTCCCGCAAGTTCACATGTAATCTTACGTGCTCATTACATATACCTCGGGCGCGCTCGGTTGAGACACTGTAGAGTATATACCTGGTATATACATAGGTTGTCGACATCGGGTTTTGTCCGGCATGGGCCTTCATACGTTTGCCAAACGTCCAACACTACGCCTTCCGCATTTGGTAAGTAAGTGGAACCCGGCGTGGCGCTGTCAAGCGCCCTCCTTGTCTACTAGTCCGTGTTGAGACGTCCTAGAAATGCTTGAGGTTTACTCGCCTAGCTCTACATAAGGTTCCAGCGGACGGTGGCAGATCTAGAGGCGGTAGGCAGTCTCCTTCCAGTTATGCACTGGTCTCGTGTAACAACCTTGTTAGACACTTCGTGTGAAGAGGCGCCCTCCATATTGCGGATAGTAGGGGAGCTCAGTCGCTGTGCTGAGAGTCTCAACCGCAATACCCGCAGGTAATGCACCACTATTACATTTTGCGAGCGGCAATGTTCAAGAGCTTCGCGCGTTGCGGCGTGTATCCTGCGCCACAGTACGGTAGACATGATGTAAATGTCGCGTTCATGCGGCGTACTCCGATTATGGGAATCACTAAAACAACACTTGCATGACCTTTCTACATTTCAGCGGTTGTATAAGCAATATCCCCTGCCACGCACTCACAGGGTCGGTCATCGGACCAGGCTTAGCAGAGCGGCGCCCTGTCACAGTGGTGCATCAAGTACTACTAGTGCTATGCCTGATATCTGTTTAGGATCCAGAACTTACGGACACTGTCATCTGCCTATCTTGCAGGACGACATGCGATACGGTGTAGTGCCACAACATACATGATGGAGTGCTCATTCTTCATCGAACCTCGGAACCCGACTCGCACGCGATGCAGGACCAGCAGCACGATCGATAAAGACCTCCTGAACTCACTGAGTGCCACCAAGCTGCGTACCAGCCTGTACATCCAAGGCACCGGCCGCCTCGCGGCCGCGTGCGGTGAATTGGAGCTGTAAGACGAGGCTACGAGGGATGACAAGGGGAAGGCAGGCTGAGGAGGACGAGGTGACAGCGGACGGCGCACAGAGCGGGGGTCGCATTCTAATCATCACGACCCCATACTTTACTTTAGATACCTGCCTAAATCTTTGGCGGACGGCTATATTACGCGACGACGGCCAGGAGGAGTTTCGAGGGGATCCGGGGTATGTAATGGTGAGCCCACCGCGCGCTAACGCGCACGTTCAGGAGTCGACAGCTTGTAGTATCGCAAATTACAGGAAGGCACCCATGCATGACTTCAGCGATTAAGACCCTCCATCGCGCAGTTTGTTGCTTTCTACGCCCATGCCTCGACACATCTTCCTGAACGCAGCCTTCCAGGCAATTGAAGCATGTACAAGGGCATTCCATTGCGCTCGTGACGTCCCATAGAAGTGCTGAAAACGTGTGTCATTAGGGACGTTCAGAGTTCGCTGTCCGGGCAGCTATCCCGGCAGCTATCCCGTCCAGATTTCCGAGGCTCGACGCCGGCAAACGCCGACAGCGAGCCCAGCTGTGATCGCGCTCGGGACAGCAGAGGGCTCGATATCGGCGCGGGCGCTCGGCAACCCGTCGGAACCTAAAAACAAGTGGCTCACCGAGGAAGCCCTAACCCTACCTTACTAGAACGCCTGGTCGGAGATCCAGGCGAGGCGATCTCGGCGAGCGGTGGCCCACATAATAAGCCAATTGAGCGAACAAACCTGTTTCTTGTAGATATGTTTGTGATGGTCGAATAAGCTATGGAACATTGTGTGCGATATGTCGAGTCAAATCGTATTCTTTGTTCGGGGAGTGAACGCGGGCGGCTAAGCGATGTACCACGCATGTTACGAATACCAAATACGGAATTACTGATCACATAACGTCACAGGTGAGTGACCATGCTTTATTCTGCGCACTTGGTATCGATATGTGCTGAGTCAACAGCTGCTATATAGAATATGAGCTATGGTAGTCTCTGTAATAAAAACGGAGTAGTACTCAGCTAGCGGGGCGACTGTCACACTGGTTACGTTAGCCACACACTCACCGAATTTAGTAGTTGTCACACGGTGATTTACTGGTTGACGAAGACAGTCTACAGATAGCTTATATGAGCCGAATGTCCGAAATCTTATGGTTAAGTAGGATGGTGCCCTTTCGAGCAAGTGTCTACCAGCAAATTTCAGGACAGCTATATTCTTGCATGGCTTGTTAAATTTCTAGTAAGGTATGTAGAGCCCGAGTTACAAGGGTTAGGGCTTCCTCGGTGAGCCACTTGTTTTCAGATTCCGACGGGTTGCCGAGCGCGCGTGCCGACAGTGAGCCCTCTGCTGTCGCGAGCGCGATCACAGCTGGGCTCGCTGTCGGCGTTTGCCGGCGTCGAGCCTCGGAAATCTGGACGGGATAGCTGCCGGGATAGCTGCCCGGACAGCGAACTCTGAACGTCCCTATTATACTTCTACAGATAGACTCATTGCTTTTAGTGTCTATGTGGCAATTAGTTTGGACACGAACTCCCCCAGGTGAAGATAGTCCCTAGGGCATCGAGAGCTACAGGATACAACGACCATGCGAATTCGAGAGCGGTATTAGCGATAATAGGGTGCGACTACATACACCTCTGACCGAAGAAAATACAGAGTTCGCAGGCATTATTGAACATGAGATTAAGACAGGACGGAGGACGGAAAACGGAAACCCAACACGCCGCAGCTCCCTATGGATGGTTAGCCGGCGGCATGTTACCTGGACGAAGGATCAGTAACGTCGTGGATGTTGGCAGAGGCCGACTCACCAAACATCGCATAATCTTGCATGTACATCGATTGCTGGTCGCCCTGGCTCGAGCCCGGGTGCTGACTACCCATGTCGCCCATGACCGGCACGCCGTACGGCGTGTCCATCTGCGCCAAGGCCGTGTAGTCGTTCCAGAACTGCGGGTATCGCTGGCTGTGCCTCTCCGGGTGTCTGCTGGCAGACGACATCCTTTCATCAACCAAGCCGGTACTGTACTGCTGCGGCAGTACTGACGTCGATAGACTCCCGGCATAGTTTGTCATCGGCGCGTCCGAGGACCACCTGTCATACGCCTGGTATGGCGCATCCGCGGCGGGGATCTGCATGTTGTTCATAGCGAAGCCTTGATGGACCGGACTGGGAGTGCTGACTGGGTGGAAGTTCTGCTGTTGGCGATACAGCTGTTCGCTAGTCAGGAGACGAGTGCCGCTCTCTTCTTCGGCATCCAGCGGGTGTTCAGCCGAGCGCTTGGGCCGGTCCGAGCTGCGTGTACGGAAAGCCGCCAGGTCCTGGGCACCCTGAGAGTTCACCTTGGATCCCTGGAGAAGCTCCAGTGCACGGAACGCGCCCGGCCAGAGGTGTCGCAGCCGTCTTAGCACGTCCATGCATTTGTTCAGACCAACTCTCGCTTGAGCATCCTCAGGATATACCGTCACTAGTCGCAGCTATCAGACGTCTTCAGGCGACGACGAAGAGAGCAGGACGTACAGGTTGACACGTGCTGAATCGCAGCCGTGAAAACGTAATAGCAGAAGTACACCGATGCACGCTTAGCGCTGTAGTTCTCGATGTAGACGGAGACTAGCCATGACGTCAGTAAGTCACGCGATGTCATTCTGAGCGGGACGACTCACCGACAGAGGTGATGTGGTTGGCCGCCTGAACACACGTATCGTAGTTTTTCCTTGAGCTGGCGCGAACGTCAGAGTCTTTCGACGCCGCAGAAGCCGGCCGGTTGCAAGAATCCGGTAGGTGGCGGATGCTGAAAACAGCGCGTGACACAATTGAAAGCGACAAACGGTAAAATCTACTCACAAGGGACGGTGCAGCAAGAGCACCGTGCACCAGTATTGCATGTGCAGAGTCAGGATATGCGGGAGAGGGACCGGGTTCTTCGGTGCGGCCGGGTCGTACCGGAGGTGGTTTGGCAAATCCAGGTACCACTTCGAGAGCATCTTCTCGAAACGCTGGAGCTCCTGGTGTCTGAACGAGGGAGGCTTGATGGCGTACAGACACTGCATGATCATGCTTAGGATGATGGACAACTTAGCCGCCTCGCTGAAGCACGAGATGATGTGACTCGGAACCGGCGTAACGTCTGGGAAGGTGGGCTCTGGGACATCATCCTGAAGCGGGGCCGATGGGTGTGGCTGCCAGAGTTCATGTTCATCCTGATCGTCGAGGCTGGGAAGCTCGGTGTCGAAGTCGCGCTCGAAGACGGCAACCGGCCGACCTTTAAGCAACGATGAGGCCGGTCACAGGCAAGGATCAAACACAATACGCACCGATGTAGGCCGAAAGGTACTTGTCCATGACGACGCAACCGTACCATATGCACCGTCTCTCCTGCAACTCGTTCGCCGAGAAGAGGTTTCGCCCAATGCTAGTCCACTTGTCCGCGCTCTTATGAAGACCCAGGTCCTGCGCCATCCTGACGGCCATCCCGACGTACAACCAAGCTTGCGCCATCGCGCCGATCCCCACCTCGCGGTAGGCCATCAGGAGCAGGGCTTGGCACGTGCTCGGGCGACTGGCAGCGTAGCTGCTGTCCAGGATAACTTTGGCCTCCTCTAGGTACCTATCACCCGCTGCCCACATTGAGCCTTCCTGAGGCGGAAGCACGTCATTGCCTGTTTGGGCGGAGTAACGAGCGGCGATAGAGAACATCGCGAGGAGCAGAACAGTCGGCACACGCCCTCGCCTATGCCAGGCTGCCCCATTTGCGAGCCAGGAGAAGCGCCATCGGAGGGCTCAGAGTACGGAGAGTCGGCCGACATCATTTGACTGCACAGACACGATCCAATTCAGTGTACATCACAGTCCCACCTCTGAGATACGTACCTGTTGCGGAAATCTCCATGAAAACACGCTTGGACACGATCGGCAATGCCGGGTGCACGTATGTCCAGTAGAGGTCCAGCAGAAGCTCCTGCGTCGCCCGGTCGGGCAAGTCTGGCACGAAATTGTCCAGCCCCTTCGCATGGTTCGCCGCCGTCGGGGGCAACGGCGGCCACACCCTCGCCTTCGGGAACTTCCAGATGCCGCCCTCGTGCCTCCCGTCTTCGCGGTCCCTCACGCCCAGCAAGTGCAGCCCGCTCACCTTCCCGTGAACCTCACCACCTCGTCCTCGTTCAGACTCAGCTGGCCGACCTCGATCGCGAGCTCGTCGTCCTCCCCAGAGGGCTCCGAGCCACCCGTCTCATCGTCACCCACACTCTCATCGTCGCGCATGTCCGGCGAGCGCCGCTCGCGGTGCGCCATCATCGCACCCGCGCTCACGCCCGCACTCGACTTCGCCGAAGCCAGCGCGGGGCTGCGGGACCGGCCCGACAGGCTCGTCGCAGACGGCGATCTGGCATGCCGTCCATCGTCACCGTCGTCCAGCCGCCTCCGCTGTCTCCTAAACGGCGCCTCGCCCGCGTGCTCCGAACCCGCACTGAGCAGGCCAGATGCGCTCGCCGGGCCCGCGACATTTCCGCTGTTCGAGGGCTGCGTGATGCTCAGGGCTGGCCGTGCCGGCTGCGAGGTGTCTGAGGTCGGTGACACGGGGTACTGGAGGCCCCCGCTCGCGTCTGCGCTGAGCGGCCGTGCTTCTACGTCCACGTCGCCGGGTACGAGGGTGTTGCGCCTCGCGGCGGCCGCGTTCAGCGTCGCGATCACTTGATCCTGCCATTCATTCGAAGGACTGCGAGCAAAACCGACGCAGTCGGATATCAGTCAGCACAACGTCAGCATCATTGCGGGTGAAACGCAGGAGGAGGGTGTTCCGATCGCGAAGAACAGCGAGACGGACGCGATATGACGGGATATGACACTGAAACATTGGCGATAGGGATGTTCGAAAGGGGAAACTAGCGGGATTACGTACTGGGTGCACTGCAGGCCAGACTCGTCGCGCGGTTCGGCGGGTTGACGTGTGCGTCCGGTGCTGACCGTCTCGGTGCCTCGGGCCCGACCCTTGTGTCCGTACGGTGAATTGTCCACGCGCGCGATGATCTCTTTCGCGAGTGGGTCCTGCGATGCGAATCTGTGTCAGTATAACCGCAAGACATGCTGTATCACAATCGGCGGGTAAACCATGACCATACGTAGAACATGGCGAAGTGTACGTGATGGGTGCATGGGTGCGCACGCGCATGGAGATAGACCATTACTCCATGTCTCGCAGTTGAACAAAAGGATGTAGACCCGGGACGCGCGTCTGCCGCGCTGCATGCAACCACTGCCCCTTCCGGATTACAACGCTCGCACCGGCCTCTCCAACGCCCAAACGACGGCCACCGCCCGACTGGGACTGGCGGAACGCGCGCGCAACCGCACGCACCAGATCATGTACGTCATCTGGCGCGCCTTGCCTAATGGGGACACGAAGCGAGCGCTCTATCCCGCGACGCACAGAACCCGTCTCAAATCAGCCTGTGATCGGTGACGGCGGATGGGCCAGACGCGACGGTCCGGAGGTTCGCCATCGGTCCGGAAGAGGGCCGCGCATCGCGAGACAGCATAGGAAGTCTGCAATGGGCGACTCACCTCTGCGATGTCCTGCAAAACACTGCGCGCACGGCTGTCCTTGCTGCTGAGGAGGATCCCAATGAGCGCCTCCGTTGATGGAGACGCGCTTCAATAGCGTCGATGTAGCCCTTAGGCGGGCCGCGTTTACGTGATGGTCCGAGGAAAGTGCACGCTAACAATAAGTGTCAGTTTGGACGCGGAGACGGGTGGGGAGATGGGTAGAAGACGAGTGGAGTGGCGGTTGCAGCCGCAAATGCAACAAGAATGAACGGAAGGGGAGTGGAGGTTGCGACAGCGAAGAAAGCAGAAAGACGACTCACGAGTGCCGAGCATGACACAGTTCCTGCAGGGATCCTGAGGGTTGCTCCGTTCGCATTTGCACTTACTCTTCCGGCACTGGTCGCATGCTTTGCTACTTCGTCGCCGGATCTGCTTCTCGTTCTTCGCCGAATTGCTCATGCTCATGCTACCGCCGCCCACGACGCCGACCCCCGATGAAGTTGAGCTGTATGGCGCAAGACCTAGCCCGCTGAGCCCGGGGCCAGGCAGGTCGCTCAGCCCGTCGTCTTCCTCGGCATCATAGTCGTCTTGAATACTCATGGCATGGTGGTGCCCATTGATCGACGAGGGAAGGCCATAGCCGCGGTCAACGGCGTAGCCCTGCTGGTGGTGTTGCTGTTGGTGTCCGTGGTGCGTCCCGTGGTGGTAAGACGACCCAGCCGCAGGGCCGGGCCACTGCTGGTGTTGCGACATGAACGAGAAAGGGGTGGGGGACGTGCTCGTCGGACTCGCACTGGAGGCTCCGTTGCCGCTTCCGAAGCGGAAGAGGGGGCCGTCCTGCGCGCTCGCGCTTCCACTTGCTCCCGTGCTCTGGCTCTGGCTCGACGTCCGGAGGGCGTGCGGCCGGTGCGCGTGCTCGGCGTGCGTCGTCTGGCCGGAGTGGTGGTACTGCGCGAGTGAATGCGTTCCGGAGTGCGCGTGGTGCGGGTGCGAGTGCACGGGCGGGAGGTCGGGGCTGTCCTCGAGCTTGACGGGCAGCGGGTGGGCGTGGCTGGCCGTGGGGTAGTGCTTGGCGTACTGGTCGTTGAACGCATAGCGCACGGAGTAGGAGGACGAGGGAAAGGAGGACGAGGAGGACGGACCGGAGCCGGGCGTGGCGGGGTAGGTCATGGGCAACGAGCGACGAGGATTAGGGCGTGTACGAGTAGGTCGAACGGGGATGACGAACGGGAAGAGCAAGCAGGTCAGAGACGCGTGCGGCAGAAGAAAGAGGACGCACAGACCGGTGGCTCGGGCGGGAGAAGTTTTAGAGGAGGAGGGAGACCGGGGTCTGGCGCACCGGATGCGGGGAGGGCACGCAAGCAGCACGTTGTGTCTGAAAAGCAGGAGAGCGGGCAAGGGCAGAGACGCGCCGCTCGCAGCCCAGATCACGATTTGCGATCGCCCGTCGCGCCGCCTTGCTCCCGACCTCGTGTCCGCCGGCTGCAGTGTCCCTTCTGATCGTCCGATCGTGGCCCGTGCGCACCTAGGACGGCGCTGTTGCTCGTCGCGACAGAGAGTCAGATCTTCAGAGACAACTCAGAGAGGTTGCCGCGGTCCTCGCCCGCTTTTGTCAGCTCGCCCAAAGAACCCTGCCCGTCATGGTCACTCGCCCGCCACGCCGTTTCTCCGCACCCTCGGCCGAGGTCACGTGCCCCTTCCGCCACAGACATAGCCCCGCCCCGATCCTCGCGTCTCGACGTCGGCCAGTTTTCGTGTCTCCAGGAACACGTAAGCCGCCCTCAGCGCGCGAGACGAGACCCCAGGAGCGGCTGGGGCGGCCCACCGCGACCCCTCGCAGCGGGGGCTGCGGCTCGAGGGCCCGACGACCGGACGCGTTCTTTCCGGACATCCACAATCACAGGCGCCCGCCTTCATCCCGCCTCCTCGGGCACGATCGGAAAGTCCCGGACGTTCCGACGCTATGAGCGAGTCGATCTGAGCTATTCATGACACGTGACTGTCGTGCCAATGTTTTCTCCTGTAATTAGGTAATTAGTCTGTTGAACACATCTCGTTCTCGTCCTCAGTCATCATGCCCGCTATGTAGGATGCAGAGGTAGCGACCATCGTTGCATCTAAGCTTGGGCGGAGATATACCGAGTAAGTCTACTGATATTGTAAAGCCTACAGATACTTATGCATAACCTCTTCGATATGGCCATCATGTACCATTTCGGACTCTGTGTAAGTCCATAGAATGCTGTACCTGCGCATTCCATCAAAAGTGATGCTACGCTGAACCACTAATGCGATTTGGTACAGTACGCTAACCACCGTTTTTCTTATTCCGTGTATGCCAGCGCACGGAAATCTATTTTCACACGTCACCTTACCACTCTCTCAGACACACTAAGAGCTACCTCAGCAAGTTACCTGCTCTTTGCACCTCAGGAAAAATCGCAAGGTGTGTTTTCAGCACTAGTTACCCCGCAGGCTAGCGCCAGTTTTGGCGGGCAAAACCAGTCGCTAGCTTGCAGGCGTACAGGCCGCATGTTCCCACCCTCCTGGCCTCAACAATTCGAGAGTGTGTCCAAGACGTATAACAGTCTAGCCAGCTACGATCAAAAAACCCCTCGTTCTGCGGGTGTAGGACAGTAGTGCAAACGTGACTACTTTATCAGCTTGTCTCAGTTCGTATGGTTCAGCTTCAGCGGAACAGTCTGTACTGAGATAACCATCCAGATCCGTCCTCCCCCGAGGCCCGGAGCGCGACGCCGGCGGCAAGCCTCAGAACGGAAACTCGGTCGGTCACTCGCTTGTGGAAGAGCGCCGTGGGGCTCAGCGTTTCCTTGGCCCAGATCCCCCGCCGCAGGGGATCTCGCGTAACATCGCGTCCAGATGTGGTTAGCGTGCATCCCCGTCCTCCTGGACGACGTTGCGCGGTCGCTCCCAGGAACAAACAGAATACACCCACCCCGAACACTCGGAAGAGCGAACGCGAGCACACCGTGCTCGCAAGACTCAGACGCGGTGTCACTCGTGTGGAAGGTGCGCTTCTCGCAGTCAGGAGGCTGACGGCGGGCTTCATAGGACACATACGGAAGGGAAGCAGTGTCATTTGACATTCTCCTGAAGCGCGCCCTGGAGGACCGCGTGCCGGTGTCGAGGTCACCGCGACCTGAGGCCTGATTAAGATTGCTTGTTGCAGACGTCGGCTGCACAGCGGACGAGAAGCACAGAGCACGGTGCGTAGCGACAGAAGTGTGCGCCTCCACTAGCCTCGCGATGCTATCTAATCAGATTCATTGCAGGGCACTCGTTCCTCTCTGAACCGTCAAGACACGTATGGAAAGCTGTCGACGTGTTTCATCTCTCCAGCCGCGTCCGGCGCATACGCGCACTCAAAGATACGGGCAGCGGCGAGTGCGCTACGCATCGCAGAATGGAGGGTGGAGCCCGAGGCGCGCGCAATTCTACTCTATTGGCGGCGACGTCACGAAATCTTCCTTCGCACCAGCGACTCTCACTTTCTCGTGTCTCGACTGCGCCTGGGCATTCCAGTTTCCCCTTCGAGTGTCACTTCCTCGTCCCACCTGAGTCACTCATTTCTCCTTCCGTCCACCCGTTCTCATCATGGTGCCGTCACCGGGTCCCCTCTGCCTTCTGTTTCGCGCCCAAAGTCCAGTAACGGTGTGGCCTGAATCCCATCGCATCAGACAAATTCAGCGCCCTGGAAGATCGTTCCCTTCTGCCACAGCCCAGAAGTTGCCCGCGGTCTCCCAAAACCGAGTTTCTGACAGACCGTCGGGTGGCGCGATGACGAAGATTTCGCAGCCCGCGGCGTTCGAGGCGGACGGTAAGTAGGGGCGTGCGCACGGATTGGCTGCTCGGTCCGGCGCGCGCAGTACCCGGGCGGGTGGGCCAGATCGAAATCGACGGTACCCGCTGGATCCCAGCGCCAACTTCTCCTCCTCAGTCAGCGCCTCCCCCTTTGGGACTTATCCCCATCCGGCCGCGGTTCGCTCGGCGAATTAACAGCGAGAGAACGCGGGGAGCTCGCTCTCAGTGTCTCCCGCTCGCGGGGTTGTGTCTTGCACGCGCCGCCCACGCGACACCTACCACGTCTCAGGTGGTTTCACGAACTCTCGCCCAACCCTCGCCGGCGCAGAGTCGGTTTTCGAGGACAACGCAAGTCCTATCCCACACTCTCGGTGCCGAGGGGCACGCTCCCTAGCGATCATCGTGGGGCACTATCTCGATCTGCGCCACCCACCCCTGTTCTTTCCAACCAGAGCTGCGCTTACATACACAGCACTCCCCTGCCCAGGTCGGCAAGTCCGCAAGAGGGCGACCGATGAGTGCGGGCCAAGCCGCGGCTCGCGTCCCCTTCAGCCCGTCCCCCGACCCTCGCTGCCGCGGTACCTATTGGTCCCGCACTTAGCCTACATGCTCGCTGGGGCGGAGCGTACGCGGGACGCCGCATCGTACCTCCGCTCGAGAGCTTGCGCACCAACAATTGTCCTCCGCCCTAGAAGGCGGACGAGCACGCTGCTGCACATGCTTCTGTCAGGTCTGCAAGCGAAATTGAATTCTGACATCGAGATTCGGACGTCGTAGTGTATAAGAACGTACTTAAACTTAGGCGTTCCGTGGTTTGCGGCGTGTTTCGTCAGCGTGCGCCGCGCGGAGGCAGCCAGCGTAGCGTGTCCCCGTTGATGCACCTTCCACAGACCTTCCGCCCAAGCGCGACGATGCGACTCGCAATGTCATGGTAAGCGACAAATGGTCCATTCGTCCGACGCGTCCGAATCGTGCTCCCGAGAGGGGCGGATCAAATTCCTGTGACAGGATAGCGGGTGGCCCCCGCTCACCCAACCCTCGAAGTAACTGTCAGGATGCCTCGGACGACGACGAGCGACACTCGCCGAGAAGCCACTCAGGGCATCCGTGTTTCGGCCAGGGCTGCCCTGCAGCTCATGATCACCCTCCTCGTCACCGTAAGTACCCCTGTCCATGCTCGTCGCAACACGGGGTCCCGCTTTACCGAAAGCTTGGAGCTGTCGACGAGGCATTACGAATAGAGACAAATCCAGGGCCTACCCTGTGCGGTGACAGTCGTCTCCTGCACCGTCAATAAATTTCAGAGGTCCACAACAGCCGCAATGAAGAGAAAGCGAAATGTCATACCCTGACATGGTACAACTTGAATGTACTTGTGATGCTACACGCGCAATTTTGGGTGGCATGGTCGGTCAATAGAGACTCTGTCAGGTCGGTGAGCAGTCATGCAAGACAGGAGAACGGTTGCCAGGGCAATCTTCTCAACCATTGTCGAGCTGACGTGCGCGACACCGTGACCAGCAGTTTCAGGAAGGTCGTAAGGCTGCCAGCATCGTTGCCGTCAGGCTGCGCTCCAGCATCGAGAACGACATGACAGAATTGGTATTACGGTGCGCAGCGGAGTAGAAGAACATTTTAGCGGCGTTGTGCCCTTGATTTGGCTCGTTGACCGCGGAGCGCGGCAAAGATCAGCATCGGTAATCACGGTAGCAGTAGCAGGTTCACATCTTCGATCCGATCTCCTGCTGCGGGCGAGTCTGACCTCACGCGCACGCGCGAAGTTCGGTCAACGTCGAGTCGATGCCATCCTACAGAGCAGCAGTCTTCGTACACTAGCCCCCCCTCTCAGCCTACCGCAAGCATCTGGTGAGACCTAGTAGCGACACCTTCAATGAAACCTAGTCTATACGCTCATTCAGCGAAGACCGAACAGATTTTGAATGTCACTTGGTACTCGTCGGATTTGTGACTTACGGCCACAACGCTCGCAGTTCCGGTTCCGCACACGACTGTGCATGGATGGTTGATTCACTATACATATTCACCGACACCGCCGCGCTCGTCGCTCGACCTCTGCTGTTCCAGCAGGTCAATGCAAGACAAACCGCGTGCATCTATAGGACGTTCCACTTCGTCCTCGACTCTGCTACAGGCGCTTTAGAATACTCTACCATGCCTTGCGCTCCGATCACCGCTCATTCACTCACCGGTTGGCTGGAGACTCAGCTGCTCGGTCTTCGCTACTACTAAGTACGTCTCTACAGCCTCAAACCCGCCTCTGGCAGCCGCATACTTGCCTTGAACCTGAGACGGGAGCCAGAACTTACGGTGAGTATGACCGCTCTGAATTCCCGCTTGACAGTTCGCCGTTTACCATCCCGGTTATAGTACTGTAGACATATTCGGGGACTCGACTCGGAAGCCTGAGGGCTGAAATCTTCAAATTTGCATCAGTTGCAATACGTTTTCTGGGGCACCATCTCCGTTTAGTGGCAACATCAGGTGCGTTTCCGGCTTCTGAGATATGTTTCACGTCTTCGCCATATATTGGCACTCCTTTAGGTTCCCGAGAGTCTTGGGCTTTCAGTCTACGATCAATATGCAGGCATGGCCTTCCCATGCTAGTTGCGATATTACAGCATACCGTACGCCTGGGACTCTTGCCCAATATGGCGGGTGTCATGCTTGATCGTAGTACGTGAACGAGGACTAATCATGCCCTGCGGACGTAATCGAGCTGATGTGATGCTACAGGTTCATTACCAGGACAATACTACGGCCACAGCTTGTGGTAGCCTTGCGTACCGTGCATGTAGCCGACCTGCAGTCGCATGGTTCGCCGGTTAGTCGCGACTCACCATGTATGTTGTCCAGGCACCGTTCATAGCCTTCAACAACTCCCCAACGGCGCCTTCCAGTATCAAATACCATTGATGATACATAACGTGCGTAGCAATCTTCCCTTACGATTTTTCATCCCGATGTCGCATTGTCCGACTGCGCCGGGAATTGTCTGGAGAGGGATAGCTTAGAGCAGTCAACGCATGAGTGGCCCCGTGCTAGACTGTGCTAGACACCAATACCGGATAGATAACAGACACTGTGTCTGGACGGGCATGATATGGCATCGAGCATTTCAAAAAAGCGAAATGAACAGTCGGAGCGCACAGCCTTCTTCATCTTCATCTTTAGGTGTTACGACGACGATGCTCCGAGAGCATTGGGCATGTGCAGATAATTTGTCTTATGCGTATTAGCTCCAATACCCACCAGCTGTACCCCCCGTGATTGCAGGTTGCGGGTCCAGCCGTGTTCAAAACCATCTTTGACTGACGTTTTGCGCAGTTCGGAGTCGGGAAGTTTCAGACATGTGCTGAGGGTCCAGCATTTGATATCATGCAGACATCGAACGCGGGGTGCCCTGGGTCTTGCAGGATAATTTCTCAGTGAACAATATGGACCGTTGACATGCACGGCCCGGGCCTTTCAAAACCATTCTAAATGGGCTTCATCCATTGTTGTGCCCGAGGGAGCGGGTGTTGTTTGGCTCGATAAGTGCGTGTAACGAGTCGACAGTGGAGTATGCATCTGAGACAATTCTGAACATGCACGTAGCTTTCCGAGAGAAGACGGGCGTGATCCGTGGACTTCAATCTAAATTCTGTCCGACGCGCCGCACTATGCGCTCCCATGACAATACTCGCTAATATCCAGCGGCGACTGGTGAATAAAACGTATACGTGTTTCTTGTATGCCTAGGCCTCGCCACCACGGTCGCGATTCGCACTGAAAAATCCACACAATCCTAATATGTTAACTGCCACAACCGTCAGCCCTCCCACACGGCACCTACGTATGACGGCATCTCACCCCACCATTGGATCGCACAAGTCTCGCAGAGGAAAATCCTCGGCCCGTACCGCACAGGGTATGTCAGCTTGGTGCTTCTGAGACGCGACGCCGTGAATACTTTGAGAAAATATCACCGATCCCTTTCACGTTCGACGGCGAAGGCCGCGCGGATTTGATGGGCGAGATCCGTTGCCTCAGCTGCAGGATCTGGCCTGTGAGACGGACAAAGGTGGTGGAGCCACGAGGGAAGCGGACGATATACATATATGATGCGGACTTCCGTCGAAGCATGTGAACCGTGCCATCGTTGGTACAGGCTAGCGTCATTCACGGTCACCAGGCGGCCCTTCACTCGCGAGGATCATGGCTGCATGCGAGTGCAGGATTCATGCGAAAAGGCATCGCCACTTATCTCAGGCAGCTAGCTGTGGACTAAGTAATGTCGCTGTTGTCAGCAAGAAATACGTATAACCCACTGACAGACGTATGCCAGCCGAGAACCGAGAGCACTATACATGCTGCGAGCCTTCGAAGTGCCAGAGGCGGATGGGCAGAAGGGACGGTCGGATCTTGAGACTCGGGCATTCATGCGAACATACCCATGAGAGCGCGTAATAGCTGACCGGACGATGATTAGGATGCCTTATTGTTACCTGTTGGAAGACCATGCGGGGATAGAGGTAGTTCGTACTAGGAACGTGTTCTCACTGCGCGTGGACAATATGAAGTAGTTCGAATCCTCGAGAATAACACCGTAATCCTGCACAGGATCCATCAGACACACTGTTTTTACAGTGCACTGCGTGAACAACTGTGAACGCGTCACTCAAATTTCGATAGCATAGCAAGAGCCGGGTTGCTGTTTGCTACACGGTGATCGCTTGGTGCCTGGAGTGTTTAAAGCTCGGCAACGAAAACTCACAAAGAGTTTTGACCTCTGCCAATATCCCCTTTTGACGAGTTCGTCGGGGCTCACGATGTGTGAGCAGGATGACGGACGACAGGCGTCTCGTGGTACGGTGCGTGGATGCGTTTGGTAGTACATCAGTTGGTCCAGCGCATATAACTTCCAGCGAGAAAGCCTACAGCCCAAATCAGTGAGTCACTGTACGCCTCACAAGGCTTCGTTCAACGCACAGACACCCAATCCTGCCATAATCCGCTTCCCCATGGGCGAGCCCGGTTGATGGGCCCGGGATAAATTGAGCGCGTGTACTCCTACCCCTGCCAATGCTCCAGTTCCAATGATTCTACACGCCAGACAATCTTGAGGTTGCGGCCCAGGAGGAACAGACGATGCTGAGCCAGCATACGATGATGTCTCGGTGGCAGGCACAGACTGCATGGGCTGAAAAGGCAAGATACGCAGAGACGGAAATTTTGGTATAGCCTTTGACAAGAAATGCTGCAGCCGAGAAAATAGTGTTGTGCTGTCCTGGAGCCAAGTTGCAGTGGGGGCAAGTTGGAGTTCAGGCTCAGGCGTAAGTAAGTTACGCAGCGCACGACGCGCGTGCCGCGACGCGGTTCATCTCGGCAGCACAGCAGGCTGAAGATTGTCGGTCACCTGATTGTAGCGCTCACGGACATTTCCGTACCGCTCCGGGGACCGGTAAGGCGTCCGCCACCGCCACCGCCTTCCCCTTTCGTCTGCTGAGTCGTTCTCGGGACTCAAGTTCTTTCGAACGGTACAATATACTTAAGGTGAGGGGAATATCGCTACGTTTTATGAAATCGAGACGTTGGTTGATTCGAAATGCATCAAGGTTTCAAGGTTCGGAACAAGCGTTCTAAGCTTTTACGGATAGTCACTCATTGATCATGTGCCATCTGCTAGTGAGCTGCCACCGGGAGGCCACAACCTGCCCAACTTACAAGTTGTCTCTATAACTCTTTGGGCGCTGTCTCGGTACGTGAGTATTGTCATGCTACCTCTTGCAGCTCTTCCACGGCTAGGACGTAAGCTTGTCACACGAACGCTACAGACAGTAGCGGCAAGGGACGGTACCGATGTAGTCAATATTGTCGAAGTTGGCCCGCGAGATGGGTTGCAGAACGAGAAGGCCGTCATACCGCCCTCCGTCAAGGCAGAGCTGGTCACACGCTTGGGCAGGGCAGGTATGAAGAACATCGAATCAGGTAGCTTCGTCAGTCCGAAATGGGTACCGCAGGTAACAACGTCCTGCGCACGAGAGTTGCAGATGCTTATTACTCTGTCGCACAGATGGCAGGCACTCCAGAGGTGCTCAGATCTATGGAACGACTGCCAGGCGCACACTACCCAGTGCTGGTGCCGAACATGAAGGGCCTCGACAACCTCTTCGAGTTGCTAGACACCGCGTCAGCGGGCGACGTCCCGTTGACCGACGAGATTGCCATCTTCACTGCAGCGACAGACGCGTTCTGCAAGGCAAACACGAACTGCACCATTCCGAATCGCTCGAGCGGCTCGCGCCCGTCACCGAGCGCGCCAAGGCAAAGGGGCTGCGCGTACGCGGGTATGTCTTCTCACCAGCCTACTCTACAGAGATCTGACACATCACTTGCGAACAGCTACGTGAGTGTCGTCGTCGTCTGCCCGTAACCGGTCGGGTAGACTACAAGAGAGTGCGGGAGATCTCCCGTGCGCTGCTTGACATGGGCTGCTACGAAGTCAGCCTGGGCGACACAGTCGGCGCGGGCACGCCTTGGGACATCCGTGCCATGCTCGAGACAGTCATGTCCGGAGCAGGTGCTCTCCCTGCTCCACAGCTAGCGGTGAGTGGTGCACCGCACCCAATCCGGCCTCGCTGAACACAGGATCAGGGTCATTTCCACGATACGTATGCACCGGTGTCCCAACATTCTCGCAGCGCTCGAGTTGGGTCTACGGACTTTCGATGCGTCCGTCGCCGGTCTGGGCGGATGCCCCTACTCGCCCGGCGCGACGGGCAACGTCGCCACGGAAGACGTCCTCTACGCTCTGCAGGGCAGCGGGTACAAGACACCCGGGAACCTTGACGCGCTCGCGGAGGTGGGCGGCTGGATCTCGGGCGTGCTCGGCCGGCGGAACGAGAGTAGGGCAGGGAAGGCGATACTGGCGAGGTGGCGAGGAGAAGGACACAGCGATCGTGAAGGAGAGGGAGAGGGACGGGGGTGCGGCGGAGTCAGTGGCGGGTGTGGACATCGATGTTGGCGCGTCGAAGAGGGAGGCGAGGATCGTCGGAGAGAGGGAGCGGGACGGAGGGGCTGCGGAGCTTCTTTCGGGCATTGGAGACGTCGACGTTGCGAAGAAACGAAGGCAGGAGAACATCGCAAAGGAGCGCGAACGAGACGGCGGCGCTGCGGAGAATTTGTAATCATGGATCTGTGAAGATCAACCGTCCACTTATTCGTCCAGGCCATGTAATAATAGCTTGTCGTTCTTGAACTTGCATCCACATCCTTGTAACAATAGCAACATTGTCTATCGATGCGCCCCTCGGTTTGGATGCTCACGCATCTGAGTGCTCTGGCGTGGTAATCGCCATTTCTGGGCGCAACTGTGCGATATATTCAGTTGCAATCTTTTTCGAGTACACAGCAGCCTCAGCCGATACAGATACAGCAGGAATGTTGGCATCGACACAGTGTCGAGAGTTGGAGGCCGATCACCATGCCAGCTACACTGTTGTGGCGGAGAACTCCGGGCCCAACGTCTTCTTGACGTGTGCGTCTGCCCTTTGCACAAACTCTGTGATGTCGCGAGCACGCAGGTCGCCATATTTGTCAACGAAGAGTCGACGGCATAGCCCGCGCAACTCCTCGGGCTGTCGACATTGATCGGCACCGTGAGCTGTCCGTGAAGAATTGAATGGCTTACTGATTCAGGGAACCCCCGTACGCGTCTACAAGCGCGTCGTTCAAGCCCTTGTCGGATGCGAGGCTCGGTCTCTTGAGGGCCGTTGTGAGAACGTCGATCGACGACTCGCGCGCGCCCAGCAGCTGCTGAGCTTTCGCCTGACGATAATACCTGTATCCAAATGAGCCCGCAGCACGGAACCGGAAACCCACTAGCGTACGCCTTTCCGTAGTTCTCGTCAAACGTCGTCGCCCTCTCCGCGTCCGCCAAAGCCTTCTTCGCGTCCTGACCATCGCCCTCCATCAACCACGCTGCCGCTCGGTTCGCGAGGCAGATGGCCATCGCCCGCTTGATGTCTCGCTTCTCCTCGTCACTCGGATTCTGTGCTATCGCGTCCGCGAGGAACTCATAGGCTTCGGTGTAGTGCTTGACAGCGGCGGTACGGTCCTTGCGCCCGATGGCCTCGTTTCCGAGTCGTTTCTCCTCCTCGGCGCGCTTGGTCGCCTTTGCAATGCCCTTCACGTTGAGCTTGTGGACGCCCGAACCGACCCCTTCTGCTTCCTCACTGCGGGAATGACGTGTGAGCGGCTACGAGGTGGCATTAATAACAAGAACACGAACGGCGTCTCTAGGCGCCAGCTGAACGGGGCCGGAAGAGAGTCCAGGAAGGGACGAAGCGCATCAACGTGCGGACTGAGTTTATAAGCGATCACTAGCAAACTGGGTGCGCAAGGTCGGTTAGGTGGCAGCGGAGATGTGATGGCATGTTTGAGAGCTCTAGCGCGATAGCAAACTCAGTGGCCGTACACTCGTCGATACACGGGCATACGTACTTCAGCACGAAGTCGGACGAGGGCATCCCCGGCGGGACCATTTCTTGTACGAGGAACTGGTCTCGATCGTCGTCTTGTAGCAGGCATTCCGTGTCAGCCTTGAAATGGAGCTGCCGATCACACACGCACAGATGAAGATGCTGAACACAGGCGTGCTTCCCGGGAAGTACTCTTCCCGATAATCCTGCGGATCCTTGCCTTGAAAGCCCATGGGCGAGAGCTGCATGACCCAGAAGGAGTCCTTGCGCACGGGAACCTTCTTGTAATTGAAGGTGGAGAGCCGGTCGTCAGAAGTCTTTGACCCGGCAACGGCAGACAGCAAGGCCTCCACGTCTGCCGGGTCCTGCGTCGAGAGATGATGCATCAGACTCATCGGATCGCCGTTATAGTCCTTCTTGTTGTAGGTCGACAAGACTTTCTAGCACAGGGAGTTGGGTTAGCTGCCGTACTCATGCCAAGGCGAAAGTCTGCTCCGGACTTGGAAGACATTCTGCATGTCTGGCGGCATACCGGCGAAAGGGTCGGGTTTCCCTAGAGATCGCTTGGGGGCCATGGCATGTTATGGTGCGAAGCTCTGAGAACGTCCAGTAGAATGATAGCTTTACCCCAAGCTCCTCTCTCCGCCCTCGAGGGTAAAGGGATGAATGCGAGAGTGTATTGAATTCCATGTTTTGTGTCCCTGTGGGCCTCAGCCGCCACACCTCAGCCACATCCCATCAAACAATTCCAACCCCGCCCGATCCTACTGCACATCAACTATTTGTATGTACATATTAGGATACAGGACTTGGCCCGACATTATTGAGTACTGTGTTTGCGTACTCGAATTCACCCTCTCTACTCCCCTCCCGAGAATGGATGGGGAGGAGCTTGGGTTTACCGGCCAGGACAGGTCGTCTCAACTAGGATTGGAAATCGGGCTCCGTAGATCTCGATCTCTGTCACGATATGTACGTAGATCGTCGCCTGGAAGTACTACACACTTGAAGCTGGCTCGCTGAAGCTTGATCAGGAGATTGATTCGCGTGCTTGTCCGGTCTGGGGTTAGTGTCGAATTGTACAGTTGTGTATTGCTCAGCGAATGCATTCACATCGACATTCCAGTCACCTTATAAGTCGCCTGTCGCAGAACCAGCATTGTTTTGCTATAGTGGTACAGAAGTGGTGTCAATCATCGATCCTTACATAAAGAGGGAGGTAATGCGGATTAGACCGTAGTGGCGGAGAAGTTTGGCCCCAGAACCTTCTTGACGTGTGCGTCTGCCCTACGCACGAACCCTTCAACGCCGCGTGCACGACGATCGCCGTACTTGTCGATGAACACTCGATGACAGAACGAGCGCAGCTCATCCGGCTGTCGACGACGCTGAGTACCGTCAACATCCCTGGACAAACGCACGACCTACTGTTTCGGGGAATCCTCCATAAGCCTCGACCAAGCCTTCGACCAAGCCCTGGTCGGATGAGAGCTTTGGTCTTTTGAGTGCCTTTGTGAGCACATTGATCGACTTCTCGCGAGCATCCATGAGGAGGTATGCCTTCGCCTGACGGTAGTATCTGCATTCACGTGAGCACAAACACCGACATGCAGATGGCCCGTTCTCGTACGCCTTTCCATAGTCACAGTCAAAGTCGAGAGCCTGCTTCGCGTCTCTCAAAGCATTCTGTGCGTCCTGGCTCGTGCCTTCTATCAGCCACGCTGCCGCCCGGTTTGCATGACAAACGGCCAACGAGCGAGTGAGCTGTCGCTTTTCTTCGCGTTCGAGCGTCCGAAACGCAGCGTCCGCGAGAAGCCCGTGCGCCTTGGTATAGTGGTCTAGGGCAGCGATCTTCTCCTTACGCCCGAAGGCCGCATTGCCGAGCCGCTTCTCCTCATCTGCGCGCTGGATCGCCTTTGCGATGCTGCTCTCGACGACGTTGGGATCTACCGGAACATCCCCGTGCACTTGGTCGCTGCAAGAGACGGGTCAGCAATGAGGCAGAAAATCTTGGGCGAGAAGACTCGCAGCGGCTGCAAACGCCAGGTGAACGGCGATGGAAGGCTGTCCAGGAAGGGGAGCAGCGCGTCTATGTGGGGGCTGAGATCACGACCGATCCATAGCTCATGAGGGATAGAAGGTGTTTTCGGTGGCACAGGGAAGGCGATCGCCCGTTTGAGGTACCTGCCAGAACAATCTGTTCATCGCACTCGCATCGAGTTGCATCATAGTACTACATACCTGAGCAGCAAGTCAGACGACACGGCTCTACCTGGTGGGATTGTCTCTCGCAGGATGAAGCTGAATCTGTCGTCGTCTGTATTGAGGTGGTTAGCAGTTGAACAACGCTGCAAATCCCGCAGCGCACTGATGCTGATATCGAATATGGGCGTGCTTCCCGGGAAGGGCTCGGAGCGACGGTCCTTCGCGTCTTTGCCTTGGTACGCCATGGGTACGAGTTGCATGACCCAGTGGGAGTTCTTCCGCATGGGAGCCTCCGTGTAATCGAAGGCAGCGAGTTGGCCGTCGGACGGTTTCATATCGTGAAGGGCCGACGCGACGGGCCGCAAGTCTTCTGGGTCCTGTTCCATCATATGATCCCAGAAGGCGGACGGGTCGAGCCTGTCTCCCTTGTACGACGAGATGACTTTCTAGCACACAAGAGCCGTGTCAGCGGCCATGTCTGTCGAGACGAAGAACGAGCACAACTTCCATAGCGGCCTTGGCCTCCGGTGGCATGCTGTCCAAGGGATCTGATCTTCCTCTAGATGGTCCCGAGGCCATGGTGAGCAAGGAAATGATTGGAGACGATATTCGTCTAAGATAGCGGGACTTGGTACAGGCTGGACCGCTCGTGGGTCAGTCTCTGGTTCTCGCCCAAACTTCGGGGCGGGTGATACTAGTACGCTTACCGTCCGTGCATAGACAGTTGCGTGGACCCTTCTTCGGTCAAGCGTTTGACTGCAGCGACTATACCCAGTACTTACACCTAGATCGTGTTCAAATGCACGCTAAAATACAAAACCGTAACGAGGAGGAACAGAGGACGACGGGACAACGCCACAACCGCGCTCGTCGATCAGTTCAAAACGCACGTGTCGCCACGTGGTCGGGGCTGCCGTATGCGAGCGCTTGCTCACTCTCGACCCTCCCAGTGAGCCTCGATTGTGACAGCACCGTCCCATGCGTCTGTACATACTATGACCTCTACACGTTCATCGCTCAACAGCCTGCACCATGATGTTCGTTGAACTAGAAAATATACTTGTTAGCGGACTCAGTACTGAAGTTGGTCAGTGGCGCGCAGCGAAGTTAAAGTACAAGGGGCTGCGGCACGGCCGTGTCCGAGTCGACGCGCTGGATTGCGAACTCTGTGCTTGAGCTTGTTTAGCAGCTAGTCCCATGGTAGGACATTCGTTCATGGTGATTCACCAGTCCCGTGTTCCATTCAAATTTGCGACTTGCGTTGCTGACTGTACTTATCATTGAATTGCAGCCCGTCGCATGTTCACATCCGACAGCCATTGACACCGCGACGACATCTACTCATGGCCTGAATGTGTGCCTGGTAATATGTGACTGCCCACGTCCGCCGAAATGTGAGCAGTACTCATTGGACAGCTGGGTATGATACGCTCCATGACATTGCACGACGCCAGTCGCGCAGGATACCATGTCGATCGACCACCGGTCCCATCTGCGCACGTTGCCCATATTTCTGGTCTCTCAGTCTGGACATGCATGTCTAATTGTGCTGTCTCCACGATGGCCTGGACGTCTTGGGGGCACAATCGCTCTCTGCATTCTCATTCAAGTCGCATCCGCGTCAGCATATAGAGACACCTCCGAGGACGCTCGAAGGCTCGCATACTATTCCCTTGGTCACTACGTCATGTGCCAGGCCTTCTCCGTTTTCCTGTTTAACTGGCTTACGGACCCGATACATGATTTTCGCCATGAACACGACCACACTCCACCCGCAGAGCTCCCGTTCCTGCGCAGGGTCTATGGGCGCTATGTATAATCAATACCCAGCGCGGAGTGGGGTGGTCTTACGAGGTATGTATTGGTCTACACATCTGGATGTCTGTCTCTATTCACGGACTCGGACAATCCAGGTTACTCACATCCCACCGCGCCCTACTGAGCCGCGATGGCGGTGTCTCCGCCAGACACTCCTGAGCGCGTTCCGCTGCTTCCTGTTCATCGACCTCGCCCAAGTATACCAGCGCTCTAATCCACTGTTCTCGAGGCAAGACATGGACCTCAGGTCGCAAGGCCTTTTCATGCTTCCTCTCAACATTGTCGCGCGCTTTGGGAGCGTTGTCGCCATGATTGCCATGGAATACTCGCTCTTAGCTGCAACCTGTGTCGCCCTTGGCGTCTCCTCACCAAGACACTGGCCAGACATCTACGGCAAGTGGTCTGACTCGTACACCGTTCGTAGATTCTGGGGGTGAGTGATTCGCCCCTTGGACTGCTACACATAGGCTAACCACATGGCAGACGAACGTACCATCAGTTACTGCGTCGCGTATGTCCTCATTCACCGCTATGATACCTGCGCTTCTCAGGCTCAATTCATTTGCAGCTCACAGCCGGTATCGGAAAGGCTTGTTGCCGGGCATTAGGTCTGCAACCCGGGACATGGGTGTCTTCCTACACCCAACTCTATGTCGGCTTCGCCGTCTCCGGATTCTTGCACTGCGGTGGGGATTTGATGGTAGATCCATCCCTCTTCGGCGCATCGTTCCCTTTCTATATCTCACAAGCCGTCGCGATCACCTTCGAGGACGCCGTCATTGGCATCGTTCGGAGAACCGGAGTAAAGTTCCCTCAACCGCTGGCCCGTGTCGTGGGATACGCCTGGGCTATACTGTGGTTGTGTATATCCGCGCCATGGCACATCAACTGGACGCTGAAGGCTGGGGTCGTTGACACAGTTCGCGTGCCAGTCTCACTCATTGACCTCATAGCCCCAAATCTTGGTGCGTTTGCCACTAGTTTTACCCCTAGCATTGCTATGAGTTTCAGGTCGGAGGATTGACTTGACACGGACGACTACCAATCGATTAATGTTTCAACTGTACGAGAACCGTCAGTGTGTCTCACGTTGTGTACGGGATGTAGTGTCAAATTTGGGCGGGCTTTCTTTCATTTTCGAGAACATGTGTATGAGGGTGTTCCGAGTCGTAGCTCGCCGTGCTTGTATATGTACTTGACACTTGATCAGGAGACTACGATTCGTGCGCTTGTCCGGGCAGAGGTCAATGTCGAATTGTACAACTGTGTCCTTGGTGAGTGAATGCGTCTTCACCCCAAAACGAGCAAGTTATCGTTCCTCTCATAAGCCGATAAGCGAAGAACGAGTATTGACATCGCCATATTTGTACAGAAGTGGCGCCAGTCATCGAGTCTGAACGAGGTGGCTGAGGTCTTCAGCATCCGGCGGCATGCTGTCTAGATCTGGTCTTCCTCGAGATGGCCCCGAGGCCATGGTGAGCAAAAAATGATTGAATAGGGACTTTAAGTTGGGACCGCGGACTCCGTTGCCCGTCCGTGGTGTAGCTTATAATCAGACTCTCGGGCCACACTCATCGGAGCCATCGCACGGGCTGCCAGTGCATCCGGGCTGCATGCAGCAGAGCGACGAGCCGAAATGCCGCTACATACTGAGTTAAGGTATAGTTAATGCGACGAGTCATCGATGCGAATAAAGCTACATAGGCTTGGCATCATGTGTCTAGCCTTCTTTCACGACGAAAATACAAGGCCTGAACAAGGGAACTTCCAAATCGGGAGGACAATGGTTGTGGGGCCTGCGAATAATCGCCCAGAAAGGCAGTTGAACGAACACGTGCATCGCACGCCTGTGGCTAGCGAGCGCTCAGTGTGGCTTCACCTCCTCCCCTCACCCAGACGACGCGAAAGACAGCCACTGCGCGTCCCTCGTGCAATTTGATAAGTTCTGTTACACGAGAGCACAATTAAACACGAAAATCCACTGCTTTGGGGCAGAATAAGCCGTGAGTTATACCGGCCTGGGCCGTATTCTGAGATACTGACGATCCGAACCTCCGTGGACCGCGTCCTATTTTGGCAGTTGGCCATCAACTCCGAATCAAACATGCCTCACGGACGCGTAAATATGCCGACCTCGCACTCTGCTCCTCCCTCCCCCCACTCTCATCCCGACTACATTGACATCGACGTCGACATCGACATTTCCGAACAACCCCACCAAGACACTCCGATGTCTGACAAAGTAACCCCCCTCGTGACCAAGGCCGCATGCAATACGTAGGCGATGCTGCCGAGGCGAAGCGAGACAACAAGAAGAACATGGCGTCCTGGCAGCGAGAGATTCACGACAGGATCAAGGAATACCCGGACAACATCAACGGGTACCTTTCTGCGATGGTTCCGTCAGATACACCTGTACCACCCTGCCCTGAGATGGGCAGGTCGCTCGAGCTAATTCAAGTGGGAAATCTTGAGAGCGCGATGTATGGGCCACTGGTCAGTGTGCGATAGACGGTACCGTATCACGCGATCGCTGACGTTGTGTTCAGATGAAAGCACTGGAGCGAATGGTGAGGCCGTTCCCGCACGGAAAGCGGCCCAAGTTCCACAACTACGAGCACAAGGTCATGAAGTTCCCGTTCGAGCCGTACGAACACGACCAGCACCCTACGAAGCCCGACGTCATTGCGACGTTCCCGACACTACCTTTCATCTCTCCGCTGCATCGCTGGAGACATGTTGCTCTCGTCTTCGAACTCAAGTCGCTGGCGTCGGCCGACCCGATGATGATGAACATGCAGACGCACTGGGAGACGCTCGTGCAGCTTGCGAAGAGCGCGCGGAACATCATGCTCTCGCAGGGGAGGCTGTTCGCGTTTGTCGTCGGTATATATGGCGATCAGGCTCGTATCTTTCGCTTTGACCGCGCCGGTGCGATATGCTCGCCCAAGTTTGCGTACAAGAATCATCCGGAGATCTTGCACGCGTTCATGTGGCGCTTGTTCCACCCGCGAGACAGGCGTTGCGCGATCGTCGGGGAGGATCCGACGATGAAGCTGGGAACGAGTATGGACCGGGAGCTGGCAGACAAGCTCGCATCGAGATACGACGATGAATGGAAAGGACCGCGGAGACGCGGAAGGCAGTGCGACGGATTACCATGCAGGACGAGAAGGGAAAGCCGACGACGTACCTCGCATACAAGCTGATCTTCGTGAACCCTGGGCTGTTTTCCCGCGCAACACTGATCTGGGAAGCGTTCATCGTCGACAAGAGGAATCGGAGCACAGGCGAACGATACATTCTGAAGGAGACGTGGCGGCAGCTTGGTCGCCTCGACGAGGTCGGCTTCTACGAGAGGCTACAGTACGCGAAGCTCGAAGAATACAAGGAGAATCAGACGAAGGATCGTGGCGTGGTCGAGGCAGAGACCAACGACGACGTCGAGGTCGAAGGGAAACTTGCGGCGGAGGTACAGGCCCTAGGCGAGGCCAGATTCACGTACGGTGTCGCGAGGTACATATGCGGCGAGGACTACGGCGAGAGGGATGAAGCACATCGGAAGCTTGTGGAGCAGGCAGAGACCTCTGGAGCTCCTGTGCCCGAGGACACGAAGGCGGGTCACCGGACGATCTCTGGGGTGCATAATGCGCCTGAGAAGGTGCGGATGAATGAACGGAGTCACATGCGGATGGTTCTCCAGACGGTTGGGAAGCCGTTGGCAGATTTCAGGTGCACGCGGGAGGTCGTATTGGCGCTGCGCGATGCTGTGGAAGGTACGTCGCGATATGGCAACGCATTCATTCCTTGGACACTAACAGCTCTTCATTGCAGGACACAGAAGGGCGTACAAATCTGGGATCATACACCGCGACGTCAGCGAAGGGAACGTGATGATCTCGCGCCTTCGTGCTGCGTTTGCAGGCTTTATTCAAGACTTCGACTTCAGCTTCAGTTGGCGACGGTTCTTGCAAAAGCGTGGCTGGGATGTCAACCTGGCAACATGGGAGAAGTACTGCGTCGAACACGGGCACGAACCGCCCCGGGACGACGAGAAGACTGACCCCGCGAACGACTGCAAGGAGCGCACAGTGAGTAAATGGTATCTCGAGTCTATACGTTCTCTCATCTATCTGTCAGGGCACAATTTTCTTTATGGCTGTTCAAGTGTTAGAAGGCGAGATCACACATGAAGCACGGCACGATTTGGAGTCATTCTATTGGCTCCTTGTGTTCATCGTCCTTCGTCACACCAAGCATGGGCATCTATCGGGGGAGGTGGCGTTTGGAGACCTCTTCTGCCATGATACCATCGCGCAATGTGCGAGTGCGAAAGTGGCATGGTTGATGAACCGTAGAGCTCCTATTCCAGTTCCCGGCAATGAGCCTTTGTCGACTCTCTTGGAAGATTTTCGCGAACTACTTGAGGCCAATTTCCTTGTCAAGCGTGGGACGATCAGGCGCGTCACACACGAAGAGGTCCTTCACATATTCGATGAGGCACTAGCCAAAGAGTGGCCCGTCGATGATGCGGCCATTCCGTGGGTTGCCCCCGCAAACCGAGGACATACCCGACCGATGACAGAATCGAGGGGCAAGCCCGTGACGATGGGTACCAAGGATCACACCACTGCTGCCGACTTTCCGTTCCCCACCCACGAGCCCCGCCGCCGCAGGCCACACCTGAGTATGAGCAGTCAGACAACGAGCAAGACGGCTCGAAGACACCGGATCATAGCGACGACGAGGATGCCAGTGTGATGCTAGCCCAAGAGCCAAGCGACGAGGAGGTGGTCACAGATATTGACGAGCGTCCGAATGCTCCGGATGCCCCTCATGGACTTGCCCTTTTGAACGAGGAAGCGCAACAACCGGAGGCCAATCCGTCTGACTCGGAGTCGCCGGAGCAAACGGAACCTCAAACGCGCGCGAGCAGTCGCCGCCGCGCTCAATTGCCTCCCAAGGCCAAGCCTCCGGTCACTAGGAACGCGGGCTCCCGTCGCAATGTCGCTGAGACGTGGCCAGCAGGCAACGTTGACGCAGCCGGCGCGAGGCCGGGCCACCGCTACAACCTTCGCTCGTCGGGCCGTCGTGACTTCGGTGCGCCGAGCACCTCTGACGCAGCGGACTTGCCCCAGTTGCTCCGCGGAGGTCGACTCGTGTTCGCGCGCAGGCAGCGTCGAAGCTACGGGATACCGGGTCGAGGGACAGTAGCATTGGGAAGCGTAGTCGTGAGGGATCAGACCAGAGCGAGGTCGAGGAAAGCCTTGCCGCGCAGTCGTCGAAGCGGCCCAGGACTGTCAGCCAACCCCGGGGAAGGAAGGCGTCGAAGAAGTCGGAGAGGAAGAATTGTAGTTTGCATAGGCAATTCCTGAGTAGTTGAGGTCCCGGGGCTTTAGAATGTATTATCGAGTACCGGTTTCCTTCATCCATCTATCTCGTTTCACTGTGCGTTAGAACGTTGATCGTTCAGTTCATGTCGTCTGCTACACCTGACTTGCAACTCCGTCGACCTCCATCATGACGATGGTCAACTCGCAGTGAACCACTGAAGTGTGCACGACGTATCGCAGTTGTCGGTTCTGATTGGTGAATATTCAAGCTTGCTTCAACGCCCACATCCGCAGGTCACTCATTCCTGTCTTATGTATTCGCGTTATACAATTACTGTACAGGGCTGACCACACGAACTGTTCCCGTGCTCTAATAGCGAAAACGCACTGCAAATATCGCTCGGAGGTGGCTGACATCCTGCACTAAGTCTGCCACGACTCTGCTTGTACTACTCGATAGCAGGGTCTCGTTCCAGGAGCTTTCTCCAGCTGTACAATCTCTATGCGGCAGCTCATAGATAGGGGATCGAGAAGATCCGGGACCGCCTGCAGAAATCGGATGTACAACTCGTCAACCACACACGACTGTCTCGAAAGCGCGCCTTCAGAGGACACCAAGACGACGTACATCACCGTGATCCTGCCCTCCGTCAGTGAGCTCTCCTCACCCTAACGTAGCGCAGATCTCCTGCAGGGACTTGTTTCGGTAGCGCCATGATTGTATACGCGAAGGTGCTGAGGACTCGGGCGCGGACGTTCTCGACACTTATTCACGTCATTCATGGAACGTGTTTAACTGAGCGGTAGGCTCCTACTGTTACCCCTGCCAGTTAGCATGCCGCATGAGCCCGGAGTCCTGCCATATCGAAGGGTCCGCCCTTTCTCCGCTGCCGTTGAGCAAGCGACTCGTTGGGTAATTACGACCAGCCGTGACGTGTCGTTCGTTGGAGCCTCACATTTGAGCTCAATTTACTATACACGTTTATTCGGGGCGCAAGTGCAACCCAAGCGTCATCCATGCCTCCGAGTCTTCGGTGCTCACAATGTAGCAAGCGCACTTGAGCAGTTGCGGCGTGACTCGGTGTTCAACGTTCAATGTTCGGTTTAGACAATCGCTGACTAGCTAATCAGGTACTTTCAGCCCAGTTGCAAATGTTGTCACTACATAGCATTAAGATGGATCATCGGGCACCAAAACCTGAGACCCAGTACTAGAAGAGCAGTGAACAGACGAGAATTGAACCAAGTCCAGATGGCGCGAACCCGTTGCGAAAATACCACGTGAAAACGCGTCGGTGGCGCGAACACATGGGCGCTGCAACGCGTCCTTCGTCCTCGTCCTCTCGAACGAGCGCATCTGAACTCCGCCCTGTTGCTACGGGAGACCAGTCTCATGTATTCTCCAGCCTCAAGCTGAAGATGTCATGGGCTGCGCTCTCAGGCTCTTTCTGTCTGATCTTCTCGACCAGCACCCCAGGCCACCAGTGGGTCGATCGAGCGCCGGTGACTTGCCGATGAGTCCATTCATTAGTTACCCCTCCTGTAATCGCCTGGAGCGTAATTCCAACCAGCTTATGGCTTCATGCATTCTTCCGGGAATGACGGTACGCAGATTATTGCGAAGGTAGGCTGCCGGATGTCATAATCCCGGTCCAAATGCAATACCGACTGCGCACAGCCTCCAGCCTAGGCGCCTACTGAGGTGCCACCTCGAGCTCTTCCACTGACCATGTAGCTATCACGAAAATTGTACAGTGCTACTCGTACCACTAGTCTGATAGCCAAGGCACGGATCGCGAGGCTGAGCTTGTGTATCATACCTGATTATCCAAAACTTCAAGTACCGTCGATAGTACATAGATGGTACATCCCCGGAGATACCGGTCAATGATGTGGCAGACTTTCTGTTCACAGCGACCGACGTCGAAGCCTAGCGCACCAGCTTGAAGGCTCTCTATGTAGTAGACTCCTAGAGCCTCTCCAAGTGTGATATATAATCACTGGACTACTTGGGGCCACCGTTGTGGCGGAGATGGGTACTCATTCCTGGAAGAGAACTCCGCTACTACAGCCTACCAGTTACTTTGAAATGGGGTTTCCGCGGTCGAGCGTGCCATACGTGTCATTGGTGGCGTGCATCTAGCAGTACCTCATCACCGAGGGTAACGCCGCCTTCAACTTGAACAGCGGTGAACTTGAGTTTCAAGGCGATCAGATAGTATTAGTGCCTGCAGTACTCTGCTCTACTCTGCTATCTAGGAGATCATACCACACAGGCTTGGCGCCGCCATGTGCTCGAGTCTTCTTTTCGCGACGAAAATACAAGGCCCGAACAAGGGACCTTCCAAATCGGGAGGACAATGGTTGTGGGGCCTGCGAATAATCGCCCAGAAAGGCAGTTGAACGAGCACGTGCATCGCACGCCTGTGGCCAGCGAGCGCCTAGTGTGGCTTTACCTCCTCCCCCTCACCCAGACGACGCGAAAGGCAGCCACTGCGTGTTCCTCGTGCAATCTGATAAGTTCTGTTACACGAGAACACAATTCATCACGAAAATATACCGCTTTTGGGCAGAATAAGCCGTGAGTTGCACCGGCCTAGGCCGAATTCTGCAGCGAACACGAGATACTGACGATTCGAAACTTCGTGGACTGCGTCCTATTTTGGCAGTTGGCCATCAATCCCAAATCAAACATGCCTCGCGGACGCGTAAACATGCCGCCCTCGCACTTTGCTCCTCGCTCCTCCCACTCTCATCCCGACTACATCGACATCGACGTCGACGTCGACATTGACTTCTCCGAGCACCCCCAGCACGACAGTCCGATGACTGACAAAGCTACACCCCGCCAAAAACGGCCGCAACAGTACCACAGCGATCTCGACCACGCTCAACGGGCTAACCCAGAGGAGATGGCTGCCTGGACGGAAGAGATTTACGACCGGATCAGGGAGTACCCCGACCCCATCAACGAGTACCTGTCAAGCATGCTGCCATCGGATACACCTATCCCTGACTGTCCGCCGACGGACGAACTGTTCACGGTGATTCCGACCACGGAGGGCACACTCGAAGCGACGATGTATGGACCATTGGTCAGTGCACGCAATGTCGCTATTGCTAAGCAGGTTCGCTAACTTTGTCCGTAGGTGACGGCACTGAGTCAGCTAGTCAGCTCATTTCCACTCGACGTGCGGCCTCAGTTCTACAACTACGGCCACAAAACCATGTATTTCCCGTATAAGCCGTATGAGTCCGAGCAGCACTCGACCAAGCCGGACGTGATCGCGACTATACCGGCCCTGCCCGTCGTGGAACCAACTTACCAGTGGAGACATGTCGCATTGGTGTTCGAACTCAAGTCGGAGTCAGGTCATGACCCGATGGTGAATACGGGAAAACGCATTGGGAAACGCAGGTGCAGCTTGCGAAGAGTGCGCGTAACATCTTATTCTCGCAGGGGAGGCTGTTCGCATTCGTCGTCGGCATATACGGGGACCAGGCTCGAATCTACCGCTTCGACCGCGCGGGAGCGATGTGTTCACGCCGATTTGAATACAAGAAGCGTCCAGAGATATTCCACGAGTTCCTGTGGCGACTGCTCCATCCCAGGCTATCCGAGTGCAGGCTCGTCGGAGAAGACCCTACGATGACGCCAGGTACCGGGGCGGACCTAGATGAAGTGCGCTCTCTGACGAAAGCCCGCGATCCCAAATGGGCCAGCACGCAGAAGACGGTGCGGCGGATCATCGTGACGGACAAGCAGAAGAACGAGACGACGTATCTGGCGTACAAGCTGCTCTTCGTCAATCCGCGGCTGTTCTCACGGGCGACGCTCGTTGGGAGGCGTACAAAGTCGGCGAAGAAGAGGAGAATAAGGGTAGGAGGTACGTCGTGAAGGAGTCATGGCGGCAATTGGGTCGTTTCCGCGAAAGCGACTTCTATGAGGCGCTACGAGACGCCACGGGGGGCGAACCGATCTTCGGCGTGGCTTCTTTCATTCACGCCGAGGAACTCGGTGATCGCGACGAGGAAGAGCGGAAACGAGAGGCAAATGCGCGGCGCCTGAGATCGCAGAGCCGTGCACCTCCGGGCATGACATTAGTCGGTTACCGGACCATTGCAGGGGCGCACAACGCACCGGAGATGGGGCGGCTGAACGAACGGAGCCATACACGGCTCGTCTTGGAGACGGTCGGTACGCCGCTCGCGAGGTTCAAGCGTACGAAGCAGCTGGCCATGGCGCTGCGAGACGCCATAGAGGGTAAGCTACGACAATGCTGCTCAGAATTTGGCTGACGAGCGACTACGACAGGACATCGGCGGGCGTACGAGGCCGGGTCATCCACCGCGATATCAGTGAAGGGAATGTGATGATCGCTCCAGAGGGTGCCGCCTTCTCAGGCTTCATCCAGGACCTCGACTACAGTTTCAACTGGAAGTGGTTCCTCCATAAGCGCGAAACGCAAGTGGATCTCGCCAAGTGGGAGGAGTACTGTGTTCAACACGGTCACGAGCCGCGCAGCAAGAAGGATCCAGACAACGACTCCAAGGAGCGCACAGTAAGTAACCCTTATTCCGCATCGCTGTCTTGTCTGACATGTTCCCCAGGGCACAGTCTTCTTTATGGCTGTCGAAATTCTGCAGGCCGAGATCACCCATGAAGCACGACATGACCTGGAGTCGTTCTATTGGCTCCTTGTCTTCATCGTGCTCCGGCATACCAAACATGGCCACCACCTTGAAACAGGCGCCTTCGGGAGCCTGTTCTGCCACTCCGACTGGGATCAATGCGTACGAGAAAAGAAAGCTTGGCTAATAGACGAGAAAGCCCCTCTGGCGGTGCCTGGGAACGAACCGTTGACGTCATTGCTCGAAAAACTCCGCAGTGTGTTTGCCCGCAACTTCACTATGTTCAGTGGACGGTTCCGCCTAGGCGTAGAGCGCACAACGCATCGCGACATACTCGATATATTCGATACGGTGCTAGCTGAAGACGTGGTCTGGCCGGACAACGACGCTGCCCTGGTGTGGAAACTTCCACAGACCGCAACATTACCGCCAGAGATGGCGAAGTCGGTGGGCCAGTCGGTGCAGCCGGGCTCTCTGGATCCAAGGACGGGTGACAAAAGAGAATCTCCCCGCCCGCCCGTCATCCAACCCCAAGGTGCATCTGTCATCCACAGCCAAATGACGACGATCAGCAAGGCATGATTGCAGGTGTCTCAAGCGGGGATGCCGCTACTGGCCAGGTCCAACAAGGGGCAGGTGAAAAGTATGACGCGGCCACACAAGCAGCTGTCGACGAGCCGGCAGATGAAGAAATTGCGTTCTGGCAGGGCAGACCGGCTTCCGTTCAGCCGGCGGTGCAACCCAAGCCCAGTACCTCTCAACCGCGCGCACGGAAGGAGACTCGAGCACAGGTCGGCAGAGGGGCAAAAAGCGGTCGTCGTGCCGAGTCGCCGCCAGCGGCGAAGCGTCCAGCAACCCGCAAGAGAGCAGCACCGAGTCGCAGCGTCGCCGAGACGTGGCCGGCCAGCCATGTTGACGCGGAGGGTGCAAGCTCAGGTCATCGCTACAATCTCCGTTCGTCTAGCCGCCGTAACTTGGCTGTGCCGAGCACATCTGACGCAGTCGATGTTGCGCCGATTGCTGGGCGGCGGACGACCCGTTCGCGCGCACAGGCGACGTCGAAGGAGCAGGACACGGGCTCGAGGGACAGCAGTGTGGGGAAGCGTGGCCGTGCTAGAGAGGAACCTGATGGGATCGAAGAAGACCCAGAGTCGCAGTCGTCGAAACGGCAGAGGACTCTCAGTCAACCCCGAGGCAGGAAGACGGCGAAGAAGCAGGGAAAGAAACCGTGACTGGCTTTAATTTGCATCCAGCCCGCAAGTCGTTGGCTGGGTCCACCGTAGATGAGGATTTGACAGTGTGTAATAGAGTATCGGTTTCTTCATTCATCTTGTGCTGTGCTCTGGCCGTGTGCAGCGGCCCTATCTTCCACGTAAACAACGCTTGTCATACCTGACTATGCAAGCGTAAGTATGGCAAAGGAAGTCCGTCACTCAGAGGCAATGGGTCGGCGTTGTTTGACCATCTCAAAGTTGAGTGACGCCAAATCGTGGTCGCCGCATTAGTTGGGGATCCAGCAGAGCGCCGCGCGCATCGCTAGGTGGGAACTCGCAGCATCGAACAGCACGCAGGTCTGTCATTATTGTGAGGGTCAGGACGCTGAGGGGTAGATTACACTATAATACATCATACGGAACTACAATATATGATACAGAGGCGCTCACGCGGTGCCCTTCCGCGTGCGAGTGGTAAGCCCACCGACAACCCTAGAGACCTGCGAGGCCTTCCTTCCGGAACCCACACCCGGAATCCGACTTGTTCGAGGGGGCGACATCCCTGCCTTTGCAGACGCAGGTACATGGTTCCGATCCTCGTCTCCTGCGCCTTTCGTGGGAGCTATCGCCCTCGTGAATGTGAACGTCGCTGCATTGGTGGTGTCGACAAGCACCGGCTTCGAGATCGACAGCCGCCGGATCGCCTTCTTCAGCACAGGGAGACGAGACTTGCTCTCGGGGCTTGGAGTGCCCTTGCCCTTGAGCTCACGTTGCCGGCGAGGGGGAGTAAATGGCGGTGAAGAGAGAACGGGGGTGTTCCGCAGGTTGCGCGGCGCGTCGGTATGCATGACGATCACGAATTCTTCGTCAGATACTCGTCCGGGGTCGGATAAGGACCGCCATGCAGGGGAGACGAGAATAGCAGAGTCCTCTGAAACGCGAGCAGAGACAGGCGAAGGACTGGGAGTCGAAACCGGTGAATCAGCTCGAGAGGACTCAGACACGAGTTGCGAGGCTGAGACCTCAGCAGATACAGCAGAAGGTGTGATTTCGGGTTCCGTGTCCTCATAGATGTAAGCCAACTTCGCCAACGAGGAGACCGTCGAAGGAGCCCCCGTTCCGTTCTTGACTTCGAGATGCGTCGGTACCGTAGAGGCGGAAGCACTCGGGGTAGCGACCGCCACGACCTCGACGCGTCGGCGCCTTGAGCGGGCCGAAGATACAGAGGAAGACGCACTGACGCCAACGTTCTTCATCCCAGTGGCCTTCTTGAAGTGCGGGAAGGAGAAAGACGTCGAAAGAGATGGTGCGTATGATATGGAAGAGCGCCTGGAGTGCGTCACGGTGTGCAGAGAAGAGTTGTGGCTCATGCTCGCACGGAAGACCTGACTGGCGAGCGGCGCTAGGCGAGGGTATTCGACCGAGGCCGAGGCGGGCATGGAATGTGAGGATGCTGCAGCCGCGAGGTCCTCATCTGTGAGCGAAGACAGGAGAGCTGAAGCGAGAGTAGCGAGCGCAGTTTGTGTCGGAAGCGATGAGTGCCGGATTGGCAGGAACGACTCCTTCCGCGGCTTCTGAGGTACTTGCGCTGTCACGGCACTCGCACCCTCTGCTCCGCATCGCCTTTCCTTCAGTTCGATCAGAGCACGCTGTCGCTCCTCTGGAAGTTCCTCCACGACACTGGAGATATCCGAAGGGCTCGGAGTGATCACATCCTGAAGACCTGCCCCGCCTGCCTTGCCTTTCCACCACTTCGCCTTCTTCCTCCAGTTCTTGGCCTCTTTCCTCGCGTCCAGAGTGGCTCTCACCTGCGCTCTATATTCCTCGGGCGTACGAGGGCCCATGATTGGCTCCAGTAACGCTGTCCACGGACTGTCGGGGTTCTCAAGAGCCTCGCGTATTGCAGCGACCAGTGCCTCCTCGGGATCCACGCCAATGTAGACGTCATCGTATGCGCGTGCAAGAATAGGCTTTTGCGCCCCAGCAGATATGAGAAGCTCTATGAACCTGTGGTAGCGCACGCGTTCGGAAGCGAGCGCGTTGTTCTCGGCGGCGAGGACCCTCGCGCGATCGTCTGCAGAGGGAGCTGAGGTGAGGGCGGTGTGAAGTGCGCGCTGGGTTTTGATGAGCCTGGAACGGAGCGCGGATGCTTCCGATGTCGCGTCGGTGGAGGCTGCATGAACAGATTCAAGGGTTGCTCGACACTCGGCGAGGGCGCGCTCAAGGGCAGGGATCCGTCGGTTGCTTTGTACTGGTGATTGAGGGCGCCCTCAAGTTCGCGAATGCGCTTCCTGAGCTCGGATAGAGAAGATCCAGGCTGTTGGTCCGCTGCTTGCGGGATGTGGGGGCCGGAGGAAGCGGGTGAGCAATCGAGACAGGGACGCCAGCGTCCGGGGCGAAGAGAGTGGAGAACTCAGGAGGGTACACTGAGGCAAGAACTAGCTCGTCGATACCGTTCGCGGATGCTGGCCGAGAGGGTAACGTCGCCATCGCCTCGGCTCGAATATCGGCCAGCGCTCCATCAGACTTGGTCCGGCGATGAAAGAGGTGCGACAGCCTAGGGAAGCGCATGCTGAGAGGAGGCGCGAGGAAAATCAAGTTACGTCTTCCAGCACGAAGTGTAGGCGGCTTTTTGTCGCTGAAGGCGGCGGCTGACATTGCGACCTTCCAATCTCAGCCGCCCCAGGAGGCTGACATTGACGGCCCAAGCCTCGGGCCGTCTCATACTCGGAGGCTGACCGTAGGTTTCTAGAGTATTGCAGGGTATGCTCACCGATTGGAATCCGGGGGAGCTGAGTTTCTTCGGAGCACACTGACGGACACCGTCTTTGGGTCTTCGGGTCGATATGCTGAGCCAACTGAAGTTGAATTGAAGCGTAAAAATTGAAGTCAAAAGCCTAGAGCAATGTTGACAGATAGTTCAAGTGAAATATCTGCAGCAGTGTCCTGCGTCTGCTAAAGTACGCTGTAATACTCGCGTTGTCGTAGCCTACCTTCGCTGCAGGCCTAGGAACAAGCTGGGCCGGTTTGAACGAACTTGGATTCGGAACGAACGGAACAACCGCAGCGCCACAACCAAATAGACGCCCATAATCGGCGTCTATTTTACCAGGATTGAATCAGCGATGCCCAGTGTACGGATCCTATGGCGCACATAATGATACCGGTACCTAACTTGCACCTACTTAGCAGGTTTTCGAAGTAGAACTTACACATGTAGATTGCGCACATTCCTTCCAGCTTCACACAACGACATGCTATCCTCCTTTCACTGGCACCAAGGCTGTATGTGACCGTCTCACGGAAGTCTCAGACTGCGCCCATGACCCAGTGCCAGACTCGACGCATGTCGCGCCGACTGCATCATTGCGGTTTAATTATGCGGTTCACATCATGGAACAGGTCGTCCCTAACGCAATGCGCAGCAGCACTCCCGTCAACTCGTGGGACGAAACCACTCTTCGCATCTCATTCATCTGCCAAGTCGCGCCGGAGCAGCTAAACATTGCAACTTGCAGACAGAAGATGCGCCCGCACCTCTAGTATGTACTGTTACTGGGCCGCCGGACGTCCCAATGTTCGACAGCTAGGATAGCTGTCTTTCCGCGTTCTCGGCGCACGAGCAGACGGCGTCTGTTCTGACAGAGTCAACCTGACAACTTGAAGTGGAGGCAATTCAAGGGTCTGATCTTCGCTGCCGATCATCATGATTGCCTGAAGACTAGAGTGCATAGCATCCCGCAGTGATTCATGGCATGCCGTTCGTCAGAGCCTCCGCCGTCGCAGAAGACTTCGGACGACTCATGATCCGTTGTTCGTACCTGCGGGCCTAGAGTATCACCATCAACACTGGGCTAGAATACAATTGTTGTGTCTCTAGAGAGCATCCGAGACGTCCAATGATTTGACGTGACGCACATCGCATCGTCGTGGAGGAAAACGCCGTCAAGACCGACGTCGCTTAGAGCTCAATCTCCCGCACGCCATCCTTGTCTACCACCTTCACTTTGTACTTTCCGGGCGACACGACCAGACGTTTCGACACCTCGTCGATGCATCTCTGGAGAGTGGCCAGACCTTCTTCGAGACTTGCTTCTGGGTCGTGGTATCTGAAATAGAAACACTGATAAATATCTAGCCATCTAACAGTCGTGGAAAGTGATCCAAGGGAAGTTCGGTTGAAGCTGCGTCCGGTAATATGTCTGCGCAGGCTGTACGACCGCTTTAGGCATCTGGTCTGGTACGCGGACATGCACTAGGCACGCGCCACAATCCAGCAGAACACTAGTACCCGTCGACCGTGTCCACACAACGCCGAGAGGGGGAGACCAATCCTATTCCAGAATATCCACACAGAAAGCCCAAGCGACAACAGCAGCACCTCCGCAAACACAACTGGTGTATCAAATCCAACAGTTGACAACTCACCTGTCGAGCAAACTGAGAGCGAAGTAGCCGCCGTACCCGTGTGCACCGAAGGGCACGCTCGTCAATGTACCCAGGTAGTCCACCCAGTACAGCTCCGGTGTGTGTGTCGCGGTATCGTAGCCTCCGAGAAGCAGGTTGACGGAATACGGGCTACGTGAGCGCAAGGACTCGGCGAGCGAGCGGCGGATCCATGATGCAGCAGACGCAGGTCGGAGCGCGTGCGTGTGGCGGATATGGTAGAGTCTGAGGTTGCGCTCGACATACTCGGCAAAGTTGACCGTGTCGCCTAGCAGTTAAGGTTTATCATGAAGTGCGCATTCTTAGAATATATGAGGAACTTGCCTGGTTCGCCGGAGAAAGCCATCAGCAGGTGCGGGCTGAGGGCCTTGATCTTGTCCTCGTCTGACTTCATCTTGACGATAGACCGTGCAGCAGTTGTGTCCGCTGCGACGAGCACGTATCCCTTCCCCGTAAGTGCGAAAGAAATATCCATGGCAAGGAGAAGGATGGGTAGGAAGAGAGTGGTGGTTGGGAGGAGAGGGTTGTGCTGCTCAGTGGTAAGTACGCGCGTCGCAGCACGCACGACGCGTCAGTCGGCAGTTCCCGAACGGGCGCTCCACGAGTTGGTGATAGGCGTCTATGCGATGGTCCTCTCCTCCTACCTTCACTTTCAACATGCGATCTCTACTCTCTGCTCCTAGCCCCGCAGTGCCCTTTCCTCATACGTGCGATGAACTCAGACCTATTGTACTGGGATAGAGCCATGTGGCCGTGTGCCTTTCTGCACCAAAACAGGTCGGGATCAGCCGACTTCTCGCCCGCAACTCGCATATGACCCAAACAGCGTTGATCAACCTTACTTCCTCCAGGCGGTCCCATTCGGTTTCCGCACTGAGACACACGAAAGCGGCGTGGGCTGGCCGAAAACGTCCAACCAAGTAAAGCATCTCGCTAGAGACCGAATATGGAAGACAAGAGGCCGAACTTGGACCGCTCACGGCGTCTGCTATGTCTTCGGACCACAGAACCATGAGTCTATCAGTGTCCAGACGAACAGGCAACTCAACTTGTTCCGGGCTATCTGTTACAAATGCAGTTCAGCTGAGGCGTGTGTCCTGTCGACACGACGCGAGCATGCCTAACGCTTCCGTGTCCACGTCAAGATCTATCTGTGGTCGAATCCTGTCTCACGTTCTCTTCGACGTGCAACATTCGGTGCGATATGCGAACACTATTCCCGTAGCGCGAAGCTCTGCCACCCGTCCTCACACAGGAGGTTCGCCTTGTTCACCATACCTGGGCACCGTCGGTCCGTCGTGCTTATGTCAGGGTACCTCTGATAGTAACAACCCTTCTCACGGAGACTTATGTGTCGTTTATGAATCATCCAGGGAGAGCTATCTCGTCCCCATGATGAACCGCAGCCGCAGCGATTCCGGTGCGTACTCGAGGTCGACGGACAGTAGGGTGAGATATGACTTCACGCGCTGTGTCATGGTATGCACCTTCGCAAGAATACATTCTACCCGTTTCATCATTCGCTCAGGCACACGACCCACTCATCTCTTGTCTTGATTGACACGCGTACGTGATCCTCAAATCATACACATGCCGACTGTCCTCACGGGATCGCAGCTAATTCCATATTGCTAGATCACCGCCACCACAGAATGTGTGCACACGCGGAGGGCGTCGGCCTTCGTCTGGCTTTCTCAGGCGATCCGCGCTCATGGCCGGTCGACCTCGGCTCCAAACCTCGGGCTAGTTCGCCCTCGACGCTGCTCGTTCCGTTAGAAGGTTGATGGGAGCACACAAGGGATTCCAAGGCCGACGAATCCGGGCCGCCTGTACACACTTTTCGGCGGGGGTTTAGCAATTTGGAATTAGCTGCAACGTCATGCTCTGATTCATCTCGTATCCGCCTGACTGGTTTTTCTTTGCCAGGTCCCACTACAAGGGGGGCATTCGAACGACGCCGGCGGTATATCTAGATTGATGTCCTAGGCACATTCGGCTTTGGTGCGCTCCAGCCCGATCGCAATCTATCTTGCATGTTCTGACGCTTGTTCGGTCGATCTATGGTACTCAGCGTGATTCATGACAGACGCATCCGCAGTTGACAGTTTGCTGTGGGGATGTCAACGGAACCAACGTCCAGGGCACGGTCAAGGACAGGTATCTACGCCCTGACGCAGTTGTGTGAAGTCAATTCATCAAGTCATCTGTCCTATGACTTGACGTTTTGCGCGACGGTAGTGCCAGCGGTACGTGTTCACATTTACTGCTGAACATTCAGCACTACAGTTCGGAATGACCATATGAGGCAGGTTCGGCTATTGCTGCTAAATTGAGAACGGAAGCTGTTCTTCGTGGAAGCTAGTTTCTGTGGGTTGCGAAGACCTGCGAAGACACATGTGACCTAATCCCGGACGCGATTGCCTCATGATTGGGCATCGGTCACGGCCTCGCAGATACAAGGGGACCAGCTTTGGGAACAATGGAAACCCAGTTATCATTGAGAACGTACGTGCGCTGTCGTAATGTGCTTTCCCGATGGCTCAACAAACTCTGAACGGTTCACCGGGGGGACACTTAATTTTTTCAAAGTGCACCCGAAGCCCGGATCGCACGCAATGCCACTACTGCTTCCATGCTCCGGAGTGAGGTGCTTCCGGCTAGCTTCACCCTTCTATCAGTGGGGTGGTGGTGCGCAGCGCGTACAGCTAGCTGCCTTGTTCTGCTTTAGGGGACGTCGCGCGGACCACTTGCCAGTCCGCGCGTGCTGAATGGTATCCCCGTGCGTATGGGGCTACCATTCAGTACGCGGGGACTGTCCTGAGGACTGATACGTCCTTGGTCAACAAGTCGGTGGTTGCTTGCACGGGAGAGAGGTATTCAACTCACTCGCATAAAGATGGCTCCGAGACAGTCCGAAAATTGTAAACAAGTTGGGTGAGGCACATTGCGTGCATCTTTCCTCGACTGAAGCATGGCAGTCATTGACTTGCGTTTCAGATATGACTTCCTCCCGTTGATCACTTGATTGGTACGTTCCCCTGTCTATGGGACATGACCTGTAAGACCGCTTTACATTGGTTAACTGTCTTGATGTTAGCAGCCTGTGTCCGCTTGAAACTCGCAAAAGCCTTCGACGATTGTTCGCCGCAACTGTGCGTGGCCCAGGGTTCGCATGCTGTCTGGATATTTCATTTTCCGGGGGCGACTATTCTAGGCCGACGTTCCCTTGTGTGGAATACAAGGTCAAAGTACAAGGGCGGGTGAAGTAAGCTCATGAGAGCTTCAATTCTGACAGACGAACGTATCGAGCAAATTACCGCAAGAGGCTTGATGTGATCCGCCGAGGGCGGTGTTATACCGTTATGTCAGGTGAGTTTTGCATCTTGCGAAAACTCTAGGCTCCAGCCAGTGGCGCAGGGAAGATTCGTGGCCCCGACGCGCTTCTCGAATAGGTGAATTGGTCATGGTCCATCTCGAGCAATGTGCGCTACGCGTCTCAGAATTCGGGACGGTGTGCTCCTCGCATCTAACAGACTCGAGCTTCGTTCTTCCCGGTTTACCGCTCCCATTCAATTGCCGTTGGCTCTGCGCCCGAGACTGTTGTATCATACACCGCTCAACCGGCTCCATGGTGTGACAGGCTGTCTTCCCCGCCTGAGCTCTTCAGCAAGCTTTCAGCGGCGCCCGACTTAGGTTGGGTCGGTCGAGGAACTAACATGGCCACAATTGAGCTAGGCCCTTCTCTCAGGCGCGAAGACAGACTCCATCTTTCGGGGCGTTGTGGTCAAGACACTCAACAAACGGACTGCTCGGGTGCCGTAGGTATGCTTCTCTAGACGGCTTTGTGATGCATGTGATCAGCTCGCTCATATGTTGTTCCGTTGCAGCGAGTAATTAGTGCGCTCATGAGCCAGCCATCCTTTCTGGGGCAGTGCGACAACAAAGACCTTATATGTCAATCCTGTTTGACTTGGTTCGGACCCGTCTTCAGATTGCCGACGTCATGCGTAAGCTTTAGGTCACTGTCAGAAGGGACATCCACTTGTCTAGGTTGCACGAAGGTTCGTCGATTCTGTCGGAGCAGCCGGACAGGCCAGTTTCTCACCACCTCTAACCCTAGGCCTGTGTGCAGCACCGCCCATTGGACACCGGGCGCTTTGTCCAGGATACTTAAGGAGAACGGTACCGCTAGCACTACCCAGCGATCGCTCCTGCCCTCCAACGCGACAAGGATGCATCTCGCCTCTTGTCTTCTGATCGCCCTCGCTTTGGGTCTTTCGCTCTGCGGTGCTTCACCGGCTCCGGCGCGGCTTGTCGTGCACGAATCCCGCGCGACCATCCCATCCGGCTGGTTGCCCGTGCGACGGGCTGATCCTGACATCGTGCTGCCTCTCCGCATTGGGCTGATGCAGCCGCATATCCACGAGGTCGAAGAGTACCTAATGGAGATATCACACCCTCAATCACCCGGATATGGCAAGCACTGGACGCCAGCGGAGGTGCGCCATACGTTCCGACCTTCGAAGGAAGCCATCGACACCGTCCTATCGTGGTTACTCACGAGCGGCCTCGGGACGGACCGTGTCCAAGTGAGCAATAGCGGCACGTGGATACGTGCCAACGTGACCGTCGAGGAGGCCGAAGAACTGTTGAAGACGGAATACTTCATCTACCACGGAAAGGAGACAGGCAGCGAAGTCATCGCTTGTTCGCAGAAGTACCGTCTGCCAGAACATGTCTCCGAGTACGTTGAACTGGTCACTCCGACGCTGCAGTTCCACCCCCAAAGAAGCGCCGTGGTTTCGAGAAGAGGGATCAACCAGCTCCGAGCAAACTTTGGGGCGGAACGCCGAGTTATCGTCCTCTCACAAGCTCTGCCGCACATGTCAACGGTCCTCTCGCTGTGCGTTTCGTCTGCACCAACGACCGAGACAGTATACTGATCTTGCAGGACCACAGAACACCGTCGAACAACTAACCGCATGCGGCGAACAGATCACACCGGATTGTTTGCGCCTCCTCTACAACTTCACCGACTTTGTGCCGCAGGTCCCGGGAAACAACTCGATAGCCATAGGTGAGCAACGACTGTCAAGCTACGACCCCGCACTGCCGCTGACGTATTGCAGTCGAGTTCACCCCTAACGCTTATGTGGCTAGCGACTTGGATATGTTCTTTGCGAATTTCTCGCCGAGCCAAGTAGGCGAGCGACCTGTGCTCGTAAGCATCGACGGAGGTAGGTTGCTGCAGAGCTTCATCCTAGTATGGAGCTTCTCAGACGGTGCGATGGCTCATTCATCGAACCTTTAAGGTGTTGTGCAAACAACTACCGAATCGCTTGACGATAACGTAGAATCGGATCTGGACTTGCAATACGCCATGGCGTTGGTGGGCCCGACGCAGAATGTCACGCTGCTTCAAACAGGGGACATGGTGGAAGGTATGTAATTCAAGCGATACAGAGTGCATCCATGCATGCTCAAAGTGGCGTGTTGCATAGGCGCTTCACCCAATGATGTGCTCGATGGGATCGATGCGTCGTACTGTACATACGAGGGTGGAGACGATCCCGAGTCAGACCCCGTCTATCCGGACCCTGACGGAGGATACCAAGGTAGGATGCAGCCGCCTTTCTAGTATAGCGCTGGCTCATTTGGGGGTAGGTCACGACTGCGGAACTGCCTCACTACCCAACGTACTGTCTTTCTCTTATTCCAGCGCCGAAGCGTTCTTCACCCCTGCGTATATGGAGCGAATGTGTAACGAATTCGCAAAGGTTTGCTCGTCCGCTGTTCCTTTTTTTTCATATCTGTTGACGATGTGCCTCCAGCTTGGTCTAATGGGTGTAACAGTTTTATGGTCTACCGGAGACAATGGCGTTGCTACCGAGGACGGTACATGCTTAAATTCTTCCGGAGATCTCGGCGTCAGCAGTGGATACACAATCTTTAGCCCGTCGTTCCCCGCCACCTGTCCGTATGTGACAAGCGTGGGTGCTACGCAGATTAACACATCCTCGGTGAATTATCATGTTAATATTCTCCGCGGCCGCACTGACCATTCAACTTGCACGCGTAGCCCCGCATGGAGAGCGCGGCGTACCAACCAGGATACCTATCGTCCGGCGGTGGATTTTCAAACACCTTCGCCTTACCCAGTTACCAGCAGACGGCGGTGCAAGACTATTTGACGAATTATCCGCCACCATACTCATCCTCCCTATTCAATTCGTCGGGTCGCGCGTACCCGGATTTGTCTGCAAATGGGTGCGCTTCTATGTTTAGCTTGAATGTAATGTTCTCATGACACTGTGTAGTGTCCGATATACGGTAGCAGCCGACGGGACGTGGCTATCGGTTTACGGTACTTCGGCATCTACGCCGGTCATTGCGGCTTTCCTTACAGCCATCAACGATGCGCGCATCGCTGCGGGAAAGAGCACAATCGGCTTCATTAATCCGACGGTGAGTAGCGGTTTTCTAAGGACCTCTATGAGCGCTCTTATGCATGTTGGCCGACAGATCTATTCGTCTTCGTTTCAAGCGGCATTCAATGATATCATCAACGGGTCGAACCCGGGATGCGATACTAATGGGTTCTACGCCGAGCCGGGCTGGGACCCGGTTACGGGTATTGGCACTCCCAATGTTGCGATGCTTCGCGACCTGTGGCTTGCGCTTCCGTGATGTTAGGAGCTGCTACATTCTTCTCTACTAGTAGTCAGTCTGGCCTTTCGAACTTCGACTTCAACGAGAGGCTCACTTACTGTATGTCCTGGATATATATCATTATCATACGGTCTGACATGTACATAATCAGAGGGGCCTCACTAGTGGCCTAAGTTACAGTACTGTAATCAGACTTTGGCTGCCTATTCCGGCTCAAACCTTCTCACTTCAATTACATATCGACAACAAGACCGTATTTACGCCTTCTCGCGTCGATTTGGAGTCAATCAGTGTACTCAACAGTACGGCCATGATTAAGTACTCAAATTTATCCTGGAGGAAACGATCTCGGGCGCTAGCGAAGATGTGGTACGCGATCACGTGGGTCAAGTTCGGTTTGGGTGTGGCATGGGCGTGGCTTGGATTGTCTCCCTTCCTCTCCGCCACTGCCACTCTCCCTTTTGTTCTCGCTCCTGCGACACATCGCCGAGAAATATGATGTCCTTCCTCCCAAAAACGCCCTCTCGCCATCGCCCCTCGCGGTCAGAGGCGAAAACACCACTCACTCCTGCGCTTACATCCGGCCTGAACGCGCTGAGTCTAGGCATCCCACGTCAAGGCTCGAGCTCTCCGACCAAGTCGAAGGCAGACGTATCTTTCAACCCGTTCTTGGCGAGTCGACCCGCGTCTCCCGTTCGACGAGCCCAAAGTACCAGCAGACCCGCCTCACCTGTTAAACGCGCGACCAGTGGCTCCCTGCAGATCTCGGACACCTTGCAACGCCAGGCAAGCGCTGGAGTCATCCGTAAAGGAGGCGTGGAGAGCAGGATAGACGTGATTACACGCGACTACGTGCCGCCAAAGACACAGAAGCGGTCAAGATCTCAACCGAACGTGAGTGGTTGTCCATATGATTATCGCATTCGAACGCATGGGCTTGTGCATGAGCGATGCAAAGATATGTTCCAACTGGTTTATGCTGGATGAAGGACATGCCATTTGTCTTCGCGCTGAGATCACCAATCCCAGTACCGCTCTGTACGCGGGACGACGGACTACACTCCGGAGGGTAGTATATGTTCTTCTACCCTGTACGACCTAGCACGGCTCATCTGAGGAGAGGGCAGTCATCACGTTGAGCTACGTGCACTTTGCGAAAATGCAGTAGAATACATCCGTATTTTGTACTTCTCTGTGGAATGCTCGCTGATACACTGGTCCGGCAGCGTGATACTCGTGACAGATTCATTACGGCGCGCGACATGACGGAAGAAGTGACTGCGACACTGGACATGATGTCCTTGAACCCTCAATCGGCATCTCCGGGGCACACTGCACGTCTCGCAGCAGCCACAGGAGTCCCGATCAACCGCCGCGTACTCGCCTACCATGAGCCACCGCCACCTTCGTCCTCCGACCCGCTACTCGCTCAAGCTCGCGAGCTCGTGCGTCCACTCTACGCGCGTCCAGGTGCCCTCCCGACGTCCACCTCGTCTTCTACAAGCAAAGGCCGCAAGATCCCGACCGCGCCAGAGCGCGTGCTGGACGCGCCCGGAATGCTGGACGACTTCTACCTGAACATCGTCGCGTGGAGCGCACAGAATACACTGGCCGTCGCGCTCGCGGAGAACACGTACTTCTGGCGCGCGGACAGCGGCGACGTCGTGCACGTGGGCGAGATGCCCGAAGGCACGTACGTAAGCGCGCTCGACTTCTCGATGGATGGCCAGTTCCTCGGTGTTGGGAACGGCTCGGGCGCGGTAGAACTGTGGGACGTCGAGACGCAGACGAAGCTGCGCACGATGACGGGTCATTCGACGCAGGTCGGCTGCTTGTCGTGGAACCAGCATATCCTGACGAGCGGGTGCGGGGATGGCAGTATTTGGCATCACGATGTACGCGTGGCTCGGCATAAGGTGGGCGAGCTGATTGGCCATCTGGGAGAAGTCTGCGGCCTGCAGTGGCGCAGCGATGGCGGGCTGCTCGCTAGCGGCGGGAACGACAATGTCGTGAATGTCTGGGATGGTCGCATCGGCGATGTCGCTCCCGGGACGCGTGGCAGTGCTCGGTGGACGAAGAGGAACCACACCGCCGCGGTCAAGGTAAGCAACACGGTCGACGCCGAATTCGCGTGCTGACCACTTCTCTGTCCATATCCACAGGCGATCGCGTGGTGTCCTTGGCAGCCTTCGCTCCTCGCGTCCGGGGGAGGCACGTCGGACGCGACGATCCACATCTGGAACACCACGACGGGTGCGCGCCTGCACTCGGTAGTAACACCGTCGCAAGTGACTTCCATCCAGTGGTCTCCGCACAAGAAGGAGTTCCTCAGCACGCACGGCTACCCGACCAACGCGGTCATGGTGCATGCATACCCATCAATGGAGAAAGTTATCGAGATCCGCGATGCGCATGACTCGCGCGTGCTCTACAGCGCGATCAGCCCGAACGGCGACGTCGTGTGTACCGGCGCAGGTGACGAGAACTTGAAGTTCTGGCGTGTGTGGGAGGCGCCGAAGGTGAAGAAGGGCAAGGACAAGGAGGCGAGCAGGTCGGGCACGGGGAGCACTAGCAGCGGGATTCTGAGCATCCGCTAAACCACATAGTACTAGGATTCACGGACATCTACAACTCGTATTGGTTGGTCTTCAAGGTAAGCACACGTACACGTATCTCGACTGCATACACACACGCACTTCTACGTCCGTTATGCTACTCTCTTGTCGTATGTTTGGCTACTTGGTGTCTGTACTCAAAGCATTATCGTCATGCCTCGGCGAGCTTGGTGAGCAGAAGAGTGACGCGCTCCGCCTCCCTCCTCCCGCTGATGATCGCCCCCGCGATGCTCCCTCTGTGGTTCATCTCCGTATGCTCGCCGGCAAACCCAAGGCGGCCTCCCCAAAGTGGCTTCGCGAGCTCTGCGAAGTCAAGCGGGCCGCGTCCCTCGCCGGCGATGCTGGGCGTCGTGGTCGAACCAAGTGCGAGCGGGTCCTTGTGCCAGTCCGTCATAACGGAGCTCGTCGGTTTGGCCGGCTGCGCGGCGGGCTGGAAACGCGAGACGAGGAACGTATGCACAGCGTCAGTCACCTCCTCGAGCGAGAACTTTGCAAGCCCGAGGGCGGGCGTGGGTGAGAGGTAGAAGAGGAGGGTCGGATGCTGATGCGGCAGGGATGGGCCCGCGAAGGAGGCGACGACGAGCGTGGTGGACGATAGCACGTCCTCCACTGTCTCTGGGTCACCGCCCAAAAACTTGGTTGCTAGTAAGGTGAATGACCCTACCGAGCCCGCGTTCGGCCACCAGGCCTCCGAATAGGTGAGGACGAGCTTCTCGAGTATGCCGACGTGCGTGCCCTGGATAGTCTCCGTTCTGCGCACCGGGAGCTTCGGCTCGAACAGCTTGACAGCGTCGCGCTTCAGCACACCAAGGGGAATCGTGCACAAGACCGTCGCGGCACGGTAGATGCCCTTGTCCGTCGAGACGTTCACGCCGGACTGCTCTTCCTGGATCCGTATGGCGGTCTCTCCGAGCTGAATGCGAGTGTTGCCTGTGTTCGTCGCGGCGGAGAAGACGCGGTCGACGAAGGACTGGAAACCACCCTGGGGCGCGCCATCGGATCCCGCGAAGTTGTCCTCCCACCCGGTCCAGCGCAGGCTCACCTGTTCGAGGACGGCATTCAAGGGCACCTCGAGCGTACGAGCGAAGGCGGCCGCGGTGCTGGGCGTGGATGAAGTGCTGAGTTTGGAATTGGGGTCGAAGAATGCAGCCGAAAGGGGCGTCGTCGGTGAGGGTGATAGAGACGTGCTATTGAGAGCTGTGTTGCGGGCAGCTGCGTGCGTCTGACCAAGACGATCCCGTAGGTCGTTGGCTGCTGATGCGTCAAGAAGGCCTGTATGGGATGTACTAAGATCAAATCACACTCTGGATTCCGTCAGAGTACGATGTTCACCATTGGCGCCGTATATGGCATTGTCAGCCGGTTTTGCTACATCGACTGCCTGGATGAATTGGTGAGGCAATTATCCGCGTCTTTGATTGATCTACACTCACAATGCCAAGCTCCTTCGCAATCACTTTCGCAGGATTGCCCTCCTTGTATCCTACACAATGTCGAGCCGCGATCAGCTTGCCCTTGCGTAATTTTATAGGCAATGCACGTACCGTGAATAAAGCTGCACCCGAGGTCGACGGGGACGTGCGTACCCTCGGTATAGGTCCGCGCCCGTCCACCGATGCGCTCTCGTGCTTCAAGGACAAGCACCTTGTACCCGCTCTGCGCGAGATGGCGTGCGGCTACGGCACCAGCCCAGCCTGCTCCAATGATGATCGTGTCCAGCGAAGCCATAGCAGCGTGCATGAAATAGCAGGCTAGAGACACTGGATGTTGCGGTGAACGTTGAGAGTAGATCGCGCACCGCTTGATTACCACAGATTACTATCAGCTCCGCGAAGATTGTACCGCGCTCAAGTACTTAGCCAAACACAGTGCAGTCGTGAACCAAAGCCTGAGCCAAGCCTGAGCGCACTCGGAGGCTCCCTAGCTTGCCAGTGTGAAACCGCGTTCACGTTATGGTAGTACTAGTAGAATGACGGAGACGGCTGCACGGACATCCGCTCCGGGCCGTATGTCCTGAGAGTCGGCGGGACCTCCACTCCGTTCGCACCGTCAAACAATGTATGCATAGCAGTCGGCGTTGTTATAAGTACCTAAGTAGTAATTGACAACCTTTGAAAGTGCGAGGCCACAAACTCAAAATGATTGCAGCACACATAGGCAATGAGATCGGTCCCATAGAAAAGAACGTACAGACAGTACAGGCGCATCCTGAGGTCAAGGACTCCAAGATTTGCCTGGATTAGAAGTAACCCTGTCTAGATAGCACATAGCGAAGACAGTTCTAATGCAACAGAGCGATACAGAATGTCGATGGAACCGGCATGGTGCGATGAATGAGCGGACTCGTAGTCTCCAAGTGCAGCGAGGATACAACTATTGAGCATCGGTGTCTCCAGCACGCGCCGCTCGCCTGGCTTTTTTCGCAGCGTTCGCAGCCGCCGCCTTCGCCTTTTTAGATTCCGCGCGAGCAACCTGAGGGCACGTCAGTTACGGGTGCATGAAAGCCGGAGGACAAAACACACCTTCTCCTCCTCCTCTTTCCGCTTCGCCTCCTCCTCTGCCTTCTTCTTCTCCTCTTCCTCCTTCTGCTTGGCATCTACACCGTTCTGGACGCCACCCTTGTTCTTCTTCTTCGCCTCGCGCGCGGCCTTCTCCTCCTCTTTGATCCGCTTTATCCGCGGGTCGTATGCAAGCGCGAGGTCGACGATGCTCCGCAGACGCGCCGTGTCCTCTTTCTTGCGCCGCGCGCGCTCGGACTTGTTCTTCTTTTCCGTGTAACGTTTGTCGTCCCGGCTGCACGCAAATCACTCGTCAGCCAGTGCGCAACTCTCGCGTCCGTCACGCACTTATCGCTGCCCTCGTTAACCTCCTTGTCGAGGTACTCAAAGCTCCGCCAGCTGTCAAAGTTGTACCAGAAGTCGTAGAACGCCGAGACGACCTCCTTGGGGTCCTCGTAGCCGCCGAGCATCGGCACAGGTTGCTTGCGGCTGAAGCGCGCCTCGCGCTCGAACACGGGCGCAAAACCGTCGAAGAAGAACTTCTGCGGGTTCCTCGCGCTCTTGAGCTGCTTCTCCACCGGCACGTCCGCCTCGAGCAACTCGTAGTACGGGTCGACGGAGTCGAACTGGCGCCGCCGCTCCGGGTTCGTAAGCACCTCGAACGCCTTTGAGATGCACTTGAAGAACGCATCGTCGTTCGAATCGCCGGCAAGCCCCGCCTTCTTGTCAGGGTGGTGCTTGAGGACCTTTTTCCTGTCTGTGAGAAGGTTAGACGACTTATCGTATAGTCAGGATCCAGCAATGTGCCCAAATGTGGTGCAGGACAGTCACCGCAACATCGGCTCTGTGGCCGGCGGGATGTACTGAGCTTCTGATCCTTCTAGTAGAAATGTCCCTTTCAGCCGTAGGAACAGTTCTACTGGCGAAATGGAGCCCGTGATTTGACGGAGATGGCCTCTCGTCCTTCGCATGGGCGCCAGGTTGCGTCTGAGTCTCCTCACCCCTGGCTCACTGCAAGCAACCCACGACGTACTCCCGAGTTGGCACCGAGTCGTGCAAGAGTGGCGGCCACACGAAATACGTCTTTCGCTGCCTAGTCACTCAGGACGACCGTAGGTACACTGCGTCCGCGTCCACTTCTAAATAACTCGCTGCCGATCCACTTGACTTGTGAAAGGCCAGCGTGTACGATCTATGGCCGTGAAGGCCACATCCGAGCACCTGCTGGAGTTGGGCAATAACAGTGATCACAAGTACGAGTACCATGACCACTGTATCAAGGTCGTGACGACTTGATGTCCCGGACCATGGCTGCTCTACCCTCGGTACCCTCAGGGTTGTCGTCCTTTGGGATGGACTGCGTAGCGCCCAGAGCCCAAGGCTCCGTCGAGGTAAAGCTCAAGACACGGACGAGCGAAGGTCTCTTCAAACGCAAGAATGTACGTACGTGCGATTTTGATCTGATCTTTTGTTGCCTTGTAGCGCAGATGTGAAAGCCCGAGCACCTGGTAGTGGTCTTGTTTCTAGCGACACGGAACGCGTCAAGTCAGAGTGTCCGGGACTGAGCAGCCTCATGACGCACCTTCCACTCCTTCGGATCCAGCAACGACAGCTCCTCGTCCTCAGGTTCGTCTCCGACACCGAGATCATCCTCGCCGTCGACACCGGTACCGTTCATCGCCTCCAAGCGCCTGCGTTCTTCCTCCGCATGCTTGTCATGCTCCTCGAAGGTGAGCTTGTGGACGGCGCGCTTTACGTGGGCAAGATATGCCGGACCAACAGGTAAGAGTCTGCGTTCGACAAGAGCTAAGAAACATGAGCCGCACTTCCGTGCAAAACAGCAACTATTCCGCGTACGAGATATCGATTTGCCGGACGACTCCGGGGCCGTCCACGACGCGGGAAGTGGTGGAGGAACAACGTGAGGTTCTCTTATGTTCGCCATCGAGTTACCAGCCTAATGAGGGTGAAACGGAAAGAGTGTAGGCCTGAAAGAACACCGAACGGTGATTTCTGCAAAGCAGCGAGACACAACTTTTCTGATTTCAGGCGCTCACGGGCAATTCCGATCCCGACTTCTAAGCGCCCAAATGTATTGCCACAGACGTGCTTTCACGTGATGTCATTCCGACGCGTCGCGTCGATCAAGCGCCGATCCCAGACTTGGTTCATTTCGAACGACTCACCATACGCGGGTCGCAGCCCCGTCGAACCGCTTGCGATACACATTAATTCGGACATTGATAGACCCCACAGGCATAACAGAGCTGCGATACACAAGTACTCTACAATATACACTGAAACCGTGGTTCTGTGGCAAGTACTGTGCTGTACGTGTGTAGTACGAATGTTGAAGTTCTTAGCTTACTTTCAGCAGGCCCAGTGCAAGATGGCGTTGCAAGTGATTAAGGACACCAAACTTGCTGCAGCTTTTTGCCGTATCAGTCCTCCAAGCTCTCCGTCTAAGCGAGCCACTCAACGCTCACGAGGGCCTTCGAAAATACTGGCTGCGCTGGACGCTGCTATTGCCCCTGAACGCTACCCGCCAGTTGTCGAAACCGGTTTGCAGAACAATGCTGCGCTCGAATCCTCAAAAAGGTGCGTTCTGAGTTTGGTGTAGTGCGAAGCACAATGGTTGACGCATCCGGATGTTTGTGTCATGCTTTATTGGGTTCCATTAGCCTCCACCCTCTCTTCTTGCATTCTGGCACCTCGCATCCACCACCGCTGATGCAGCCACCGCCAGTGGCGACGGCTAAGCCAAGCTCGTCGACCTCCAAGTCGACATCCGCGGTGTCCAGTGTAGCATACGGGTCCTCAAAACGAGGGACGTCAAGTAGTTATACACGCTCGCGGACGAAGACCACGGAGATGAACGCTGCGCCTATCTTGCCCCTCTACTCGTACAAAGACTACTATCCTGCTCCAGCTGTGGTGTATGTGCGTCATGAAGACGAGGCGGACGAACTCATACAGGCACTCAGCGGGTATGTCCACCTTTGATTAGTAGTCCTTTGTGCTCACCAAGCGTCTGCATGACTTTGATGTTCCCCAGACCGCTAGGCTTTGATATGGAATGGGTCGTAAACTGGAGGAACAAGGCTTACACAGAGCGTCGCACTGCCGTCGTACAGCTGTGTGACAAGCGGATGATCCTTGTCATTCAGCTTAGCCAGATGAAGCGTATGACCTCTTCCTCTCCCACATGCGTCATTTCTCAAAGAGAACTTAGGGATTCCGCAGAAAGTCAAGGTATGTCACGTACCACCGTCGGACAGGCATTGTGACTGACTACGTCTCAGGAGGTCATCGAGTCGCGCGATATCGTGAAGATGGGTGCAAACATCAAGAGTGAGCCTGTTGTAGTGTCCAGTGGACTGTCGCTAACAGGGACGGCACAGACGATGGCGAAAAGCTTTATCGCGACTACGGCATCCTCGCATCCAACCTCGTCGAGCTGGGCGCGTTTGCGCACCGTGCAGACGCGACTTTCGCGCGGAAGTACAACAGGTCCATCGTCGCGCTCGCGAAGGTGGTCGAGCACTATACGGCCAAGACGCTCGACAAGGGCAGAGTGCGCTCGAGCAACTGGGAGGCCGCGCCGTTGAGTGAGGAGCAGTTAACGTGTGAGTAAAGACCTCTCTATCGATCCAGTCTAGCGCATGCTGAGCGCAGTCTCGGACCTCCGGCAGACGCTGCGAACGACGCACATTGCGCCCTGGTCGTATACAATCGCCTGCTTGACATCGCGGCCGAGCAAGGACGGTCCCTGGGTCCTGCGCCGTATGGCAGCAGTATTATACCACGTTCTCGGCCGGCCGGCGCGGGCAGTAGTACCGCCTCGCAGGCCACCTCCGCGAGTTCATCGTCCCATTCGGTGTCGTACGTGGGCGACGCCGAGGGGCTTCAAGAGAGACCGCGTCCAAGTCCTCAGCACCTCCGCGCGTATAACTTGTGGCACTACCGCGATGCGCCCCTGCAGGAGATTTGCGCTACGCTTAGGTCGAAGGAGAACCCGCTGAAGGAGAGCACAGTAATGTAAGTCACCTTGATATCCTCTAGGTGTGGAGCATTCAGACACATACCGTGCGATTGATAGATCGTATGTCGTCCGGGCACTACAGGCGGACTCGGCTCTACCGTTCTCAATGGACCGCCTCAAGGTGCTTGTACAGTCAGAGGCAGGGTCTTGGGCGAGACACCGCGATTGGATCGTACAAGCTGAGTCCCAAAAGAATTAGCATGCGATACGCTTGGGCGTAAGTACCGCGACTCGATAGGACCTCAAACATCTCCAAGCCATATTTTTGCTCTATTTTTGCCATGTAAGACTGCGGACGGCTCCGAATTGCCAACTACATGTATGACAGTTGTAGAAGCCAATGAATGAAAACAAGAGCTCAATGTAAGCTGATGATTCAAACGTTCAGAACTGAGTACCCAAAAGTTAATCTGGATCACTTGAATAACGAGTCACGGCGACCACTGTTTGGGGCGTCACTCAACTTCACGACCAATGTCGATTGAGAAGGTTCAAACGACGCCGACCCGTTGCTTCCGAGTGACGAACTTGGTCCTCCATACTTATGTTCGCTTGCATATCCGGCCATGACTACTTAGGGTTGTTTGCATCGACGGTACCGTACTCGGCCAGAGCGCAGCACAACGAGTGGCTCAAGACAATGAAGAAACCGACACACTATTCAATACACTATCAAACCCTCATCTTCGCTCTGCGACCCACTGGCAGCCAACGACTTGCAGATTAAATCCAATCACGGTTTCCTTCCCTTCTTCGACGTCCTCCTGCCTCGAGGTTGACCAATGAGAATCCTCTGCCGTTTCGACGACTGCGAGCCTAGGTCTTCTGGGATGCTATCAGGCTCCTCTCTCGGACGGCTGCGCTTCCTCACATTGCTGACGCTCAAGCCGGTGTCCCGCTGCTTCGACGTCGTCTGCACACGCGAACGGAGATTGTAGCGATGACCTGACAGTGCACCGTTCGCGTTAACATGGCTGGCCAGCCACGTCTCGGCGTTGCGACTCGGAGCTGCTCTCTTGCGGGTTGCTGGACGCTTCGCCGCTGGCGGCGATTCGGCACGACGACCGCTCTTTGCCCCTCTGCCGACCTGTGCTCGAGTCTCCTTCCGTGCGCGCGGTTGTGAGGTACTGGGCTTGGGTTGCACCGCCGGCTGAACGGAAGCCAGTCTATGCTGCCAGAACGCAGTTTCTTCATTTGTCGGCTCGTCGACAGCTACTTGTGTGACCGCACTGTCCTTTTCGCCTGCCCCTTGTTGGACCTGCCCACCAGCGCCATCCCCGCGTGAGACACCTGCAATTGCGCCTTGTTGATCGTCATCTCGCTGTGGATGATCGGATGCACCTTGGAGCGGGGTGACGGGCGGGCAGGGGAATTCTCTGTTGGCACCCGTCCTTGGATCCAGAGAGCCCGGCTGCACTGACTGGCACACAGACTTCGCCATCTCTGGCGGTAATGTCGCAGTCTGTGGAAGTTTCCACTCCAGGGCAGCGTCGTTCTCCGGCCAGACCACGTTTGAAGCTAGCACCTTATCGAAGATATCGAGTATTTCGCGATGCGTTCTGTGCTCTACGCCTACGCGGCGCAGGCGAAAGTTGCCGGTAAACGCAACACGAAGGTTTTCGAGTAACGACGTCAATGGTTCGTTCCCAGGTACTTTTAAAGGAGGCACCTCCCTCGATAGCCAAGATTGTTTGGTGTCTGCGACGGTGTCCCAATCAGGGGAGCAAAACAGGTACGCAAAAGCGCCATCCCCCTTTTGTGGTCATGATTTGTGTGTCGGAGCACGATGAAGACAAGGAGCCAGTAGAACGACTCTAAGTCATGGCGCGCTTCGTGGGTAATCTCGCTCCGCAAGATCTCAATGGCCATAAAGTAGACCGTGCCCTGGCGAACATCTCAGACAAGGCAACGATGCGGAATAAGGGTTACTTACTGTGCGCTCCTTGGAGTCGTTGTCTGGATCCTCCTTGCTGCGCGGCTCGTAACCGTGTTGAACACAGTACTCCTCCCACTTGGCGAGATCCACTTGCATTTTGCGCCTATATAGGAACCACTTCCAGTTGAAACTGTAGTCGAGGTCCTGGATGAAGCCTGAGAAGGCGGCACCCTCTGGAGCGATCATCACATTCCCTTCACTGATATCGCGGTGGATGACCCCGGCCTCGTACGCCCGCCGATGTCCTGTCGTAGTCGCTCGTCAGCCAAGCTCCTGAGCAGCATTGTCGTAGCTTACCCTCTATGGCGTCTCGCAGCGCCATGGCCAGCTGCTTCGTACGCTTGAATTGCGCGAGGGGCGTACCGACCGTCTCCAAGACGAGCCGTGTATGGCTCCGTTCGTTCAGCCGCCCCATCTCCGGTGCGTTGTGCGCCCCTGCGATGGTCCGGTAACCGACTAATTTCATGCCCGGAGGTGCACGGCTCTGCGATCTCAGGCGCCGCGCATTCGCCTCTCGTTCCCGCTCTTCCTCATCGCGATCACCGAGTTCCTCGGCGTGGATGAAAGAAGCCACGCCGAAGATTGGTTCGCCCCTCGTGGCGTCTCGTAGCGCCTCATAGAAGTCGCTTTCGCGGAAACGACCCGACTGCCGCCATGACTCCTTCACGACGTACCTCCTACCCTTATTCTCCTTTTCTTCGCCGAGTTTGTACGCCTCCCATACGAGCGTCGCTCGTGAGAACAACTCCGGGTTTACGAAGAGCAGCTTGTACGTCAGATACGTCGTCTCGTGCTTCTGCTTGTCCGTCACTGTGATTCGCCGCACCGCCTTCGGTGTCTCGTCCGTGCTGACCCAGTCGGGATCGCGGTTCTTCTCCAGCGAGTGCACCAGATCTAGATCCGCCCTGGTACCTGGCTTCATCGTAGGGTCCTCTCCAACGACTGTGCACCCGGATAGCCTGGGATGGAGCAGTCGCCACAAGAACTCGTGGAATATCTCTGGACGCTTCTTGTATTCGAATCGAGGCGAACATATCGCTCCCACGCGGTCGAAGCGGAAGATTCGAGCCTGGTCCCCGTATATGCCAACGACAAACGCGAATAGCCTCCCCTGCGAGAGCATGATGTTCCGCGCGCTCTGCGCAAGCTGCGCCAGTGTCGCCCCATGCGTGGTCGCGCGATTCTTCACCGGGTCATCGGGTACCTCTGACTGGAGTACGAACACCAATGTGACGTCTCTCCACTGGTAAGCTGGTTCTACAGCGGATAGCGCTGGCATCGTCGCGATTACGTCCGGCTTGGTTGGATGTTGCTCGGACTCGTATGTCCCAAACGGGAATTTCATGATGTTATGGCCGTAGTTGTGGAACTGAGGCCGCGTGTCGGGCGGAAATGAGCTGACTAGCTGACTCAGTGCCTTCACCTACAGACAAAGTCAGCAAAGCTGTGTAGCCATGACGACACGCGTACACTTACCAGTGGGTCATGCATCTTCACTTCGGCGTTGTCGATCGGGACCACCTTGAACAGTCCACCGGTCGGTGGACATCTGGGGACAGTCGTATGCGATGGCACCATGCTAGACAGATAGTCGTCGACGGATCGGGGGTACTCCCTGATCCGTTCGTCCCAGGCAGCCATCTCCTCTACGTTGCTGTTTTTAATGTGGTCGAGATCGCTGTGGTACTGCTCGGACCGTCGCTAGCAGGGCGGAGCTTTGTCAGATATGTGTGTCGTGGTGGGAGTGCTCGGAGATGCCAATGTCGGATGTCGATGTAGTCAAAATGAGGATGGTGGGAATGGGGAGCAGAGTGCGAGGGCGGCATGTTTACGCGTGCGCGAGGGATTGAATATTGATGACCAGCTGCCAAACTAGGATGGGTCCACGGAGTTTCGAATCCGAGTCAGTATCTCAGCATGTTCGCCGCAGAATCCGGCCCAGGCTATTGCAACTCTCATTCTGCCCTAAAGCAGTGCGTGTTAAGATGTGTTCCCGTGTAGCAGTACTTGTCAAATTGCACGAGGAACACGCAGTGGCTGCCTTTCGCGTCATCTGGGTGATGGGGAGAAAGTGGACGGAGCCACAGAGACGCCCGTTCGCCACAAGCGCCCCACAACCATTTTCGTCCCGATTTGGAAGGTTCCTTGTTCAGGCCGGTTCAGGCTTTGTATTTTCGTCATGAAAAGGGGCCTCGAGCCCATGGCGCCAATGTTGTGGTTTGATCTACATATCATACATAGCAGCGCAATGTAGGAACTAAGGAAAAGTAGACTACTTATCTGATCGCCTTGGAGCTCGACATCACTGGTCCTGACAAGAAAAAAATGTTGGAACAAAACGAACGGCCGAGCGGTGAATTCAATAGAACAGGTCCCACAAGCAGCACTCCCTCATGATGACACATATCACATATAGCTGAGAGGCACGACGAACATGTTCGATCAATACAACACGTTCATTTTTCGAACGTTTCGCGATGCGTCATGACTCGACTCATGAGAGGTACCTAGTAGTATGTTGTATACTACACGGGCCGGCCTCGCGACGCCAAATGCGAAAGAGTTGACCTCATTTTCAGGCCGGCGCCGACAGATGGATAGAGGTTGAACTTGAATCAAGGCAAAACTATCTTCATGTCAGTTATAGGGAGTAGCAGATGCAGCTCCAGAAAAGCAAAGACACTCGTACGTAGTACCATCCATGTCGACCACTGACCGATCTAGATCACACAACGTACATCACTATTGAAGGCGATGCTAGTACCCTCGCGACTACTACCATACATCGCGCATGCTTCAGTGCTTAGCGCTTAGCGTCGACCAACGTACGACATAGCAGAATGTTTGGTTCGCAAACGTATTGCCAGTTGACATTGCAAGTTACTGGCAGGTGTGGCAGACGACATGAACAGTCAACGTTTCGCCGCGCGGTGGAACGAGATAGATGGATGAAGGAAACCGGTACTCTATAATACATTCCAAAGTCCCTCGTTTACTATACTCAGGGGTTGCCTACGCACATTACAACTTCTTCTTCTCCGACTTCTTCGATGCCTTCCTGCCGCGGGGTTGGCTGACCGTCCTCGGCCGCTTCGACGACTGCGCGGCCAGGCTTTCCTCGACCTCGTCCTGGTCTGATCCCTCACGACTACGCTTCCCAATGCTACTGTCCCTCGACCCAGTATCCCGTAGCTTCGACGCTGCCTTCGCGCGAACACGAGTCGACCTCCGCGGAGCAACTGGGGCACAGTCCGCTGCGTCAGAGGTGCTCGGCGCACCGAAGTCACGACGGCCCGACGAGCGGAGGTTGTAGCGGTGGCCCGGCCTCGCGCCGGCTGCGTCAACGTTGCTCGCTGGCCACGTCTCAGCGACATTGCGACGGGAGCCCGCGTTCCTAGTGACCGGAGGCTTTGCCTTTGAAGGCGATTGAGCGCGGCGGCGACTGCTCGCGCGCGTTTGAGGATCCGTTTGCTCCGGCGACTCGGACGCATTGGCCTCTGGTTGTTGCGGTTCCTCGTCCAAAAGAGCAAGTCCATGAGGCGCGTCCGGAGCATTCGGACGCTCGTCAATATCTGTGACGACCTCCTCGTCGCTTGGCTCTTGGGCTAGCATCACACTGGCATCCTCGTCGTCGCTATGATCGGGAGTCTTCGAGCCGTCTTGCTCGTTGTCCGACTGCTCGTACTCAGGCACGGCCTGCGGCGGGGGGATTTCGTGGGTGGGGAACGGAAAGTCGGCAGCAGTGGTGTGATCCTTGGTACCCATCGTCACGGGCTTGCCCCTCGATTCTGTCATCGGTTGGGTATGTCCTCGGTTTGCAGGGGCAACCCACGGAATGGCAGCGTCATCAACGGGCCACTCTTGGGCCAATGCGGCGTCAAATACCTGAAGAACTTCTTCATGTGTGACGCGACGGATGGATCCAAGCCGAACAAGGAAGTTTTCCTGCAGCAGATTGCGGAACTTTTCCAGAAGATTCGTCAAGGGCTCGTTACCAGGAACTGGAAGAGGAGCTTTGCGGTGTTGCAGCCAAGCCATCTTTGTACTGGCACGTTGATCTAGGTCGTCGAGGCAGAACAAGCTTCCGAAGGCCTCACTTTTCTTGTGATGGCCATGGTTAGTATGCCGAAGGACGATGAACACAAGGAGCCAATAGAATGACTCCAAATCGTGCCGTGCTTCATGTGTGATCTCGCCTTCCAACACTTGAACAGCCATGAAGAGCAACGTTCCCTGACATATTCGTGAGGGAACGTATCGATCGGAGATATCATATACTCACCGTACGCTCTTTGCTGTCGTTCGCAGGGTCAGACTTCCCATCGGTCTGGCGCGGTTCGTGCCCATGTTCGACGCAGTACTTCTCCCATGTTGTCAGATCCACATCCCAGCCACGCTTTTGCAAGAACCGTCGCCAACTGAAGCTGAAGTCGAAGTCTTGGATGAAGCCCGCGAACGCAGAATGAAGGCGCGAGATCATCACGTTCCCTTCGCTGACGTCGCGGTGTATAATCCCAGCTTCATACGCCCTTCTGTGTCCTGCAACCAGAATTGTCAGTCTACAAGTGAATATATTACCTGCATTGCGACGTACCTTCCACAGCATCGCGCAGCGCTAATACGACCTCCCGCGTGCACCTGAAGTCCGCCAGCGGCGTCCCAACCGTCTGGAGAACCATCCGCATGTGACTCCGTTCATTCATCCGCACCTTCTCAGGCGCATTATGCACCCCAGAGATCGTCCGGTGACCCGCCTTCGTGTCCTCGGGCACAGGAGCTCCAGAGGTCTCTGCCTGCTCCACAAGCTTCCGATGTGCTTCATCCCTCTCGCCGTAGTCCTCGCCGCATATGTACCTCGCGACACCGTACGTGAATCTGGCCTCGCCTAGCGCCTGTACCTCCGCCGCAAGTTTCCCTTCGACCTCGACGTCGTCGTTGGTCTCTGCCTCGACCACGCCACGATCCTTCGCCTGATTCTCCTTGTGTTCTTCGAGCTTCGCGTACTGTAGCCTCTCGTAGAAGCCGACCTCGTCGAGGCGACCAAGCTGCCGCCACGTCTCCTTCAGAATGTATCGCTCGCCTGTGCTCCGATTCCTCTTGTCGACGATGAAGGCTTCCCAGATCAGTGTCGCGCGGGAAAACAGCCCAGAGTTCACGAAGATCAACTTGTATGCGAGGTACGTCGTCGGCTTTCCATTCTCGTCCTGCATGGTAATCCGTCGCACTGCCTTCCGCGTCTCCGCGGTCCGTTTCCATTCATCGTCGTACCTCGATGCGAGCTTGTCTGCCAGCTTCCGGTCCATGCTCGTTCCCAGCTTCATCGTCGGATCCTCCCCGACGATGGCGCAACGCCTGTCTCGCGGGTGGAACAAGCGCCACATGAACGCGTGCAAGATCTCCGGATGATTCTTGTACGCAAACTTGGGCGAGCATATCGCACCGGCGCGGTCAAAGCGAAAGATACGAGCCTGATCGCCATATATACCGACGACAAACGCGAACAGTCTCCCCTGCGAGAGCATGATGTTCCGCGCGCTCTTCGCAAGCTGCACGAGCGTCTCCCAGTGCGTCTGCATGTTCATTATCATCGGGTCGGCCGACGCCAGCGACTTGAGTTCGAAGACGAGAGCGACATGTCTCCAGCGATGCAGCGGAGAGATGAAAGGTAGTGTCGGGAACGTCGCAATGACGTCGGGCTTCGTGGGGTGCTGGTCGTGTTCGTACGGCTCGAACGGAAACTTCATGACCTTGTGCTCGTAGTTGTGGAACTTGGGCCGCTTTCTGTGCGGGAACGGCCTTACCATTCGCTCCAGTGCTTTCATCTGAACACAACCGTCACATCAGCTATCGCGTGATACGGTACCGTCTATTGCACACTGACCAGTGGCCCATACATCGCGTTCTCAAGATTTCCCACTTGAATCAGCTGGAGCGACCTGCCCATATTAGGGCAGGGTGGTACAGGTGTATCCGACGGAACCATCGTAGAGAGGTACCTGTTGATGTTGTCCGGGTACTCCTTGATCCTGTCGTGGATCTCCCGCTGCCAGGACGCCATGTTCTCCTTGTTGTCTCGCTTCGCGTCGGCAGCATCGCCTGCGTATTGCATGCGGCCTTGGTCACGAGGGGGGGTTACTTTGTCAGACATCGGAGCGTTGTGTTGGGGGTGTTCGGAAATGTCGATGTCGACGTCGATGTCAATGTAGTCGGGATGAGAGTGGGAGGAGGAAGGAGCAGAGTGCGAGGTGGGCATGTTTACGCGTCCGCGAGGCATGTTTGATTCGGAGTTGATGGCCAACTGCCAAAATAGGACGCGGTCCACGGAGGTTCGGATCGTCAGTATCTCAAAATTCGGCCCAGGCCGGCAAAACTCACGGCTTATTCTGCCCCAAAGCGGTGTATTTTCGTGTTAAATTGTTCTCTCGTGTAACAGAGCTTACCAAATTGCACGAGGGACGCGCAGTGGCTGTCTATCGCGTCGTCTGGGTGAGGGGGAGAAGGTGAAGCCACACTAGGCGCTCGCTGGCCACAGGCGTGCGATGCACGTGTTCGTTCACCTGCCCTTCTTGGCGATTATTCGCAGGCCCACAACCATTGTCCTCCCGATTTGGAAGTTCCCTTGTTCGGGCCTTGTATTTTCGTCGCGAAAAGAAGACTCGAGCACATGGCGGCGCCAAGCCTGTGTGGTATGATCTCTCTAGATAGCAGAGTACTACGGCAGATACTAATGAAAAATTCACTACTTATCTGATCGTCTTGAAGCTCGAAGCCACCTCACCGCAAGGCCGGCACGACGGATGCGTAAGGGTAGAATTGAGGACAAATGTTCCTCATATCAGTTCGAGGGAGCACGCATCGCAGATGTAGCTCCAAGAACTCAAAGATACTCAATCATCCGTGTCAGCTACTAACATAGATCATACAGCGGAAATCCCTGTTGCCAAAGGCGACGGTAGTATCCTTGGTAATGAGGTACTAGGTAAACAGACTCGCGACCTGCTGATCTACGGTTGACTGCCTCCTCGTCATGTCGTCTGCCGTATCAATACGTCTTTCTTCTCTGTACTATCCGCCGACTCGTAAGCAGAAGGCTCTGTGCTCTTCCCAACCTTGAGCTTGAACCATTACACCGTTCTTCGCCCTCACCGTGCAGTCCATCATACAGTGATGTACGTCTCACTGACACCGTTTCACGGGCACTACAGGGCCCATCCCTGCTTCGCTGCGCTCTTTTGCGATCAGTCAGGACGCGCTCGATACGGCGATGCTCTCGTAACTGCCAGTGGCATCTTTGCGTTCGATAGGAACATAACCATCACTGCTATGCGGAGTTACCGTTTCTTTGGATTCAATGGACGTAACATTTTTTTATTTTTTTTTTTTGGAGGGCCATCACGGATGCCTGCAAATGACAATGGGTCATCCCAGGTTATCCAGCCTGCGTATGGGTTTCCCCATAGTCGCCGATCCAGGGTGAAAAATGCTGCTTACGCACGGTTTAACAACCAGTGTGGGACTCACTAATCCGGTTCGAGGTCTACTCGTAACGCCGGCATCCTACCCACTAAAAAACCCTTGTACTTTGTCCAGTCTTCCGGGAGCGCATGTTCGTCCCACAGGACCTTGTTCCACGTGGCCAGGACCAGCTCCCTCTTAATGGCAAACTGCCCGTATTTCTTCTGTACTGATTCGACGTCGAGCGCCAATCTATGATTCAAAGCATATCGCAGCTTGCTCGCCACCGTCGTCTTCTGGTGTTCCCATCCGTCCTCCGCTGCGTGACCTATGACTCTCTCGCAGCGCAGTTTCCAAGTCAGATGAACAGCTTCGGATATTAATATCCGCCATAGCCTCGTGCTCCTGGACGCACTCGGCCCTTGCTGGTCTTCCATTCCGTCAGGCCTAGTGAAAGTACGTCTACTAAAGAAAGGCGGGCCAAGGCACGTCCACTAACTTCTTCTCCCACACCTTCCGTATCAGCGACCAAATTAGGGCTTGGCCCGTGGCTTCACACTCGAAGATAATATGTTGGACAGTCTCTAGGGATCCACAGTGGCTACACTGTGCTCGATCCTCATATCCCTGTATCTTACTCCAGTACGGGCCGCATTTCAGGCCATCATGCATAATTTTCCACAGGAAACCGCAAAAATCCTGCTAAAGTCTTTATGCCGTGTACTCATCCAGATTTGACCAAAGGTGAGCGAATTGTTCGCCTGCAGGTGTTGATAGACTGCCGCCAGGTTATCTTTCGTCCGGCGCCTGGTCTCGACCTGGCGGTGCTCCAGGATCCCTCGATACGCCAGGGCTTGTGTGAGGGCGTTCAGCCTCGCCCCCGTAAGTTCAAAACGGGTGTCAGGATCCTGCGATGGCATCACCGCCATTGTAAAGTCTCTTGGAGGGGTCATCGATGCATCCTGGCGAGCGCGTTCTAGAGTTTGCCAAGCTCCGTCTCCGGCTATTCTACCGAAAGTAGTGGCGGCGCATCTCTGTCTGAGACGATTCAACAGGGGCTTCATATGCGTTGCCAGCGGGACACTGATCCATCCTTCGTTTCCCAGGTCGGGGCTCGATCAAAGACTAGGTCAGTAAGCACATCATTCGTGCTGAGGATGTAAGGGGAGCGTCGAATGGACGTAACATTGCACCTTAGCACATTCGAGTCGCTGACATCTCGAGGGCCTCCAATACTTCACTTTGCGTCCAGTTTGGCCCGCCTGCCTCACCCTCGTACCGTCACCGATTCATCTGAGCTTTGTGCTCACTGCTCAACATAACCGTGTAGATACAGGACAATGGCTGATTGAGAATACAATGTTGAGTCGTTCATATGTTCATGAACTATTCTCAGGGGATTCGGGAGCACTGAAATCAACGCAACACACAACAAATCCGATATCTAAGGAAGCGTCGTCATCAATACATAGTCCGAAGCGAGGAACGACAGAGATGTACTACACTTACCTCTCGGAGGCGACCTCGGAGGGAACATCGGCCCGCCAGTCCAATAATTCTTGACGTCAGGCTCGTAATAGTCTGGGTCGTCCCGGTAGACGTTCGCGGATACGCTGACTTTCTATCTGGCGAGACATACACCCTGTTGGCCCTCCAGGTGACGTAGAGACATGTCGAGGAAGTTGCACGCAGCCGAGCTCCCTGAGTACTGTGGGGTCGCTCAGGCGCGGGAGCCATGACACGGCTATGTCTGCGGCATTGAGCAATGGGGTCCGGAGGTTGAGGGCACGCCGTTTTCGACGTGTTGCAGACTTAGCGCCGCAAGGTTGTCGATATGTTCTTAGAGTCGGACGTGGCTGGCCTGAGGATTCGGCCAAGCCACGCTCGCGCGCATCAAGCGTTAGCACGTATAACCCGTGTGACTGCGCAAGGTATCAGGCCTGCAGGGCGACGCGAAGGATGGAATGCTACGTGCCGTTGCGACAGCCACGCGGCCCTGCTCGAAGGCAAGGTAGTATCCGGCCCTACTGCGGTTACGTAGGTTGCCTCGTCTGAATCCGCACTATTCACGTGCGTAAGATCGACTTCGAGTACAGCTTCTGGGACGGAAAGGTTCCCGTCGGCAATAGACTCGAAGTCGCGGATCAGCACAAGGCGCCCGTCCGCTAGCATGCACGCAAGGTCGCGGCCGCTCCCGGACAAGTGCGCTGATCAATGGAAGGCGCGCCAGCGGCTCAGTAACACGCAACCATTGCTGTAGTGCGTGGTCAAACACACCTGCTCGAAACTGTCCCCAGCGGTGTCCGCCTGCTGAGCGCGTGACCTCAGTCTGGAGGGACATCGTCAAAGGGATTCGGTCGGATCCCAGAGTCGGCTCCGGCTTCAGCACTGTTCGCGCGAAGCCCCTTTGGCCAGAAAGGTGGAGCACGACCGTGTTGTCTTCACGGCCGACCACGCGGACCCCGTTCTCACCGCAGAGCACGACATGCCGTGTATTTACATCCACGTAGCATATCTCACCGAGTGGCTCCATGCCAGCGTGGCTCGCCTGGAGACCATGAATCGTCTGAACCAGCGTGGCGGAAGGCAAGTCCCATAAGTAGGCGGTATTCTGTGAGGCAGCCAAGAGAGTTGGATAGACCACGCGATAAAACCGAGTGACGTCGGGTGTCGTCAGGACGGTCCATGGGCGAAGACAACCTCGTCCGCTACGGCCGTATGCACGTTCGGCAATGCGTGATGCGTTGATCTGACTTGCGTCAGGTGCAGAGACGCACACGGAATCGTCTACATGATCCGCCAGGCGCCATACCTCCTTCTGGCCGGCTGCTCGATCAAATACGAGGTAGCCATGCCCATATTCGACGTGTGTGTAACGGCGAGCGTAATGCTTATCGACGGTGAGCGAAACTTTATATGACCACTGCCTCGTGCACTTACCGAGGGTGTCCGCCACAGAAGCCAGCCTGTTCTGAGGTCTGTAACGGATATGGCTGCTTTGGCGTCGGTTCGGTTGATGTGAACAGCAGCCCGAGCTCTTCGTCGATCTTGAACCGATGAACGTCCCGGCTACTTTCGCAGTACGCTCTCGTATCAGGCTCCACACGAGTGACGCCGATCCAGTTCTTGTCCAGGACAAAACATCGTCGACCTAACAGTCGATCAGCACGGGATTGTACCGTCCACTCAAGTAAGGATGAGTTTGCACAGCCACTCACAGTATTCTTTCCATTCGTCGCAGGCATCATCCTGAATCGGATACCGTTTGTTGAAACCTTCGCGTCAGCAAGAGATACGCTCTCGGACGAGGCATAGGCGTGGTATAGAGCCGCATTGCGGTAAACCGTCCATTCGTTGCTTGAGATGACGTCGTTCAGGTAGCGCGATGTCACTCGAAGGTTCGCAGAGATTGCAGAGGCAAATAGCGCGTCAGCTTGAGGAGCAGTTCAGCGGGCATGGACTCGAAACCAGAGAGTGGCGGCATGAGTGGCACTGTCGGTTAATTAGCACTAGTCAACGTCGCAAGTTCGCAACACTGACGAGTGGCGTCGGAGCACGTAAATGTACCGCAAGAGCCCCGAGCTGTGTCGAGTCGCCCGCGGAGGAAGGGGAGGGCATTCGAGCTCGGAAGTTCCTCAGGCTCCTCAACTTACTAGTTGGACCTGTTTGGACAATGAACATGCAAAGTCACGTGCATTGACTAAAACATGATTTCGTCACAGCCCGGGAACGCGGAAGATAGACACTTGCCAAAAGTTGACAGTAGGGAGGAGTAGGGGGGGGGGGGGGGGGGAGGAGGAGGAGGAGGGATTCCATTTCGTCGCCACGCTCGAGCGCCGTAGTGCTCGTCAACATGGCCAAATTGACAGGAGATGGAGCCTTTCGCCAGCAGCCAGCAGCTTAGGACGAGGCTACTGAGAAGCGCTTCAAGTTGATGACACTGAGTAGTGTATCGCTGTACAGGTTATCGGGGAAGTTACGGACGCCGTTAACCCGATCACGCAAAGGAAGACAAGCGCTTCGAGGCAGCCTATTCAAAAGTCATTTTGCTCAGATCTGTGCACATCTTGGTTTTATGCGCTAGGATATGGCCAGGCCCGAGTTAGGTCTCATACGTTATCCCAAATCGCGCCTCCTCCATAGCACCCCATGTCTCCGGTGACAGTAGGCAGCTCAGACGAGCTCAATTCTCTGAAGGCGGCACATCAACGTCATCACCAAGTCACAAACCTGGTGCAAGCCTAAACGTGCCATGACTGGTCCCGATGAACCTGCAATGCAGAGACAGAGCGTCAATGCATGTAACGAATGGTGGTTACAACCCAACAAAGCACCTATGTCAACCATAGATCAGCAGCACACAGACCAGCATGAAATCACCTCTCTCAATCAGCCATCACGTCCTCCTTCTCATCTTGTTCCCCTTCAAATCCAGCCTCGGCTGCAGACTTAGCATGACCAGCAACACCCGCTTCCTTCGCGGGACGGGCGTCCGCGACGGAGCACTCCCGCACGACCTTGCCGTGCATGTTCTTGAAGAACACGGTGTCGCCCGTGCTCTCGACGAACTTGCACTGCATGAAGCTCCGCCAAAGCGCGTAGAGCGTCGGCTGCCAGCGTCCGCATCAGACGACGGACGAACGGGTGCACGACTCGGACGAGGCGACTCACTGTCGAGTCGTAATAGGATTAGTCTCCGAGCAGGGCTTGATTGTTTCCGTCACGTCAGAGAGGTTATCTGCCGGGAGGGTCAGCAGAGGTTCGAGGTGACCGGAAGGGCACTTACAGAATGGTACACCGACGAAGAGTGGTGGGCGACGTGATCGTGCGCGATCTGAGCGGGAGCCCGCCAATTAGCCACACAGGTTGACAGACGAGAGCGTAGACTTACACCGTGCCAGAAGAACCGCCCGACCCAGCCAAAGATCGGTCGGTCGACCGTCGCGAGTGCGCTCCAGAGGAACGTCCATTGGCCCTACATGCATCAAAGTCAGCATATGCCCACGTCGGCACTACGGCAACGTGCTCTGTAATATGGCACAGTAGGGTCCGAGTGTTGGATCGCCGCACAGGATATCGAAGACGTTGAGGACGTTACCGAGAGAATCATGAAAAGGCGGACATTACGAGCGACTTCGAGCGAGATCGCGGCACACCGCACGGAATGCAGGGCGTCTTTGTCGCGCATTGGTCTGAGAAGAGATTTAGCGGTTCACAGCTGAATATAGTCAAGCCAGCGTGTAGACAGAATGGAGGCAACATCAGGCTGTTCAAGTTGAAAGTTGACGCCGGGCGGACGCCGACGCGTAGCGCGTCGCCACGTGATCGCGTAGAGCAGCAGAGGCTTCGCAGCGACGCAGTTCGCACAGCTCAATTTACTACTTGAAACTCGACTTGAACCTACATACTAGTCGACAACTATCCATGCACGCATCACTGTGGTCTCGGGTCGCCGCTTCCACATCGCAGAATAGCAGGATCCCCCCGGCTGCACTGGGCCGCCCTATCGTATCCATGATGAACATGGGCACCTCGAGGTATGTTTCTGCATTCTCCATACTTAGCCTGAATCTCTTCGAGTCGTTCCGGGTCCCTTATTAGGTCTCTCTCTGGGTCCTTCCCCTCAGAGACGTGATGAGGGACTTTCCAAGTCAGACTACTTCTTACCTTTCCTGCTAGTGGAGCGCTTCAAGTTGCGTGGCGTGACCACGTTCCATTCTTCACGCTTCAGACGCGCGTTGCGCGCGTAAATTGCATTGGATCCGCTGCCGCGACCCTTCCGAAGACCTACCTCTCTCTCCTCCCAGGGTGTAAGTAACTCGTGTCTGATAGACTTCACAATATATGGCTGACGAAATTGTTCGATAGTAGCCTCCTAGTCTGCTGGGACTCCGAGTGGGATGTTGGATATAGCTGACATCGGCCCGCTCTTCACCTCTTACATGAAGGACCCGGCGCGTCCGACACACTGCGCCAGGGTTCTCTGCGGCTGCCTCCACCTATTGGACGGGGAGAGCAAAGATGCGCCGTACGCGTTGTACCGGCGCTACTACATGTCTCGGAACAAAACCTACGAAAACATCCGCAGGATGTTCCCCGATTACCTGAATGCATGCGTCGCTTTTCTGAGTATGCCGCGCTCGGATCAGGAAACCGAAGATCTCGATGCGTTCCTCAGTATGTGCTCCTGCCCACGCGCTGAGGACGAGAATACGATGGAGTCGCTGGGATGGCTGCACACATTCGAGGCCGCTCGTCAGTTCACCCTCCGAGACTTGACTGAAGCGCTCATTCGTCACCTCAGCGGTGTACTAAACGATGCTTTTGTATCACGGACCGTTGGCGGTACTGTCGCAATGCATGGCCTCACAACGCATCGCAAAAAACGTGCTGGAAGACCTCTTTGGCCCACGGACACTAGCCAACTTCTCCCCTTTGGCCTCGAGCAATCGATGAAAGGATACGCCACGTCCTTCCGCTTGTGCCGTCAAGATAGGTACGAGGAGACCCTTCTGCTCGTCAACAAACTCCTTGCCATCTGTGGTCGAACTATTACCCCGCATCTCCTTCAGTTCCAGCCTGAATGGCCATGGCTCATTACCAACCTCGCGATCCGTCTCTGCGCAGAGCGCGATGAAACACTCGGCCAGCCTGTCGAGCTTGACGTCCAGGTGAACTGGATGTACACTCTCTTACATATATCGGAGCTCTGTCGAAACATCACGCACGCCGAGCAAGCCGATCCATCAGATATATCACTCTTTGTCCGCATTGCCGTACGGCACGAAGGCTCGGACGTGCATTGTCACGGTGGCCTTCTCATCGTCTGCGATTTGATCCTCAGATACCTACCGCTCTTCCGCGAGGGTACTAATACAATCATATTCTCCGACCTCTTCATCAACAAAGTTTCCGACTTGTTTGCCCGCCTCGGGACAGCGTTCTATTTTCACAAGCGCCCAGACGACGCAACAGTCTACCACGAATCGATCCTCCTCCAGTACGCGGCGACGCTTGCCTGCTTGGATGATCCCCTGCAGCGCGCCTTCGAGGCCTTCGCCTGGGCGTCGACGGTGCGGCACTGCTGTGCACCAGAGTGCTACGAGACGTTTGTCACCGCTGGCAGGACGTTCGCCCGCTGTGCAGGCTGCGGCGTCCTGCGATACTGCTCCCGCCCGTGCCAGAAGCGCGCCTGGAAGCACGCGACGCTCCCACACAAGGCGGTCTGCACGAAGCTGCGCGTGCTGAGAGAGCGGGCACGCCTCCCACGGGATCAGGAGCTAGATCCCCGCCGCGATCGCCAGCCATTCGTCGAGGCGTGCAAGGCGGACGAGGGTCTCGTGGCACTGGCGGAGGACTGCGGGATGCATATGTACGAGATGCTCACCACGCGAAGGGGTGACAACAGCAAGCTTTTTGTACCAGAGGCGTATCGGGCGTTCTGGAAGCCCGTCCCAGAAGCTGCCACTGGGGAGTGATCTTTCTCGGCTCACTGGCGACTGGCCACGAAATGACTCTTGTGATTGATGCTGTCTCTGATGCTCAGGCTGCGTGTATCTACGAAGTACATAGCAGAACTCGTACGTTCATTGGTGTTGATTTTTTGGAATACATTCTACTCGCAGATGCGCTCGCCGATCCTGGGAGAGCTTCAAGCGAGCCTGAGGATGCTTGTATCGTCGGGCAGGGTCGTTTCATGGAGTCGAGAAGTGAAAACCTGAGTAGGTCCCCGCTGTACTGTGCATGGTGCCTGTCCAATGTGCGCAACGGCCGTGCGGGGGCGAATTCCTAAGTACAGATGGGTCCGATCTTCGCGAGTTGTCGTTGCCACGGAGTTTCACTTAGAGAATCCGACGTATGTAACAAATGGTAGTACAGCCCGACAAAACTCGCATTTCAAGCATAGATCAGCAACATACAGAACAACTTCCTGGAATCACCTCTGTCATTCACCCATCACATCCTCCTCGTCCTGCACCCCTTCAAATCCAGCCTCGGCCGCTTCCTTCGCACCATCAACAACACCCGCTTCCTTCGCGGGACACACATCCGCGACGGAGCACCCCCGCACGGCCTCGCCGCGCATGTTCTTGAAGAACACGACGTCGCCCGTGCTCTCGACGAACTTGCACTGCGTGAAGCTCCGCCAGAGCGCGTAGAGCGTCGGCTGGCGACATCCGCATCAGACGACGAGCGAACGGGCTCGGACGAGGCGACTCACCGTCGAGTCGTAGTAGTAGTAGTCCCCGAGCACGGGCTTGATCGCCTCCGTCACGTCAGAGAGGTTATCTGCCGGGAGAGTCAGCAGAGGGTCAAGCTGAACGGAAGGGCGCTCACAGAACGGCACCCCGACGAAGAAGTGGTGGGCGACGTGGTCGTGCGCGATCTGAGCCGAGAGCTCGCCAGTCAGCCACGCGCGTTGATTGAAGAGCGGAGACTTACGCCGTGCCAGAAGAACCGCCCGACCCAGCCAAAGATCGGCCGGTCGACCGTCGCGAGTGCGCCCCGGAGGAACGTCCACTGGCCCTTTACGCATGAGTTAGCATACGCCCACATCGGCACTACGGCAACGTACTCTGTAATACGGCACAGTAGGGTCCGAGTGCTGCAGGTACGTCACGGTACGATCCTAAGTCACCCGCAGACAACGCCGTCAGCATCTCCCTGTCTCGTTGAACGGGATAGATTCACCAGTTATGGGCCCACTGTTGACGATGTAGATGAGACGCCGGGCAGACGAATGAAGCGGAGGGACGTACCAGCCACGGCACGAGGTACATCCTCCACACCGTGCCCCACCCCGAGTTCCACCCCCAGACACCGAGGAGCGCGAGCATCCCCGCGATCAGGACATCCGAGACGACGACAAGGTGTCCTGATTATGGGATGTCGTTCAGCTCTCACAATTCATTTGCGGAGTGGAGGACCAACAGCCGAGCGAGGGCAGCGGGCGCATGACTTACGTTCCTCTGGCCGGAAGAGCTTCGCACTCGGTTTGTAGTGCTACACGCCACACGCAGGCCATCAATGTCCGCAGTGCGCTGTAGCAAGCGGCGTGCAACGCACACTCGTCCCGGGCGGGTACTTCGGATTTCCCTTTCGGTTATGTCTGCAGAAATGTGCGTCTCAGTCATCAGTGAGACGACTGCGGGTCCCGGATCAGACCACGTACATCAAGTAAAGCTGGAATCCCCTCCAGCACGACAGTCAACTTGGGCGAAGTCGGGCACCGAGAGGGAGAGACGTACAGGAACTGCCGGAGCACCATCTTCCGAAGCGTGTATAACGGCGTCTCCTCGACCATCTCGTGGTAGTCGATCGCGCGTGCCTTCTCTGCCCTCCACCCCTCAGCACACAACCAACCTTCGACGATGAGAGCATGGCGCACCTTCCGGAGGAAGATTGAACTCCTCGCGCGTCTGCGGGTGGTACGTCTCGTCGCGGTGTAGGTTGTTGGTGCCTTTCTATCAGACGAACCTCTGATCAGCGCTGGCCTCACTGCGTCAACAACCACGATCATACAGCTCGAGCCATCGCAGAGAACGCGCGGAGTACTGCCCAAGTGCGCGCAGGCAAGCCAGACGTCCCCGCTCCCCGACACACGCCGCGGCGCGCAACAGCTCGAGCTGCTGGACCGAGAGATGGAGGAGGCGGACTCACATGGTGCGACCGGTGCGTCGCGCGCCAAGCCCAGTACGGCGTGAGGACGGACGTGTGGAGGCCCATCCCGAGGACGGCGTTCACCCACGGCCTCGGCGAGAGCGCGTCGTGGCCGCACTGGGATCCAGCGGGGCGACGGTCAGCCCGAGGGTGGAGGGGAACTAGAGTCACGCACCTCGTGGCCTATATGCGAGGTGTAAGGGACGAGTGAACAGCCCTGACGCTATACGCGAAGCTAGAAGATGTGTAGGTACCCGCGCTGCGCGTGGAGGACGCGCTGAGGACGCGCTGAGGTGGTAGGTGCAGGGGACCGATGGGCGACTCGTTGTGCCCGGCACAGAGGCAAAGGAGCCGCGGTGGATGGTCTCGAAGCTGCGGCACCCCACGGGAATGGGATTCACCGGCGGTATGCATGACGGCACACTGCCGCCATAGTACGCAGGGTAGGATCGCGCAGCGCGTCGGGGCATGCGACTCTGGAGGGCGGGGCACTGATCACAGAAAGGTTCCTCGAATCCGGACATCCATACGCGCCATCGAGAGCGGCGCAGATGAACACGGCTCGTCCGTTGGTCTAGCCCACATAAAACGCGTCAACGCGTAGCGGGTGGACTTTGGAGACGCTGTGCCACGATGGACATCTCCGCAGGTCCACCGGCGTGTCTGCACAGCGCATGGTTCTGAATGTATGCGCGCTGATCCGAGCGCGATTGAACAGCGGCGCCTTCATGTACGCTCGAGGATTCGGCGCGTACGGACAGGACAAGACAGCACGCGCAACATACTTTCGGAAATCATGCAGGTCTCGCAATCCCTCGTATCTTTGGTGCACACTGATGGGAAGGGCGGGAAACTCACCGAGGGTCCAGATCCCCATGAACGCGATGCTCTGCCAGAACCAGTACGCCACCACATAAGCCATCGCAGCGCATCCTCGACGCGCCCTCCCCTCGTCATGCCAGACCGATCGAGCAACACCCCCACGAGGACATCGATCCCGTTGCGAACAGATAGAAGCAGTAGGTGAGGAGGACGTGGCGACCGACGTAGAGCAGACACTTTGGCGTCGATCGCGCAAAGAGATGCTTGGGCACGGCTGCGTGGACGGCCTTGATGGAGAGCGAGGGCGGGGGCGGGGCGAAGGGCGTGCGGGTGCGGGCGGTGTACTCGGGCGAGTCGGTGGCGCGGAGGAGGGCCATGATCGGGGGTGGGCTGGCAGGGGGCGGGGTGGGAAGGACACGCGCGGGGTCTTTGCTGGACGGCGGCCATGGCGGTCGCGCGCGAGGCTGTCGCGGCGGAATGCTGGCGAAACGGCGGCTTCTGCGCGACTGCGACGCGTGCCGTGGGCGTCCCTGCACGGGCGCTCCGGGCGCGGTGGCGCGTCGCCTTGCACGGTGACGGCGATGACGACGCGACGACTGCCCGCCGGCGACGGCTTCCTGCCCACGCGTGCACACCGATCCGCCCTGTCGTCCCAGATCTGGGCACCAGCGGCGGCGCAGGCACCGACGGCGACAGCCGACACATCCCCACTCTGCGATCCCCTGCGCCCGCGTTCCCCGACACGATCCCTCACGCGTCTGCCCAGTACCCCGCTCGCCCGCAGTCCCCCGGTGAGCTGCCGTGTGGCGATGCTTGCGAGGGCTTCTCAGACGGACGGACACGTCGTCCATGCAACAGCACAGGCCCTCTGGCCAGTCGGTGCGCGAGCCGGCATCCACTCGCATCGACCCTCGCTCGCCACCGCTGCGTACGCGTAGGTACCTCATCTCCGTCTCACTGGCTGTGTCTACACGCAGGCTCGCTCCCACGCTGTCCCTACTCGCTCCCTCCCTGTCCCTACTCGCTCCCTCCCGCACATCCCCCAGCAACCCGCTCGCTGCACACGTCTTCGCCCGCGCAGACCGTCCCCTCTCTCCCGCCGATCTTCGCGTCCGCGATCAAGACGTCTCCGCGTGCATGACAAGACCGCCGCGTCCCCGGTGCACGCCAGCGAGGTCAGCAACGTGCGAGCGGATCGCGTTGACGGAGGCCTGACCGCGACGACACGTCATTCTGGAAGGGCGGCCGATCAGAAGACACGCGGGCGGCGACGGAATCCGGCACACCCCAGCCGTCGGGAGGCTGGAGATACAGACCGCCTGTCGTCGTCAGCGGAGACGGGCAGGGAGACGCGAGCGGAGAGCAGAGACGACGCGGCGGTCGTCCGGCGCGAGGCGCTTTGGGAAGCGCGAGACGGGATGAGGCGGCGGAGGTGAGTGCGCGTCGCGTCACAGCGCACGACGCTTGCTGACGTGGCAGAGAGCAGAGACGGCGCGCGTCTCAGCCCAGCACGACGCGTGACGGAGCGAAGGTCGCAGGCGGCTGGTTGCCGTGGGGAGAGAGGACACGCAGGTGCGTCGTCGCGACACCACACGCGCGCGGAGCACGCCGGACGGCGCAGTGCACACGCGAGACACTGCTCAGGGTCGGGTGCAGCACCCTCGCGTGCACCGGCCAACGCGCACCCGCATCGGACACGGCGCGAGGCGCCGACCGCGCTCGTCGGTGGCGGCCCCGTGGGTGTGTTCCGTCCCGGCTGGTACGCGCACGGTGTGTTGGTCGCCTCGACGCCGGCGCCACGGCCGACGAACCGGGTCAGCACAGATCGTCCGCGGGCGCAGGCGCTCACATGGACGGCCTCGGTCGGAAAACGCGTGCTCCCGTGCGGTCGGCGGGCCTCGCCGTGGACGGTACCGGCGGGGGTATGGGCTCTCGAGGACCGCACATGGATGGGGCAGCAGCTTGCGCTCGGACGGCCTCAGAGACGGCGCGCAGGATGTCCTGTGCAGCTCGCGCCGGGTGGACGCGGTGCCCCGTCCGCGTGAGGCTATCTACGTAGGTACAAGCAAATATATTTCTGCGGGAGGAAATTGCGATCAGCATGGAGCGAGGGCAGCCTTCGATTGAAGACGAAAGCTGACGCGGCTGGAGACAACGGGTGGTCGCCGTTCGTCTCGGACCCGTGTGACGTGGCATCTCACGAGTGTCGGGTCGTAGCGAATGAGCTATGTGAAGGTGCGAATGCAGTTGGACAGTGCATGCACGAACATTGGTGCGTTGTGAGGTGGTTGCTGCGCGTCGCAGCAATGAGCTCGGCTTGCTGACTGCGGAAGTGTCCCGAGTAGCGGTCAGTCAACTCCGGGGTGCAGAAACCATGCCATGGCACTCACCCATGGATCACACACTGATACCAGGCATTGACCGGACCACCGACACATCGATGACGAGACCCGCATCGTCGGCGCCGAGCGAGAGGACTGTGTTTCTGCAACGAGCCCGGGCAAGGACGGCTCACCATTCACATCGAGTACAGGTGGGC